AGGAAAGAAAAGGTAATTATGTTGTAGGTGCAAACGGTGTAAAATTTCATATTTATTTTTTAGTTTAGGTAAATATCTCACATTTAGGAGAAAAACAAATTTAAGGGAATTTAAACATTAATTTGGAATTTGTAAGTAATTGATATTTGATATGGATGTTCATAAACTAATGTAATCGAATGCAAATTGTAAAAATCAAACAAAAAGGCCATTAACACAAAAACAAAAAAAAAATGACGAAAATTTTAAGTTGGATTAGATCAAAATTTGTATTCATTTTTCAAATTCAATTCAATTTATTCCAAATAAAACTTATGAACATATATACAATTCCATTTACGAAAATACTTTACCACTTATTTTAGTATAAGTAGACATTATTATAACAATTTATTTTAGATGTGATTATTCTATAATTGCTTATTGTTAGTGTTGTTGTTTAATTTTTGTTTAAGTTTGTTTCTTCTAAAACTAGTTTGAAATTCATATTTTTATCTCTCTCTCTTTTTTGTCTTTTATTATACAACTTTTCATTTTTGTATCAGAAATTGTTTAAATAAAAAATGGGTTGAAAGGATAGAATACATAATATATCCTAATATAAATTATAACAAAAGCAAATAAGTTAACTTGTTACTAAATAATCTGAAAATGAGATATACTAATTTTAGGATCGAAACAATTGACTTGTAGAATGAGATATTTGATACTATGAATCAACTTTCAATTTTTTTTGTTTGTAAATTTTAATGTTTACTTATTCTTAAAAGTAAAATAAAAATAAAATAAAATGGTCCAATATCACTTTAAATCATATTATACTGGATTTAATTTTGTTTTTGAATCCAGTGAATTAGATGGTAAAAAAAAAAAAAGGCAATGGGAATGAATTCAATAACTTTTGTTCTCAATTAATTCAACTTAATTCTCAAACAGCTACAACATTTAAGACCCAAAAACTTTAACATTGAACAAATTTAAGTGATCATTTTGAAAACGTTAATTTGAGAAAAAAAAACAGAAAAATCAAAGTAACTAATAATTTAAAAATATTAAATAGCAGTAAAAACATATAGTTCAAGAAAAAAACACAATATCATATTGATTATTTTATGATTTATGGATGGATAACTTATTTACTAGTATAAATATAAAAAATATATTTTTATTTTTCACAAAATTAATTTTGGGGTGTGCTGGTTGCCTCTACTGGGGAACTACATAATTCTGCCCTTGATCATAATATAGTAATAAATATGACAGTAGTTTGGTTCACTAAATCCTCCATTTGCCTAATTAATTAGACAAAAGAGTTATTTAAAATGGAATAAGCTTAAAATTCAGATGCAGGGTTCATAATGCAGCATATACAAAATGAAATATATAACTTTTTTATGGCAAAATGAAACAAATACTGTTAAGACTCGTCAGTGTAATCGTTAATTTCACTATTCTATAAATTGCTTAGTTTGTATATGCAATCTACTTATAATTTATATACTTTTTACCTTTCTCATAATTGCACCCAATTTTCCCTTTCTCTAAACTTACAACAACTCATGATTTTTTTTTTCTTGACCAATTAAGGGATCTTAAGAAGCATTTTTACGGAAAATATTTGGCATATTGAAATAGTTTATAACCATCATATAATTTTTTAAAACTATTTTAGTAAAATTTACCATTAATCATATAAATTAGTTTTTATATAACACAATAACTTTATTTACTTAATTAAATTATTCACCTAAACACATTTAGTCCAATACATGCAACTAGTTCAATGAGATGTAGAGGATTTTTTTTTTAAATACCAAAATATGGAATTTTTGGTAAAATTATCAAAATATGATTTCTTTTTTCCAAAAATCGCCATCTGACGATTTTTGACCACCTTTTTCAAAAATCACCGATGGCTACTTTTAATATTTTATTATTATTTTTTTTGAAAAATTACCATTAACGATTTTTGAACTTTCGATTTTTAAACACTATATTTTTTAAATTTTTCAAAAAACACCATATTTTTGTATATATAATTTTTAAATACTATATTTAAAAAAATAATCAGTGAGATGTATTTTCTTAAAATATAGGTAGCTTTTAATTATTATTATTTTACTTTTCTATTCTCTTGAAATGAAATATTAGGACAAACACAATTTTAGCAAGCCCTTAAAAATAAAAGTAAATTTTAGAGAATAAATGTTGAATATACTACATTAGTACCTCTAATGTCCAATTGACATAAGTTGAAAAAATTGTGATGGGGACTCGGCATGAACATGACGATGATACAATATCATGATTCATGCATGAACGCGGCAATGAGTTTCAAAACCAATAAACAAAAGAAACTTATTATTAAGGTAATTTGCTTTTTAGTTTTTATAATGACATGCAGAATTCGAATTTAAAAACTCCATAATCATGATCATCGTAATAATAGTGATCAAATAGTAAGCTATTGTGATAAAAAAAATGTTTAAAGTAAAGTGATATGATCAATTATGCTTCATTTCTTTTTATTTTAATATGCATTAAAAAGTCAATCTCTTTCTTTGAGTGATAAGATTACATTTCTTTTGACCAAGGAAGGGTTCAAGAGAGTAAGAGACACAACTTGTGCACTTTAAAAAGGTTTTGTTTTAATGTTTTATACACTGTAATGTTAAAAAGGGTATTTTTTGCACGTTAAGTCGTTAAATTATTAGTGAAATTATAATATGGTGTTAAGCTTCATGTTTTACTAATTTTTTTTTATATAAAATATGTGAGTAATCAATTTATTACTTTAAATTTTTTATAAAATAATAAAATTTTATATAAAATATAAAATTAATAAACATTTCATTGATTTTATTTCAATGTATAATATATTTTCAAAATATAAAAAAAATCAAATTTTAGATAACATATCTACAAGTATTTAAATTATATAGAATTTAATATAGATAATCATAAAAATAATATAAGAAAATAAATAAGCAAAGCTACATTTTATTTTTAAATTTAAATAATTAAAAGTATGTTATATTTTAAATTAAATTAATTACAAATATAACCTTATATTTTATAGTTTTTTTCCTTTTTAAAGTAAAGAAAAATATGTAACGATCACATTGCTTTATTTTGTCATGTAATATCCTAATTCTGATTATCATTAAAAATATTAACATTTAAGTAGTATAGACTTGTATTTATCTAACAGGTAGAGTATTTACACCTTAACAGCAGTAATAATCAGTAATATAACAACAATAATAACAAAATTATGACATTATTGAGTGAAATAGGTTATATAAATTATACAATATAGTTGAATTTCGTTAAAAATTAAATATTTATAGATATTATTATTATTTGTTTTTTTTAATTATTTACTCTTCTTATACCTTTTTTCATAAAATTAAAAACTATATAATACACTTCCTCACTCATTGAGAAAAGATAATTATTTCGTTTTGAAAAATAATTTTTACCTCAAGTAAGTTGATCTGTGTATATCTTTATTCTTTTAAATATATTTCGTTTGAAATTAAAAGTAGGCTGCATATATTCTAATACTTGAATCTAAAACAATCATATTTTTTATTAATTCACTTTATTTTTTAAAAAAACTGACATAAATTTATTATTTGTAATTCAAAATTTATTTTGTTTCAATTGCAAATTATATATGTAGAAATATTGCTTTTAGTTATTTTTATATTCTTTTTTTATGTGAGCCCATTTTTTGTACAATGATGAATATAATTATGTCATTTTTACAACAAAGAAATTTTTAGTATTCCAAAACAAACTACACTCTTGTAATTAAAATGCCACGCATGTGATTTTTTTATAATCGTAAAACAGTTGGATTGAAATAAAATATTATTACATAAAATATATATGATTTAGGGATCCTAATCCACTTAAAAAAACATTACTCATAGTGTATATAACTTTTGTTTCCTACAAGTGGAATATATTGAGTTGAAACTTTTGTATCATGTGGCATCTACTTATAGCTTTTTACTATAAAATATGCTTTTGTTTACTTTTAATTTTTCAAAAATTTTAAAATAATTTTTATCATTATTTTATGGCATTACGTCATGTATTTAAAAATGATAATTGTCAAATATTATTTTCGAATAATTATTAACATGATATAATTAAATGTTGTACATTATCATTAACTAGTATTTTTTTTTGGGTGTTATACGAGTATCGTTAAATTAAATTTATTAAATAAATAATAAAAATATAATGTATGACTATTTTTTTTAAATAAAAAGCATTCTAATTATCAATAATAAAAAATATATTATATTAAGTTAAAAATTATGAAAAATTTAAATTTGAATTAATACTAAATTAAAAAGAAATACACAACTTTTAAAATATTTAGTATGATAACAAAATTAATTTTTAAAAATGTTTTCATTTGAGAATACTTTTAAGAAAACTCCCAGTTAAAATTTTTTAATTTAAGAATTAGTATTGAGGTTAATTAATGATAATAATAAGTATTTGTAAAAGTCAAAATTAATAAGAACTAAAACTAATAAAAAAATAGAGAATTAAAATAAAATTTAGCATAAACTAAAAAGAAAGTTAACTAATTATTTTCACAAACCATTGTCACAAATATATGGACATGATGTGACATGATTACATGAATTGGTTGTATTGTTAATCACTTTCACTTGGCTTGTATGATACAGTTGGTAACGTTTCCTGTTGAAAAGTGGCGTACACGTTACTCCTCCATCTTTTTCTCTTTGTGATTCTCTTTCATTGTGATCCATTGCAATGCATTTTCGTGGTGACTTCGATGATGGTGTTTAACTTTGAAACATGAGAAGTGAGGAGGAAATAGACACACTCCTGAACTTAACTTTTTCTTCCTTAAAACAAAAACTCTTGTGTGGGCCCCACTATCTAGCTATTCTCAACTGTCATGTACTATGACTATTCTTCGTGTCACCCAACAACATTGTAAAGCTCTCCACTTTCACTTTTCTTCCCACAATCCCAACCATCACCACCATTTCTCACTTTCTTTCTTTCTTCCACTTTTTCTCAGTATTCAATGGCTACCCATCTCAGAATTATGCCTCAACAAATCGTGGGTCGGTGCTAGATTAGCATTTTCTTCTCTTTTTTGCTGTCAAAGAGATACCCAGTTGCAAAAGTTTTGATTTTTTTGGTGGGAAAATTTGCTGCCAATCAACATTAGTGTCAAATAATGCTGGGTTTTATAGGGACTTTTCTAGTTTGTTTTGTTGAGGGAATTAAGTTTTGGTGGAATAGAGGTTGAGGGAGTAACATGTTGTAAACTTTCCTTGATTCATTTTTGGTTTTTGTGGTGTACAATTTTATGGAGAGAATTGTGTTTAGGTGTTTTAAACTACAGGTGGGTAAGAATTTATTGGAATTTGGATGCTCCACACGCTGTTATTTTAGTGGCTGAACTGTTGGAGATAAATGCGCCATTTATTGCAGTCATGGATTCAGTTGCATGGAAGTAATGAAGTCCTTCTTGAATTGGTAAATAAGGAATTTGGATTTGAGCCATTTGAGACTGTTTAAGGATAAGCATTTTTTCGCTGTGTCTGAAGGATTTTGGTGTGATTATCAATCCTCTTTATCACGTATGATCATAGGCTATATTTTTATTGGAAGAAAGGGAGAATCAATGAGCTGTGACTCAATCTCAACTGTAAAAGCTAAAGCCTTATTGTGATCTCAATTGGGCTTTTCTTTGTGGAGAAGAGAACTGATATCTGGGGCTTTCAACTTTTTTCTTTGGAACTTCAGAATTCAGATAGTTAAGTTCTGTAGAAACAAAGTATTGATACCTTCCCCTCCAAAGGAAGCTAAAAGCACCGTGAGCTTCACTCAATAGAGAAACTTACAGGACTGAAATTGGAATTCCTAGATGCTTCGTGAGTGGACTCATCATGCTGCATCCTCCTTGTCTTTTGTTCCTTCACAATGTTGAGTCAAATAAGGCTCAGCAGAATGAGGTACTACTCAGTTGAAGCAATCTCATTTTTCATGTGATTGTTCTATTCTTGCTACATGACATGGATTGATAACCACTTTAGTTGCATAACCTACCAAATTATTCGGCTCTTACATTTCCTAATTTGGTAGGCACTAAATCTCATTTTCTTATGATTGTTCAGTTTTGTCTTTTGTGCCCCAAGAAATTGATAATTTTGATGATCACTGTGACTAAGTTTAAGTCCTCTCGGCATGTAACTGAGTTCTCTGCATGAGTTGATTTTGATTTTACAGAACGTGTTGCTGTGCACATATCTAATGCACCATTTATCCTGTTGTCAGGGTGTTGTTATGCATGAACTATGTGGGTGTTGGGGGCCTTAAAGGGAGTGATGATAAGTGTTTTTAAGACTTTTAACTGCCTATATTTACTTATTGTTTTTGTTCATCAACCAGGTTGTGTAGTCTTACCTATGAAGTTTTGTGAATGACTGTGGCAAAGTAAGGCCAAGACTACCTTGGCACCCTCAGGGAAAGGAAAAAGGGAAAGAAGAAAGTCAATTGTACCTAATCATTATGGCTAAGAAGTCCCAAAAACGCCTTGTGCGGTATGAGAAAGATAAGTCAGGCTGCATGTGGGGTTTTATTAGTATGTTTGATTTTCGCCATGGTCACTCCACTAGGAAGATGATTGCGGATAAGAGGCGTAGCAGCAAACATGCTGTTGGTAAGAACTATGTTTAACATATAGATTACTGCAAAATTAACAATAATGCTCATGTACATAAATCTATATATCCACTGAAGACTTCCCATATGCTAAATAAATAACGAAATTAGTATATACTGACTAATTGTGCAGCAATTGATGTTTGTGTGTCAATTAATTTTATGTAATCATTTCAGGTTGACATCTTTCATAAAAAATGCTTTCTCTGTGTATAATGATTGTGGAATAACTTGTGGAGCAGCTGCACTGGTTTCATAGAAAAATAAATATGAATTATTGAATTTCGTTTTTTTTTTCTCACAGGTGTTTTACATTCTAAGAACAAGCTTGAGATGTCGAGCAATTTGGATGAAGTTTGTCAAGGCAATGCTGTAAGTCTGTCCATCAATATGCTCATGCCACTCTTGAATTTGAAACTTTAAAATTTATAAAATTCTAGGTCATTAGTAAAGTTTGGTTATCTGGTTGGAGGATTGATGTCTGTGCATTTATTGATATTATTATATCATGAATATTTCAGGACATTGGAGAGAGTAAACGACCATCGGTGATTAAGCCTAGCGTGAAGAAGCTCATAGAAGAAGAGATGTTCATGGACCGTAATGCAATGAAGGATTCAAATAATGCTGAAACAGAATCAAAGGAATCTAGATTAAGGCGTGAAGTTCTTGTGAAGTTAGATTCCAAGAGGAAAAATAAATCATGCAAGAAAAACCATGATATGGACACCAACGATTTAAATTTGAATCCAACCTTGAAATCTGAAATTGCACATAATCAGCACTCAAGGAAGCAATCTAAAGATAATCTTGATCTGGATAAGATAATTGAAGAGTTTTGTCACCTAAAAGATGCTCGTTCCATGATGCATGGGAAAGATGGAGAAGAAATTCTTGCACAACCAAACCATAAGCAAACTATTTCTGAAAACAATGCAAGAGATGCGATTCTAGAATTGGTGAATCAGATGATATTGAATGGCAAAGATCTGGCAGAAGCTAGAAGATTTCTTTGCTCCCATCAACTCATGGAAGCTCTACAAATTATAAGTTCAGATAAGGAATTGTTTCTTTCACTTCTACATAACCCAAATTCACTTTTATTCAAATGTGTTCAAGAGTTTAGGAGTTCTGAAGGGACAAATGACAAAGAATATGGTTGTATCACCGGTTCCAACTTCTCTGAACAAGATCATGGCCATATTGAACAAACTAGGGAGATTGTCAACCACAAGAAGCACAACTTTTTCAGGAAAAAGGTGAAGTCTCAATCAAAAAGTTCAACAGATGAAAATGGGAATACTGACTTGTCAAGTAGAATTGTTATTCTGAAGCCTGGGCAAATGGGTTTGCAAAAATCTGACCCTGAAAGCAACCTTGCCTCATTGCAAACTTCTCACGATTCTGTCAAATACAATGCCCCTTCTGTGAGAGGCAGTTCACATTTTTCTCTTACAGAGATAAAAAAGAAACTAAAGCATGCTATGGGAAGGGACAGACATGGAAACCCTGAAGGGATCTCAACAAGACACACTGCTGAATATCAAAATAAGGTACGCAGCAGCAAAGCCATTGGTAAAGACAATCTTGGAATGAGATCTCCTAGTAAAGATCATTTCTTCATTGAAAAAATTGCTAGACCTACAGCTGGTGTTATGAAAGGAGACAAGATTGGTACAATTAGAGATTCTGAATTGACTAGGGAACATGAAAACGGTAGTTATCCCAAACAAAGGGTTTCTAGCTTATATATTGAGGCTAAGAAACATCTGAGTGAGATGGTAGGTAATGGAGATGAGAATATAGACTTGTCAAGTAGGCAAATTTCCAAAACCCTTGGGAGAATACTATCACTTCCAGAGTATAACTTTTCTCCCCTTGGCAGTCCTGGAAGGGATTGGGAGCAACATTTTGTGACTGCACAGACAAGATTTTCTACTTCAGATAGAAATTGGGAGGCTAATAAGGATAATGTGTCTTCAAAACAAGGAAACTTTGTTGGTCATTTGGATCAAGAAACAGACAAAGACAATGCAGAGAAGAAGTCAAGCATTTGTGATGAAAGCTCCAATAATGAAGTACCAGAAGTTAAGTCTGACTCAGATCATGCTGACAAAGTGGAAAATTGTGGTCCTATTAGAGATGAGATAGTTCCTGAAGGTATCACATCCAAAATATTTTATTTAAGTGATAGATGCTATTGTAGACTTTGGTGTATGTTTTATATATATATACACTATTATTTATACTTTTCTTAAAATCTCTGTGCAGGTGAGATAGAATCTGCAAAAGAGAGAGATGTTTTGGAATCTTCCTCAGAAGCAGTTGTCCTTGGTGCAGGAAAAGAGAACCAAAACTATGATATATCAGAAATTCCTGATAGTGCAAGATGTGTTCAATGTTTGAAGCAGGTTGTATATCTGTCTGCATTAAAATCCTACGGAAATAAAAAATTTGAAATAATTTGACTATTAAGCCAGAATCGTCAAAATTTGAACTCAATAAGATTTCTTTAATTCTGTTGCTATGGATTTTTCTGTGGTGGAATGATCCCTTATAGCTGTAAAACTTTATCCAATTCTAAACCATCACTTGCTCTTTCTACAGGATGTAACAGAAGAAAGCAAACCATCATCTCCACTGTTGTCCCCCTCTCACTTTTCCACCACTAAGAAAATTGAAGAGCTAGAAAATGTTACAGATGTATCTTCACGGCCAAGTCCTGTATCAGTTCTTGATACACCATTCGTAGAGGATGGTGCCAGCCCTGGGTACTCTGGACCTCAACCTGGTAACCTTTCCTACACCTAAGTAATGAGGGCCTATCTGACAATGTTCTTAAACAGTTAACTCTCTTTTCAAAAGCTAGATCTTTGAAAACTTGTTTCCGCCTCTTACTGTATACTAAATGTAGAAATAGAAATATAGTGTAGGATGCTAGTTGCTGGGGAACTTCAAATTATGGTTTTCGTGAAAGTGCTCTAGAAAGTTCTTTTCAACATATTTTTTTGGTTGCGTATGATTGTCCTTTCTTGTCGTTGGGAAGTTAAAATTATTTTTAAGGATCAATCAGCATAATATTTAGTAGCAATGTATCATACCTTTTTGTTTATTATATTAAACTTTAATTAGGCATCACATTCATTCATTTATTCATGATTATCAGTAGAAGTACCTGTACAGCCAATACATATTCAATTTGAAGAACAAGACTCTTCACCTGTGAATCAAATTAACAGAGAAAAATATTGTCTTGAAGAAAATGAATTACTATATGACTACATCAAAGCAGTCCTACAAGCCTCTGGGTTGACCATAGATCAATTGTTGATGAAATGCCTTTCCTCAGACAAGATACTAGATCCTTCCTTGTTTGATCAAGTAGAGTTCTTATCAAGCCAACTTTGCCATGATCAGAAGCTCCTATATGATGGTATCAACGAAGTTCTCATGGAGGTTTGTCATAATTACTCTGTGGTCTCACCTTGTGTGTCATTTGTAAATCCTGGCATAAGGTCTACTCCAAATATAAAAAGGGTTATTCTCAAGGTTTGGGAAGGAATATATTGGCATGTCCTTCCCTTGCCCCCACCACGTTCCTTGGACAAAATTGTTAGGAAAGATATGGAAAAAAGTAGGGCATGGATGGACCTCAGATTTGAAGCCGAAACAGTTGGTTTTGAAATGGGAGAAGCCATTCTAGCAGAACTGATGGAAGATACAATACTAAACTGTGTAAGCAAAAGTACACAGAGTGAATGTTCTCAACTTCAAATTGAATACAAGGACACTGAAAACAGCACCAGTGTGTAAAAGACAACTCGCCTACTTTTTGTTCCTTATCACCTCGTAAATTGCTTTGTGAGAGGTGGAAGGGAAGTAAAGAATACTGGGGACTTATAGGCTTTTTTAAAGTATACTTGGTAGCATAACATTTCTCTTTGGTCATGCCTTACTTCTCCAGTATCAAATAGATTCATGGTGAATGAGGGTACTCAAATAAGGGACCACAAAGTAACAATAAGTAAATAAGAAGCCAGTTGCAACTGCTTCTTGCTAAGTACAATACAAATGATGCTTGTCTTGTTTACAATGACAAAAGTAACAGGTTTATTGTGTGTGCTGCACTTCACCCATAAGGGCCAACGGTATTTAGTTGTAGATTTTGTAGGGTTTGATATGCTGATCATATTAGCTGGTGTGTTTGATATCATTGTAATCCTTACTTCTCTGTATATTAGTTTTTTTGGTTAATCTATATATTGTATCTATAAGTTTGGAAATAATGAAGTGTGAATTCATCTTATTGAAGTTTCAAAGGGAAGAAGAAAGAAGAGATGTGAAACCGTGACATTAGTATAATTAGGAAACTGCAAATTGTTTGTTTGAAGCACTGTAGCATGTGAATAAATTTTCATTGCTTGTTTCTGCCCTTAATATAATCTAACAGGTTCATGAGCTGACAAGGTGCGTAATATGAAACATTAAATATAATTTAGATCCAAATAGATTAAAAGTAAGGAGTCCAAAACACTTGTTAACATTTTTAAAGCTTTAATTATCAATTTGAGTGATAATATATTTTATTCTAGATTTTCAATATTTTTAAAACACTTACATGTATATATATATATATATATATATATATATATAATCTCATTACTTTATAATCATATTATGAATTATTAGTTAACATGGGAGGGTGATCAAGCTGAAGGACCAAAATCTAAGCAACAGAGTCAATAATTTAATGGTTGGATACTGATCAAATGCGGAGAGCCTTTCAGGCTATTTTCCCATATATATACACGCAAATTAGTGTTGAATAAAACACAATATTTTATTTTATTTTTACCCTTAAAGATATTACAGTTTTTTATTTTAATTTTTATAAAAAACTTATTTACTTTTATCCTTCGTATTCAGCAAAAATGTAATAAAGGGCTAACAAAAATATAACTTTCGTAATTTTTAAGAACAAAAATGAGGGTTTTTTACAGGAACTAAAACAATAAAAGACATTTTTTTAGGAGTTAAACGTTTTTTTTTAAAGAGTCCTAACTCAAACAAAGAGAAATATATTCTTGTTCCATATTCAAATAATGATTTCCACTTGAATATGTCCAAGTTATATATGCTTTAAGTTGTTTAGATCATATTAAAGAAAAAAGTAATTTTTATAACTTTTTTCCCCTCTAAATTACTAGCTGTACACATTAAGCCCTTAATTAAAATATATACTGTTCACCATATGTAAAGGGATGATGTATATTACAAAAGAAATGATCTTGTAAACTTATTTATTAATTTGAACAAAATTTATTAATCACTTGGTTAATATATTCAACATTAATTAGGAAACCTATCTTAAAATTAGATACTCACTTTCTCTCATAATAGTATATTTCATTTTATTAATCTATAATTACAATCACATGAGTTATGATTCAAAAAAGAAGAGTAGTTTATAATAAAAAAAAATTAAAAGTAATGTTAACTACATTTTTTGTAATACCTTATTTGTTATATACTCTTTATTATTGAGTAAAATTTATTAAAAATTACAAAAATTATATGAGTTTTACACTTTCTCACTCTTAAATTAATGTTTATACTTTATTTTTTTTGTTTTCAATAAAATTTACTTAATAATAAAGAATATATTAGAGAATGTGTGATATTAGCATTCCTCCAAATTAATATTAAAGATTCGAACTACTTCATTAAACCCCTTCAGTAGTGAATTTATATTCATTTATTTTTTCTATCGAGACAATTTTAAACACACTATATTTTTTTAGCTTTGTTTGAATGATGAGATAATAACATAAGGAAGAAAGAGATAAGAAAATAAAAATGGTAGATTATTTAAATAGTAATAATAAAATAGAAAATGTTATTTATTTATTTAGATTAAAAAAGAACAAAAATAAATAAATAAATTATACTTAAAATTTATTTATAAAAACTATAAAAATTTAAATTAATAAAAAACTTTACTATGATATTTTTATATTATATAAAATAATATATTTAGTATATAAATAACTAAATAACATCACGATTCTACATCTTCATCTTCTCAACTGTTCCCCATCCTCAATATTTTTTATTTTTTATTTTGGCAACAAAGGCATTATTTTCTTTTCTCATGAGTCCCACCACATGACTTTCTTAACTTTCACAAAAAAGTCAAATGTACCGAACAAGTAAAAGGATAACAAAACACTCTTAAAATCGTTGACTTTGTTTCTTTCTTCACGATTCTCTACATCCTAGACTATTGTAACTTTTAAATTGAATTTTTGGTAATAATTTTAAATGCAGCTCTTTTCTGTTAGGACATCTCGACGAGCTTAGCTTGGAACTATAATATTATCTAAATGATCTTTGGTCCCAGAATTTGGTTAAACTCAAGCAAAATCTTGTTCAAGAAAATCTATTTTGGTTTCAAAAATCTAGATGCAAATGCTAGTTTCTACGAAAATTAGATACTAAACTCTATCCCACTTATTCAAGGGATATTTTATGGTGTGAGTGCACGTTATATATAAAGAAAACTATTGATTTTAGTTATTATAGAGAAAATATTATGGAAGCTCTTGTAAATCTTTAAAGTAGGCTCAAAATTATTTTGCTTTTATTTTTGTAAATGATCCATTGTTTCCTCTCAAAACGAATGGACACTACTTTATGTGTTTTAGGTTGTTTTTAAAAAATTCAAGTTAAAGTGTCAATGAAGAGAAATTTTTTTGAGTTTTTTAAAATGTGTTTTATAATAGACAAATTGAAAATTATAATGTTGATAGTTTTCATGTTACCAACTATCGTGTTTAGGTATCCTTTTATAACACCAATAAGAATGTTTTATAGAGAATTTACTAAAAATTCAACCTATGGAAGATGAACTCATCTTTTTTTGCTAAATGTTTAACTTCCATAATTTAATCATTTAACTCTGTTTATTCATACTAATATTTGTGGCTACCTTGATAAATTATGTTGTGATTTTGTTGAGAAAATATGGAACTAGAATTGGTAAAATGAGTTATTTGTTTTATTAGAGTTGACTTGTTACGTGTTGCAAGTTTTAATATTCTCAAAAGTTTTTAACTCACTAGCAAGTATACATGCTTGTTCTATATTGTTTCTTGAATTTAAATGATTCTAAAGGTTGACATTTTATGGTTGAAAAGAAGCAAAAATAAAGAAAGTCAAAAGTTTAAAGAAAAGAATGTGAAAAATTATAAAATGGGTTCAAATATAAATAATTGTCCAAAAACTTCAACTTCCTGTTATAATTGCCTAGTTGTCATTTAGTTTATCCTATTCAATCATGTTATAACAATTACTAATCACCTAATTCATTATTACCATTACCAAATATTTATGAAATAATATCAATCTTTCACTTTGTATATAGTCATAGAGAGTAACAAATAAATGATAAATTTGTTATTACAGTTAAAATATATATGCACAAGCTCAATAAAAATATTTTTTTTTTGAAAAATCTTGTAGATTATGTTTTAAATTTAATTGAATTGGATTAAAAAAAAAGCTAAATTTGGTTTGAGTCTAAAATTTGAAGCACAAATCCTATGCTTTATCAAAGGGGTTTTTATACCAACTTAACTGATCTAACTTATTTTTCTAAATCTATAAAGTCTGCTTAATTGCCTAGGACCATGTGTGTTCTCTCGAAACAAATAATGGTTTGAATTTTTAATCTTCAAGAATAGTTAATTTTGATTCCATAATGAAGTTAGGTTGGAAGTTAATTTATGGAAAGAAAATTCTTTGAATGCAAGTGTTTATGTCAAAATACTGTGATTTTGACTTGCTTTATATCTTGTTGAAAAATGGAATGAAGGGTCTAATGTTTGAAAGGGAATATACTAGATTAGAATTTTTATAAAAAAATTCTTTGGAGACTTGGGCTAATCATATTATATTTTGGTTTGATGTTTGCCTCTTAGGTTTTGAAAAATTTGAAGAATAGCTTTGCTTCCCTTGTCTAAAGTGGATGGTTTCAAAGTGGTGAAGGAGTTTATTGACCATTGTGGTTAATTATAGTAATTTTTTTCTAAAAATTATTTAATCAATTGTTAAATGACATAAGTCTTGTGTACTGTGTTTTTTCCCTATCTTATATAGTCTAGGTTAGTGCCTGAAAAATTTCACTTTGTTAGAAAAGTTGTCTTGAATATGCTTTTAACTAATATGAATAGAACTCATAAGGTTGTGGCTTTAAATTCATATTTCTTTCTACACAACTCAAATGAGAAATCAAAGTTGTGTACTAAAGGATTGTATGCATCCAATTGAAATTTTGTCTAAATTTATCTTTTATGATAATAAAAATGAGTCATTTGTTAATTAGAGTCAATTTTTAATTTTTGCATGAGTAGATATAAAAAAGGAGATTCACACTACTCTGTTAATACCATTTTAAAAACTGTACTATAATGTGAGTGATTAAGGCAAAATAAGCATATGTTTAGCAACTTACCTTTTCAAGACTTTGGCACTAGAACACAGGCAGTTAGATGACATCCTTTGAAGTGGCTTAAGCTCAACAACGATGCTTCTATGATTATGGAACTGGGAATGCAATATGTAGAAGGATTCGTGAAGATTATCTATTAGGATACTTTTGTGTTCACATATACATGCAATTCTTGAAGTGCTTTGAGACTTCTTTAGTTTAGATGTTCCCTAACACATCGCTATCCTGAGCTAATTAGAGATCCCCATGACTCTTCGTAGAGGTTTATGACATCTGCTGTCATTATATTTATAGAGAAAGCAACTCAATTATGAATGGTCATAAACAATACTTGTTCACAGAATTAGTTAATGTTTTTTTTCTATATTGTTGCTCGTTCCTTTCATTGGAAAAAAATAAATTTGCTTGAATTATAAAATTGATATCAATGAATAATTATAAAGGATCAAAATCAATCATTTTACAATCTAAACTCCTAAAAGAAATTTTAATCGAGGAATTATTTTTTTATGAGATCCAATCTTATGAAAAAGTTATTTATTAATTTAAAAAATATAAATAAGACAAGGCATTGTATTTGGTATACTAAAGCAATTAAAAAACGCAATAAACACAAATCTAGATAATCAAACTCTTAATAAATATCTTCTGCAAGTAAAATGACCATTTTGCCCTCGTTATGTTGTTTCTAGCAACTAATCATTCAAACAATTTCATGTAAATAAGATCAAAATAGGAGGATACAAGAGGAATAGAAAGCACCATGGAAAATAATAATAATTAACAATACTAATAATTTAATAATAAAATAATTAGTAGATCCCTTCCTCTTCACCCCTTTATTCCTATCAGAGGAAGCAACAACAACAACAGAGGCATCATCGTCGTCGTCATCACCACCCCAAAACTCAAAAGAGTCAAAGCTTCAAACCGTTCTTCTTCTTCTATATCTTTGCAATCTCGTTTTCTCTCTCCTACTTTCTCTCTCTTCAACCCTTTCCCTCAAAGTTCCTAAATTTTTCTTATCAGGTGTGCCCGAACTTTCCTTTTAGCCATCTTCAACCCCGTTTCCCGTTATTGCCAAAACCCCTCTTTTTCGGAATTCCTAATCGGAAACCCTAGCTCCCAATACCCCATAATTTCATCTCCACAATTAGCTTCCGAACAAGGGGAAAAACAAAAAAAAGTGAAAAGGTTCAGGATTTCGCCGCTCAAAAACCCTAGTTTTGGATCTTGCTTTGCAGTTCAAATTTTGGCGCTTTTTCTCGCATTAGGTTCAGTTTTTAGGTTTTGAAATTACAGGTTGAACCCCATGTGGATAGCTTGGATTTGGTGTGAAGTGCGATTTTTAGACGATTAAGCAGGTGGGTTGTCTTCAAAATTGTTTTTTGCATCTGAAGAAGTTTCATTTGGTGCCCTAGTTACTTCAGAGGGCAATATAAGCTGCTAGGTGTTTTGAGTTGGGAGGAAAAAATTTATAAGTAAATGGGTATTTTATTTATTTATTTATGTTTTGCCTATGAGTTTTGGACTATACTTATGGATCGGAAATGGTTGATTAAATTTTGCTACTTTCTTTTGTCTCATATAATTTATTACATCAGATATGTGTTGGAGTTATCATTCTGGCTACCACAAGATGATTGGTCACAAGTTTATTTTCTAGTTTGAAGAGCTGACACTTCATATAGGTACAGTTTCCATTTTTATATTCATTGGAATTCGCTCTAAAAAACTCTTAATAGGAAGATTCCAATTTAAATAGTTGCACTCTACTTCAATATCTAAAATGTTATTCGCTTATTTATAACTTCAATATTTACATTTTTTTTGACTGTTTAGTTTATGTTTGCCCTTTTTAGAAGTAACTGTGTTTTTTATGGGAGTATGAATGTTAGCTTCAATTTTTATTGGTTAAGTTGCTCAAATTCTCTGTCCTCTATTATCTTGGAAAAGCTGGATTCAGCAACGACCAGACTTTAGTATTTTGTATCCTTTCACTTTCCAGAATATGTTTAATGTCTAGCATTTTAAAAGCAATCTGCCAATGGAGTTTGATATTCTGATCTATTTGGGGCTCTGCATTTTTTTTAGTTATCAATTTTGTATCCTCACTAGTTAGAATAATAAAATTTTTCCTTGCATGTTTGCAACCCATGGTCCACCAATGGCGTCCAAATTTGGGATATATAGTTTTAGGGTGCGTTTTAATTCACAATTTATTAAAGCGCTTATTTAATAAGCTCTTTTTTAAATGATATCTTATGCCCTAAATTTAACTATGAAATTTTTTGGGATAATATGAAAAAAAACTTATTTTAATAAGTTATACCAATAAATTTATTGAAATAAGCTAAAAGGAGCTTATGAAGAGTCATAAGTTGTTTTCATCAGTTGTTCATAAGCTCTTTCAAACAAGCCCTTAGTGTATTAGGATTTCAGTATGTATCCTTTAGCAGCTGAAAGAAGTTCAATAATGCTTTGTCAATTGCGTTAATCTTTTTTATTTCAATTGTGCATCCTGTTTTCTTCACTTTATTTAATATGCTTTTTGTTTGCTTCATTGGCATTGGAATGAATGACTTGGGTGGCACTGTCGATCATGCAGTTTAGCTATTACAGCTCCTTGCAGTGGTATGATGCCGAGGGCAGTATGCTGGTTATAGTTTGGGGAAATGCAAAGGTATCATGCTGGCAGCTGCACTAGTGCAGTTAATAACAGTACAATAGGTGGGCCATCTGCTAGAGACACTGGAAGATCTGATTCACCTTCTTTGCCAGCTAACTTCTCTGTAAGTTCAAGGTAAGTGAACTTCCTTCTGAGATGGCCCCCTTATTGCCAATTTCTCGTCATCAGTGATTGTGACTAGTGCATATATGACAAAGATACTGCAAATTCCAAGTAATTGTGTGACCTGTGCTACACAATGGTTTGCTTTATATATATATATATATTCTGTTAGCTAATAATTTACTTCAAGTATAGAATGTTCCAAGTGCAAAATACTTATTTTATCTTGACTTTTCAGTTCTTATTAACTTCTTAAAAAGTTCAATAGTGTCCTCTGATACCACATATTCTCCACTTATTTTCTTGACTATCAAACTGTCTACTTTTGATGTTCTGTTTGGACGGTAGGATGGGCAAGCAATATTAGGTGACATCGTACATATCCATTCTCATGACTCTAGTGGTTTAGACCAGCAGAGTCAAAAATTGCTTTAGTGGGATACTGGGTAGCCGGATGATCACTATTATGATGTTTTGAGATGCTCATTAAGTAATTTATAGTACACATGTATAAATGGTGAAAAATAAAAAATACCCAGAATTAAAGATGTACTCATGATAAATGATCAAAAGTCAAAATTTGAAGATAAGTACATAGCAGATAAATATGAAACACCAGTTTCACAGTGGAACAGATAAGGGATACTGAGACTTAATATAGAATAGAGGATCAAATACATGAGTAGTGCTGTTGAGATCAACAGATTTTTTTTGGAAACTATCACAATCTGGCAAGAAAATGCTGCTGGAGAAATGGATGTGTGGTTTGTCTCTAGACTCGGAGAACTTTGCATGATGATGCTGTGACTATGATATTTTTCCCTCATTAATCATTGAAAAGGGGTAAAATCCAAAGATCACCACAAAAAAGTAAAGTAAAACTTAAATGCCTTTAACAAGTAAACCAAGAGTGCAACCAAAGAAAAGATAAGCTTTAAACGTTTTTAGCCCTATTTTTGTGCTTTTAATGGCCATAATTCCACAAACCAGAAACCACAACATGACACTGCTTCTCTAGCAGCCCAGCGCTGCTGTGGCATGCCACTGCTATAGAGCGCTGTTAGCTAATTTGCTCATAAATAGCAACAACGGAAAATGATAGTTGTAAGAAAGTTGGTAAATACAGGGTTGAAAGTTTTCACTTTTTTGATTATTTTCTTTCTGTATAATGGTTATGTTTGCAAATTTCCCTTCTATTTTGATTTTCTACTCTAAAAATATGTTCTCTTTTTTCATGAGAAATTAATGTAAAATATAGAGGAATAATTTAACAACTATCTGCCTTGATGTGTTGACTTAATGAATGTGGAAAATGTTAGTGTTAATTGGTTTAATTTTTATTTTTCATTTTTTAATTTAAAATTTAAATACTTTTTTTTAATCTGCAAAGTTAGCAAATATTTATTGGTGGATTGGTTATATGAAGTAAGGAATTTATTGAGTCAGACACAAAATTACAAAGAGAAAGGTGACAAAGAATCCTCCTAAAGAAAAAAACAGAATACAGAACAGAAAACAACTGAGAAAAAATTGAAAGTCGATGTAACAAGGGTTTCCAATCCCTCAACATATGTTAGAAAACCCCCATTAAAAAGGCTATGTGCTGCTGTATGCCAAATAGATGCCAAACACTTGGTCTAAAACATGATACAACAATAACAACACCTTATTCCACTAGGTGAGATCAGCTGCATTGATCACATGACGTTGCTAGGCTCACTCAAAAACTAAATTCTCATAGACATTATTTACCATGAGATATTTTTTTATAATTTTTTTCAAAATTCTTTTATGATCTCTACCCTTTTTCATAGATTAAAAATGACACAGTCCATTCTCCTCATTATTGTTTTTAGTGGCCTTCTTTGCATATGTTCAAACTACCTTAACTGAAATTTATGTCATCCTCTATTAACAGGCGTTATTTCAATATTTGTGTACACTCATTTCATATTCTGTCCTTTCTCATATGGTCATACATTTATCTTAGCATTCTCAAAGACTTGGTGTAAAATGTGATGAACCAAAGAAGCCTCCTTAAAGATGGGACCGTGTCTCTCCAACCAATGCATCAAATTTTAGAATAAATGCACAATGTCACAAAATTTAGCCTCTTCAGTTCTACTAAATCCAATACCATGAAAAAACTCATGACGTTAATTATCAAGAATTTGTCCATGGACGTAGGGCATACTGAACAATCACTGAAAATGCCAAATAAATAAGGAGTGCCACACAAAGACCATGGCAGAACAATGTAAGAACAGGTGAAGAAATTATTCTAAGATGGCACCACACATTACATGCATTTGGAGAAAGAGCCTTATGTGGCCTATGAATGTTCAACATGTCATTTATATTGATTCTATTGAGTACCACAATCCAAATATAAGACTTGACCTTCGAGGAAGTGTTGGATTTATGCAAGGGTTTATGAGGAACTTATACCTATGCGAAGGGGTTATCTTATATATTGTTAGGAATAGAAAACTATTCCTGGGTCCACAAAAACTACATAAAGTATGGTTTAAATTTCCAAGACAGGAGTGGATTGTGTAATTTTCATATAAATAATAGAGAACTTTGACTCTAGTTCTGCAGAAGTTGTTTTGATCTCTGTTCCCCCTTTCAGTTATATTTTTAATCAAGATTTCTTCATTTTCATATCATTTTAATAATTGTTTTATTATTTTTGTGTGCTGGAGTGATTCTACCATACCATTTCTAGTTTCTGAATATTGTTAATCATTTGAAGGTGAAGGGTAATAGGGTACTGTGTTGGTAGTTGTTTTTTTCAAAAATGGATGCAATAGATTTGTTTTAGTACTGTAATACTATAAATTGGAAATCCAGCCATTTATGTTAATAATGGCATTTTAAATTCATTTATTTGCCTTTGGTTTATATTCGATTGACCTAATACTGCCAATGTTTCATATATCTATCTATATAGTAGCATATTATTTTTTTATGCTGAATCTGAAATCTAATTCTGTTCACTTTGAACACAATGGTTTGTGTTTGCAGGCGACAACCACCGCTAAACCCATACAAGTTGAAGTGTGATAAAGAACCCTTGAACTCTAGGTAGTTTCTCTTCATAAGGGCACACCTGATAAAATTATTACTTACTTTTTCTTCAAATTGACTACTAGTGCTAGCCTTAGGCTTTATTGGGGCCAAATTTTCATATATACAAAAATTACATGTACAGTGTTTTCCTTTTCACCTTGTTTATCAGCTTTTTCTTTTGTTTGTAGTGAGTTGGAATAGTTAAGTAGTTGAAAAATTGAAGTTGTTAAGAGACTTGGCTTAAATTGTAGGAGAGGAATAGAAGTGCAGGATTCTGATCTACTATTCTAGGAAATAGAGCATTGCTTGGTGTTAGCAGGGGAAACTCTTGGAAGGAGTATGCTCTGTCCTTTTTCCTTATGAGATTCCATAAACCTTTGCAGATTTGTTCTCTTTCTCTTTTGTCTCTAGATTTTTCAGTTCTTTCTTGTTGCTTTGTAACAATTTAGTCTGCACTTTGAGATGCCATATTTTGGGGATAATGTTGAACCAAGAATATGGGCTCTTCAGAATTTAGCAGGGTTCTCAAAGAAGACAGTGAGCAAATAGGGTGCAATTACATCTAGATTTGCATGTAGAGAAGTTTACTAAGGAAACTGACAATGAAGTTACAACTTGCTATGAAAGATGCAATGTGCACTAGTTTCACTTCTGGAGGAAGATGCCAGACTTGACTAGGGAATGGTTTACTGTAATGTTGATACTGAGGTTCGCAGAACAAAACATGGGCAGCTTGTATGAAAGATTATCCACCTTGTGGAAAATGGGATCTTTTGATAAGTATGTGCCCATATTCCTGATAAACTATTACTGGGGTATTTCTTAGGTAGTTGAGGAGTGATGTGAAATGCTTGGTTTAGACAGACCTGTGTGCCACCAAACTCCTTTTGGACCTCAGTCCTGTGTTCCAGAAGCACAATCAGGTATCATCTCGGGGGAGGCATTGTGCCAAGAACAGGATCAGTTGGGGGAAATTACAGTGGGTTTACCTGGACTGTTGTAACCAAGGTTTGTTAAAAGCGAGAGTTTAAGAAAACTCGTGAGGTGCAAACTTGACTCATTATCTCATGCAAAGAAAATATTAAAAATAACAATAGTGAAGTAAAATATAATATCAAAATTTAAAACATACTAAAATAGTTAATCATACAATGCCAATAATCACAGTTGCTGCTAGTAAACAAACGCCATTCACTTTAGCAAGAAACACAATCTACTCACTTGAATAATGCAGAATAGTGAAGTAATAAAGCAAGGACAGGGAGGGTCAACAATGGTCAGTGAAGGAGCTCTCTGCTTGCCCAGAGTCCTCTCTTTTAGAGGATCACTATTCGGAGGTCAAATGTGGTGGTCCTTACCACTGCAAGAAGCTCTCTGTTTCATTTGCACAAGGTCGCCAGAGCCTGGTTGTCAAATGGCTGTTGCCCTGGCTCTCTGTTCGTTACTGTTCGCACGGGATGTTGTCACACGAAGTCTGTTTGCTGCAAGTCATCGTTCTCTGTTTGTATCTTAGAGTTGCAGGTCACATGATGTTGCTGTATCAGTCCGTTGCAGATTGGTTAAGAACTTTCACGAGAATAAAGTTAACCCTAAGAATAGGAAACTCAGCTGTTTCAGTAGAAATTGTGAACTCGGTAGTGAACTCACGAGTTTACATGAGTTCAATTGAATTCATCCGAATTTAACAAGGTGTGAGATTACAAGTGATACAACTCATTTTGGGTACCTAAACTCATAAACTTGTACGAATTTACGAGTTAAAACTAGAGTTTTTAACAATGGTGGTAAGGAACACCATTGTTGGGCTTATTCAAGATTTAAGAATGACACACGGCTCAAACAATGATTCAGAAAAAGTGTGCAAGAAGGAAGTACAGCAACAATGCGCTCCACCACTAAGCCCAATGGCAGTGGTTTGTACACTCAGTGAAATGGTAGTTAGGTTACTCTACTAACCAGGGTTATGTAAGGAGAAGAGAAGAGGGTAGATGTTTTTACTATTGCCAACCAATTGTTCCCTGCTCAGGTACCCCCAATAAAAAAAGTATGACGGTGATGACTTTAGCCTGAGATTAACAAATGGAAAGGCATTTACTCAAGACTCCTTTTCACTAAAGTCCAGGTAAGGTAGACTGGACGAATATGTCTGTTTTTGCAACTCTTCATATCTCCTAGTCTATATACTATGGCCTTGGTAACTGTTCCTCACCAGTTCCTTATCATGGGTCAGCTGAGTAGGATCTCTCTTGGTTATTCCTTCTATAGTTGGATTATTCCATTAGTTGGATTGGGTCCACTTTTTCATTATGAGGCTGAACCTTTTCAGCATTAGGGTATTTGGTTTGCCTGAGGACTACTAAACAGGTATAGTACCAGTTTGGGGGAATAGATGGGAAGAGTGTTAAGATGGAATCCGACGAAGAATAATTGTAGTTAGAAGGATATGGTCACTATCTAATATTGGTTCTGCACTTTCAACCTTGCTGTCAAGGTTGAACTTCAAGTGGACGGTATTGATAGGGCCTAGGGAGTAGTTACTTTGAATAGTTAAGTGGTTGGGTTGTTAAAGTTGTGATAAGTGTGGGGACTTAGGTTGGGATTCATATTTATTAGATTTGAAAATGGGCGATGGCTCAGTTGTAAAAGGGGGAAGCCTTACAGGGAGAATTCTCTTCTTTTTTCTATGAGATTCAATAAACTTCTGTAGATTTGTTTTCTTTAGATTTTTTTTCTCAAGACTTTATCTTGTTTGTAAAATTACTCTTAAGGCATTAATCTCTTAAGGCATTAAGCTTCGAGGTGTCATTATCTTGTACATTTACATGCAAAACACTATTATTTGAATCTCAGGCTTGGGGCACCAGACTTTCATCCCCAAACACCAACTTGTCCAGAGGAGACTCTAACAAGAGAATATTTGCAATCTGGATACAGGGATGCAGTTGAGGGACTTGAGGTATGCCATTAAGTGACTATTTCTTTAAAATAAGCTAAATAAAACATGCACTGAATTGTTGTTATCTTGTTTTCCTCATATGTTGTTTGTAAATTTTTGAGAGAACATGTCCAGGGTAATTGAATGTTTGGAACTGTAGGCTGTTATATATGTCTTTTTATGTTCAATTCTCATAGGTTTTTTTTATGCGGTGATCCCAACTATAGGGAATAACTAAAGAACTGCATGTATAAAAGCAGTCTGGTGTTGGCCCAAATCGTTTATATTAGATTTGGTGGGTATTATACTTGCTAATGATGTGTTAGGTACTTCTAATAAATCTTATGCTGGTGTGACGATCATGTTACTTTTGGATTGTATTATGCATGTATCTGTCTGTGCAAGTGTCAGTGAGGTTGATATTACAGATTTTCCTTTTAAATTTCAAATCTGAACCTCCCACTTTTCAAGGTAATTGAAATAGTGATCTAGGCATGCATAATTCTTGAGAATTATAGCTCTCTTGGTTAGTTGTTGACATAAAAAATTCAAATTGTGCGTTCATAAGATAGATTATTTTAAACTGTTCAAACCTGCCCTTTTTTCTGGTGTCTGTTATTTTCTGACATTGCATTGCTTCCTGTGTTTCTCAGGAAGCTAGAGAAATTTCGCTGACCCAGGTTCCACATTTTAACAAGGCAGTTGTTCTTAATTGCAAAGAGGTGAATCTCTTGTCTCATTTCTTTTTGGAGATTTTGATGTCCACTTTATTTATTTATTTTATGACTTTGCTCTGAAATTACTGCTCATCTCTATTTTTATTTTGTTTTTCATTGGAAGCCTGTGTGGATATAGGTTAACTTGTTAGTTTTTAATCTACTTTCCAGGCCATTAGAAAATGTCTTAGGGCCATCAATGAATCTCGTGCTCAGAAGAGGAAGGTGATGATCTTTAATCTGTTATGCAATCTATTTATCCTTGCTGAACATTCTACTTCTATAGTATGTCCATATTTGTGTGTTTTCTTCTAGCTTAATTTAGATTTAGTGCAGTCACCTATCTTGGTTTGTTATGGAGGTGTTTGATCTAAATGATAGCATTTGATTTGACAGGCTGGCCAAGTGTATGGTGTGGCTCTTTCAGGATCACAACTTGCTAGGTCTGGCGTTTTCCCTGAACTAAGACCCAGTGGTGAGGACTTCCGGAAGAAATGGATTGAGGTATACTTCCTGATAGTCTTGCTCCTATTGCATTTTTTTCTTTGTGCCAATTCCAGTATATTAACTGTGGCCTCTCAAATTTGTTTCGGATATGTTTTGGCAAAATTTATATGAAGAAAGCACAAGGTCTTAATTTGAATGGTTAAAAGATGGTTGTAGTTTTGATGTGACTAGTTGCAGGATGTGAATATGGAGGGATCTGGAATGTTTATATGCTAAATAGTTCCATGCAGGCTGTAGCCATTCATGAATTTAGTAGAACTGATGTATATAAGCTACTATGACCAATTCCTTAGGCTTTTGGTTGTTATGGCTGTAAAATCTCTGAATACTTTTTGTTCAATGTTACTTGGTGGTTCAATGTCTTGGGAAATTGTGTTATAGGGCTTATCACAACAGCACAAGCGATTACGCTCGTTGGCTGATCATGTTCCTCATGGTTATAAAAGGGCATCACTTTTAGAGGTTCTTATCAGGAATAATGTTCCATTGCTCAGAGCCACCTGGTTTATCAAGGTTACTTACCTCAATCAGGTAAGGATGCTTTAATGTTGGTATATTTACCTATTGTGCCAAATTCATATATTTTGATATCTGAAGGTAGATTATGATTGAACTTTTCAGGTTCGACCTGGTTCTGTTGGTATATCTTCTGGGACTGCTGACAAAATTCAGCTGTCTCGCTCTGAGGTTTGGACCAAAGATGTTATCAATTACTTGCAAACTCTTCTGGATGAATTTTTCTCAAAGAATACTTCTCATTCTACTCCTCATAGTCGAGAACGATCACCACAAGTGCCTTATACTGGATCTCTTCAGCATAAAAGTGATCCATTCTTATCAGTTTCTGATGGTGAAGATCCATCCTTACATTTTAGATGGTGGTATATGGTGCGGCTTCTGCAATGGCATCATGGTGAAGGGTTGCTTCTTTCTTCTCTTGTCATTGATTGGGTGTTGAATCAACTACAGGTATTCCTTATACATCATTTTGCATTTACCAATTTTTATGTGCTAATGAAAATATAAGTGATGCATATATATTTTTTACTGATTCTCAACCTTCAGGTTTTGATTTTTCACATTTCTATTCCTTTCAGGAAAAGGAACTGCTTGAGGTTTGGCAGCTGTTATTGCCTATTATATATGGTTTTTTAGAAACTATTGTTCTATCTCAAACTTATGTGCGCACTCTTGCTGGATTAGCTCTCCAAGTCATTCGTGATCCTGCTCCAGGTGGTTCAGATCTAGTTGATAATTCCAGGAGGGCATATACAACTTATGCTCTGATTGAAATGCTCCGGTATTTGATACTTGTGGTGCCAGATACTTTTGTTGCTTTGGATTACTTTCCTTTACCATCCTCCATAGTTTCACATTCAATGAATGATGGGAGTTTTGTACTAAAGTCAACTGAATCGTCAGGGAGGATAAAAAATAGTTCAGATGATTTTGGTAAAATTATTTCATGCATTCAGAGACATACAGAAGATCTTGCAAAGGCTGCAAACCCAGGCTATCCAGGTCATTGTCTGGCTAAAGTTGCAAAGGCCTTAGATAAATCTCTTGTGCTGGGTGATTTACGCATGGCATATAAATTTCTTTTTGAAGATCTTTTTGGTGGAACTGTATCTGAAGGTTGGGTTGCAAAAGTCAGCCCTTGCTTAAGGTTATCTCTGAAATGGTTTGGGACTGTAAATACACCCCTTATATATTCAGTATTTTTCCTTTGTGAGTGGGCAACGTGTGATTTCCGGGATTTTCGTTCTACTCCTCCTCACGACATAAAGTTTACAGGTAGGAAAGATCTTTCCCAAGTGCATATAGCTGTTAGACTTTTAAAGATGAATATGAGAGATGCAAAAATTTCATTTAAACAAACAAATGAGAGAATTCAAAGAGCTGGTCATTTTTCAAAAAATTCAAGTCAACGGCATAATTGGAATTATGTGGGTAATGTATCCAAATTGAAATCTAGTTCAAAATGTGTGGACCAGAGTACCAGTCCTTCAGTTATATTTGAAAGCCCGGGTCCTCTCCATGATATTATAGTTTGTTGGATTGATCAGCATGTGGTGCACAGAGGGGAAGGTCCCAAGCGCCTACATCTATTTATAGTGGAACTCATAAGTGCAGGCATCTTTTACCCCTTGGCATATGTACGGCAGCTGATAGTGAGTGGGATCATGGATATGAATGTCAATGCTGTTGACCTGGAGCGACAGAAGAGACACTATCGCATCTTAAAGCAGCTACCTGGACGCTTTGTCCATGATGCTTTGGAGGAATTAGGGATTGTTGAAGGGCCACAGCTCAAAGAAGCCTTGCAAATTTACTTGAATGAACGCCGCCTCATACTTCGTGGTCCTTTGAGTCAGTCCCATGATGATGCCAGTGGTGCCAATTTATCTGCTTCGAAGCAAAAGCAATATCCAGCTTCTACAAAGGGTGGAGTTTTGAAAGTGCCAATTGATCAGAGAAGAACTGCTATTTCTAACACAATATCTTCAAAAAATGCAAAGGATGATGCTAACGTTGAAGAACTAAAAACAGCCATCTCAGTACTGCTACAGCTACCTAATTGTTTATCTAATTTAAGCACTACAGGCTCTGATGAATCTGAAGGCAATGTTAGGAAACCTATCTGGTCTCATTACAGCAAGATTGATTCTGTGGAGGCTACACCTGGGTGTGAAGAATGTAGCAGAGCAAAGAGACAAAGGTTAAACGAGGAAAGAAGCTCATTTGTTCAAGGGCATTCTCCAGTTCATTCCGATGATGATGATACATGGTGGGTGAAGAAGGGAATGAAATCCTCGGAGCCTCTCAAAGTTGATCAACCACAAAAGTCAACCAAGCAGGTGACTAAGAGTCGACAAAAGAATGTCCGTAAAACTCAGAGTCTTGCTCAGCTGGCAGCTTCTAGAATTGAGGGTAGCCAAGGGGCGTCAACTAGTCATGTGTGTGATAACAAGGTAAGCTGTCCTCACCATAGATCTGCTACAGATGGAGATGGGCTGAGGTCTGTGGATAGCATACGAACAAGTAATTATGGGGATGTAGTTTCCATTGGAAAAGCACTAAAGCAGCTTCGCTTTGTTGAGAAAAGAGCAATAGCAGTTTGGCTGTTGACTGTGGTCAGGCAGGTAGTTGAAGAGAGAGAGAAAAATCTTGGTAAAACTGGTCAGTTTGGCAGGCCTTTTTCCATGGTGGAGGATAGAAGCTCAATACGGTGGAAACTTGGTGAGGATGAACTTTCAACAATACTTTATTTGATGGATATTTCTGATGATTTGGTATCAGCTGTCAAGTTCCTCCTTTGGTTGCTACCAAAGGTTCTTAATAGCCCCAATTCTACAATTCATAGTGGGAGGAATGTTTTGATGCTGCCAAGGAATGCGGAAAACCAAGTTTGTGATGTGGGAGAAGCATTTCTGCTATCATCACTAAGAAGGTTTGCAGCTCTGCTCTCAGTTATACTTCTATATTTTTTGTTTGCTGTCTCTTTGCTCTTCCCCTCATCCCAGCATTTCCTTCTTATTCTTGTGGCATTTGCTTAGCTTAGCAACACCTTCAAAATGTGTGATATAGATACTATACTTTATGAGGTACCCAATAAGCTGTTGTATGTGTTCCTTCCTGTACTCCCCTTTCTTGCCATCTTTAATTAGTTCAGCATCGATTAAATCTTGCATTGCTCTCATCTACTCAGGATTGCCAAAATAAAATCCTATACTTACAAATTAACAACACAAATAACTGTTGTTCTTGTTATAAGGGGGCCTGTTTCAAGTTCTAAACTAATTTCAGTGCAAGTTTGCTGAACCTTCAGTGAAGTTTTAATGACTTTTTATGGGCCATCCTATCTTTTTTGTCATTCAACCAGTGCTTCATAGGCAGTCTTTAAGCTTGTGTTGGACAGTTTCTGTATGTATTTTTGGGATGAGATTTTGTCAAACTTGTCTTGTGTATTGTATTTGTTGTAGGTATGAGAACATTCTTGTTGCAGCAGACCTTATTCCTGAAGCTTTGTCATCTGCAATGCATCGTGCTGGCACTATTATTGCATCTAATGGAAGGGTTTCAGGTTCAGGATCTCTAGCTTTTGCTCGGTATTTATTTAAAAAATACAGCAATGTGGCTAGTGTCATTGAGTGGGAGAAAACATTTAAGACTACATGTGATGCAAGACTTTCCTCTGAACTTGAGTCTGGTAGAGTGGATGGAGAGATAGGGTTGCCCTTAGGAGTTCCAGCTGGAATTGAGGACCCTGATGATTTTTTCCGTCAGAAGATAAGTGGCGGTCGGTTGCCATCCAGAGTTGGTGCAGGCATGAGGGACATAGTGCAGCGTAATGTTGAAGATGCATTCCCCTATCTTTTTGGAAAGGATAGAAAGATTTTTGCTGCTGGTACACCAAAAGGTCCTGCTTTAGAAAAATGGGATAGTGTATATCAAATTGCTCAAAAAATAGTTATGGGTCTGATTGATTGCATAAGGCAGACTGGTGGGGCTGCTCAGGAAGGAGATCCCTCTTTGGTCTCATCTGCTGTTTCTGCAATTGTTGTTAGTGTTGGTCCAACTTTAGCAAAAATGCCTGATTTTTCATCTGGCAATAATCATTCAAATATAATGTCAGGTACAAGTTCATTGAATTATGCTGGATGCATTCTGCGAATGCATATAACCTGTCTCTGCCTGCTTAAGGAAGCCCTAGGAGAACGCCAAAGCCGTGTATTTGATATTGCTCTTGCAGCTGAAGCTTCTAATGCTCTTGCTGGTGTTTTTACACCAAGTAAAGCATCTCGAGCTCAGTTTCAGATGTCTCCTGAAGCCCATGATACTAGTAACTCTATTTCAAATGATATAGGAAGCAACCCTAATAAAGTTGTGGTTGCAAAAGCAACAAAAATTGCTGCTTCTGTTTCTGCCCTTCTTGTTGGTGCAATTTTATATGGTGTTACCGGCCTGGAAAGAATGGTAACCGTTCTCAGATTAAAGGAGGGGCTAGATGTGGTACAATTTTTAAGAAGCACAAGATCCAATTCAAATGGAAATGCTCGTTCAGTTATGGCTTTTAAGGCAGATAGTTCAATTGAAGTTCATGTCCATTGGTTTAGATTGCTTGTTGGAAACTGCAGAACAATCTGTGAAGGGTTAGTGGCAGAACTCTTGGGTGAGCCATCTATTATGGCTCTTTCAAGGATGCAACGTATGCTTCCTCTAAACTTGGTCTTTCCTCCTGCCTATTCAATATTTGCCTTTGTTAAATGGCGGCCCTTCATTCAGAATGCTAATGTCACAGTTCGTGAAGACATAAATCAACTTTACCAGTCTCTAACAATGGCCATAACTGATGCTATAAAACATTTGCCTTTTCGAGATGTATGTTTTAGAGACTGTCAGGGTCTGTATGATCTTATGGCTGCAAATGGAAGTGATTCTGAATTTGCAACCTTGCTCGAGTTGAATGGTTCTGATATGCATTTAAAATCTACGGCATTTGTTCCTCTACGCTCCAGGCTTTTTCTAAATGCCATGATTGATTGTAAGATGCCACAATCTGTTTATTCAAAAGATGATGGGAGCCGGATTTCTGGACCTGGTGAATCTAAAATTAAGTTCACAGATCGTGAGTCTAAGCTTCAGGATATGCTTGTGCATGTTTTGGATACCATGCAACCTGCCAAATTTCACTGGCAGTGGGTCACACTCAGGTTGCTTTTAAATGAACAAGCCCTCATTGAAAAACTGGAGTCTCATGATATGTCTTTAGCTGATGCTATACAGTTGTCCTCACCTAGTCCAGAGAAGGCTGCTGCTGCTTCTGAGAACGAGAACAATTTCATTCAAATACTTCTCACAAGGTTGCTGGTTAGACCTGATGCTGCTCCCCTTTTCTCAGAGTTGATTCATCTCTTTGGTAGGTCACTAGAGGATTCAATGTTGTTGCAAGCTAAATGGTTCCTTGGAGGTCAGGATGTTCTCTTTGGTCGGAAGACCATCAGACAAAGACTACATAACATTGCTGAGAGTAAAGGACTCTCTGTTAAGGCCCAATTTTGGGAGCCATGGGGTTGGTGTAGTCCATGTACTGATCAAGGGACTATCAAAGGGGATAAAAAGAAGTTTGATACTGCATCTCTTGAGGAAGGAGAAGTTGTTGAAGAGGGAATGGATTTGAAAAGGTGCCTCAGAGGGTTATCTCAAGTGTCTGACACTGAAAACTCAAGCTGTAACCAGCAGCAAGTGACTGAAAGGGCTCTTATTGAGTTACTTCTTCCTTGCATAGATCAAAGCTCTGACGAATCCCGCAATTCCTTTGCAAATGATTTGGTGAAACAGCTAAGTTATATTGAGCAACAAATAACTGCTGTTACTGGTGGAAGTAAGGCAGTGGGAGCTGCTCCTCCCGGTGTGGAAGGTCAGACAAATAAAGTAAATAATCGCAAAACTATGAGAGGTGGAAGCCCTGGATTAGCTAGACGACCAACAATGGCAGCAGATTCTTCCCCACCATCTCCAGCAGCCCTTCGAGCTTCTATGTCATTACGTTTGCAGTTACTCCTGAGATTTCTTCCTATTCTTTGCACTGACAGGTATTGAGACTGGATATTCCTGTGTGTAATTTAGCATTCTTGTTGCAGGATTGTTGCCACTCTAGAGTTATCTTTTTCTTGGATGAATAGTATGAGATTATCTTTTTTAACTAGTCATAGTTAGTAGTTACCTGTCGAGTGAAAAACAAAAAAGAAATATTGTGGCCCTTTTCTGTTTTCTTGAAATATATAAAAAATGGAGCTAATTGCAATATGATTATTTTCACATTTCCTGAAATACGGTCCCATTTAATGTGATGATTAGCATGGGTCCCAGCTGTGGGCGCTGATTGTGATAGTTTTTCCCTGAATCAAAATGGATTTGAGCTTTAAATTTTTGGGTGTTGGAAATCAGTTAAATCTGTTAATTATGGCTCTTCAGAAGTGAAACTATCCCTATTTGTGCTGTGATCATGAAGGTATTTTATGTATGTATGATATGTGATGGAACTATTTCATCGTAGAATGTTAAATTCCATATGTTCTATTTTGTAGGGAGCCGTCTGTGCGAAGCATGAGACAAAACCTTGCCTCTGTAATTCTTCGTCTACTTGGTAGCAGGGTTGTGCATGAGGATGCAGACATTTCGGTGAATCCTGTGCCATCTCTGCTGAGGAGGGAGGTGGAGTCATCTTCTGATGTTGCTTCTACTGCATGTGTGGATTCTTCTTCTAGGGGTCTGTTTGATCGTTTGTTTTTGGTTTTGCACGGGTTGTTAAGTAGTTATCCTCCAAGTTGGCTTAGGCTGAAGCCTATTACAAAGACGAGCAACGAACCTACTAGGGAAATTTCTGTAATTGACCGAGAATTATTGGAGACTTTGCAGGTTTGATCTTTTAGCCTATAGATGTGTATAGTTTTTGTTTCTAGTCACTAGTTCTTATTAGGTGTTGGTTCAACCTATTTAACACTAATCTAACTTACCTTAAGAAACTGGTTGAAGCAGAAACATAAAGATTCTTTGATTGCTTTAAAGCTCTATAGCTGATTGGAATCTTAATTCAGTTAAACTTCTGTTTTACGGATTTATAGGTGCTATTGCTATATATAACTTATTTTTCTTAATTGGATAAGATGGCAATGCCGGAAACATTTCTTCAAGACTGAAAAGCAATGAACTTGTTATATGATAAGATCTTCTGTCTTTGCTGCTGCCTATGAATCACTGATTCTTGAAAATTTCTACCTTGCCTGTGTTAGGTACAAACCTTTTGTCAAATACCGTACTGAATGCTCCTTCAACGCAAAATGTTTGCTTCGATTGTGTAATATTTGGTTTTTTAATTTGCTGGGGTGTTTTTTTCAACAAATGTTGGATATAATAAGATTGTGATGGTTTCTAGACTTCTATTTTCTGATCACTAATATTGCAAATAAAAACTCTTCTTTTTTCTTCATCTTCATCCTTCAACCATGGAATGGCCCGACCATTATCTTTATATGATGGTTTTATATGTTTTCTGAAATGATATCTAATTTTTACATACATGTTATGGTGCATCATGCTAAATCCCAATTTTTCAAGGAATGATGTATCCCATGTTGTACTATGGTTGTATCGGTGCATCATAAATTGCTACTAAAACTTTACAATTTGTCAATGTTTGTGTTTGAAATGCTATTTCAATCTTCCTAATATTGCTTATCTAATGTTCTATTGTCTGATGCAGAATGACTTGGACCGTATGCAACTGCCAGACACTATACGGTGGCATATCCAAGCTGCAATGCCCATACTCTTTCCCTCTATGCGGTGCTCCTTATCCTGCCAGCCACCAACTGTGTCAAACAGTGCTCTTGTTTGTTTTCAACCCAGCAATACAAATCCTGGGATTAACTCCAGTGGTTCAACTATACCTCAGAGGAACTTGGTTCTATCCAGGGTTGCAGCTAATGCATCTGGGAAGTCAAAACAACAGGACAATGATTTGGAAATTGATCCTTGGACGCTTTTAGAAGATGGTGCTGGATCTTACCCTTCTGCTGGTAATACTGCTAGCATAGGAAGTGGTGATCATGTTAATATTCGAGCTGCCAGCTGGCTTAAAGGGGCTGTAAGGGTGAGGCGGACAGACCTTACATATGTTGGTGCAGTGGATGACGATAGCTGATTAACGATAATTTTTTGTTGGTTTGGAATATACAAACCCCTCAGCAAGTGCATTTGCAGTTTCAGTATTCATATTGGATGCATGAATGGCATGAAGATTCCATTTTGTGCATGCCCTTCTTGTGTTGAAGTTGAAGGGAAGTTGAGGGGGCATTATTTTGAAAATGGGTGAAGGATTGGATGGGTTCTAATTCATTGTTGAAGAGAAGAGGTGATGTCCTCACAGGTCATCCTTTGGGTTCTGGCCTGGTTGACTACTAACCTGTTGATCACCCCCAATCTGGATTGTGCACTTCGTGCACAGTTCAGAAGGTTTGTTGTATATATAGGGATCATTGTTTCACTTTACCAATTGATCTGAGTAATATAATCTCAAGTGATTTGTAGCTGTTTCATGCTCATTTTTATTTGTCTAGTGCACCCTTGTGTGCGCAGTGTCTATATATCTTTCAGGGGCGCAAGCACACACAAGGGCACTCAACCATTGTTTCTTTCCACATATTAAGATTATCAAAATTATGTGCTTGATATGTAGCATTACCATAATATTTGCTGACAAGTCCAGAGATAATTTCATTTTTACCTGAATATTTTATCAGGAAAAAAAATTATGTATGCACGAGTAGCGAGGGAAAATTTTGTTAGGTTTGATAAATACACACATTTCTGTTACATGCAGTATTGCATTTGGTTTAAATGAGCAATGCATGTTAAAAAAATGTTAAACCAGCGTTTCTTTTTTGTTAATTTAAGCAAATATCTTAATAAAACCAGAATGCCCTTCCATGAATATTTATTTTGTAACTGTAGGAATCTTAAATTATCATAGCATTCAAATGTGTTCCATTCGTCTATAAATTGCACATTAGACTAATAAGAGGCCTATGAGACAACTATTATTGAAACAAACGATTTTATTTTCTTCTGGATATTGTGAAAAACTAACCAATAGGAAGTAACATTGGCATTAAGATGGATAATCAAGAAAGGAAAGCAACATCACTAGTTATAACTAACGTGATGTGAGCTACAGTGCACTGCGATTGGAAGAGAAAAACTGCACAGGAAGATGAAAAAAACATACAAGTGAACAAAAATTAATGAGAAAAATCTTTGATATTATTTGGAAGAAATCCATGCAAGGAAATTTTGAAACAGAAAAATCATTTACGAGTAACCGAAAAAGAACCATGCTTCAGTTGCTGTTGTAGACAATTTCTCGCAATATTTGAGTACTCTGACGACAGCCGTAATTTAGAACTTAGCATGCTACTTCTCGCATACTGCACAATAGACTGCATTTCAACTTATCTTCTGGAGGACAATCGACGAGAATACGAGATGTTAATAAGTGAAATATAAAGGACATGTTCTGAAAAGGATGAACCAAAAATTATCATTTTTACTTCATTGCTTGGGTGGGAAAAAGTGGGGAGAAAAAATGACAATAGTACAATGAAGTTGGAAGGATTCAAAACAGCAGTTTATTCAACAATCATAATCTAAGTAAATATAAAACAGCTCAGGATCTAATCGTACAAACATGGCAGCTTTTCGCAATTGCATTCAGGAACTTCCTAGTTCCCTGTTCAAGTAGTCAATGAACATTCGTTTTGCACTATTTGCATCAGAAGGAGGTGGTGGTCCACTTAAACTCGTTTGCCCTGTTAATTTTATAAAGGTACGCCGCATCCTTCGAAGCTCTGGCAGACCAACTAACCTTGAAATATTGATTGCAGGTAAGTCTTTCCCTATGGAAATGCCATTAAGTGGCCCGCCAATAGCATTAGATTGGGCTTCTACTATAGCATTTGTGACCTCTTGTGTTGCTTTGTCCAACTCATAGAGAGAATTTGCATCCGAAGAACGTGTAGTTTGTGTTGCAATAGTTGGTTGTAATATCTTAACATCCCGGGTTTTGGAGTCCACCTTTTTGGTCAAGTAGGAGACAGCGTCTAAAATGGCACGGGAAGATTTCTCTGTCCCATCTCTGTGTGGCCATAACTCAAACAATGGAGAATCCCAGCGGTTTCTTCTATCTGGTTTTTCAAACCTTCTTACCAAATCTTCAAATATTGAATCATCATAATTATCTTCTCCTTTCTCCCTGCGCTCTTCATTCCATTTCCTACAATCAGTTTCTTCAACATTGCAGTAAACCATGCAGTATCTGATCCCTGCTGCACGAGCCAAGCACCATAGCTCATATCGGTAACCCTTAATGTTATTCAAGGAATCTACTATAATGATGCTATCTTTGGACAGAGACCGATCTACTTCCGACCTAAGCACTCCTCTTAAATTCTTCTCTGAAGGCATATTTGCATAGCTTTGGTTACGATCAAGATGAAAGCAAGCTCCATCTATGATCCTCACTTGCTGGTTCAATTCTGATTCTTTGAGAGCTTCAGCCAGACAGAGTGCTGCTTTGGACTTCCCACTGCATGGCTGCCCACATATTACAACCAGTGCCATTCAGAAAGAAAAATGGTTCTAATGTCTAGTGATGATGATCTCTCTTCAAGGACACCACTATACCTACCAAATAATATTGCAAGACAATTAACAAGCCACTAGTAGAAAAACCATCATGGACACCAATCCAATTATATCCAAAACTTTTCCATATAACACTACAAAACACCCCAGCATGTGTGGATTAGCTTACATTTTCTGCTCAAAAAACTTATAATAATAGTAAAAATAAAAAACTTAAATAACATTTATAATTAGACAATTTTCGACCTCAAGAATTAATCTAATCACCACATGCTTCAACAAATGAGTGGAATATGTACAAGGTGGTCAAAATCGAGATTCAAGGTTGGAATAGAGGAGGAGTGTTGGATCGTAGGATCATAACACTACTCGCAAGAGTCAACTAAATCTAAAATACTAAATTATATTTAAGCACACGTAGAAATGCATAAAAAGTAGCATAAAGAAGATAAACCATAACAAACATTTAATAAAACTTAAACATGCATAAAGTCTTAATCCGACTCAAAAGCCATCGCAAGTCTCATAACATAAATATTATAGTAAACAAAACTCATGCATAAAACTAAAGCATAAAAGAATCTTGACACTTATAACAACAAAACAGCCCACAGCAGGTTAGGGTTAAGTATTAAAAATCGGCTTTTTAGGTGAAACGTGCCGTTCCTGCGATTCAAAGCTCATTTTAACGAAAATTAAGAGCTAAGTATATCCAAACACACCCTAAATATCCGTTATAAGCAGATTATTATCGATGGATCAATAAATAAATAAGAATATGGAAATAATTAATAGACCAGAAAAGCAGAGAAATCGTGAATGAGTGAAAAAGCGCAGCACTATGGTGAATGATGCACACACCCAATGCGATTCAATTCAGATTGTATAAAATAGAGATTTTGAGGGTTAATTACCGAAAGAGTTGAGAACAAGGCTATTGGGTTTTGCTCACTGCGTCGCCAAAGGAACCTCTCTTCTGCTTCTGATTCGTTTACACCAACACCAACCTTTTTCTTTTTTATTTATATGTATATTTAAACGACGTAGTTTTCTAGTAAATCAGCGCAGAACATAAAACTCAACCATTTATGGGTTCCTATAAGTAAATAATCATGTATTTTTTTTAAATATTTAATTTGCTATACTAAATAGAGTACAATTAATCGTATTTGGTGCGATAAAATGTAAATTATTTATTTGTATGAACTAACGATGGTTTATCGTACTGAATACTTAACGATTTTACTGCAAAGAAGTCGAATTTTAATTTTAAAAGGATCTTTATAAAAAACATGAAACTACTTGGCTGATCCTATTTTGTATGAATTTGGCTTGAGTCACCAGTTATTTAACTTGCCAAGTCAAATTCATATCAATTTGTTAGAAGAACTTTATTTGTTGGAGGGAAAAACAAAATTGCTCTGAGAAAGCGTGTATTTTCAACAAAGTTAATATATTATGTTTGTCAATGAAAGTGAACTTGCGATGAAAATAATTAATCGAGAAAGAAGTAAATTTTTTAAACTTTTATATTATAAGAAATTTATTCTAAGTATAAGACGTAAAATTTTCAAAAATACCCTCATATATATACTTTAAAATTTATTTTATATTATTATTTAAATTAAATTAATTCTTTTATATCACTTTTAAAGTATTATTAATCAATTTATTTAACCTCAATCTTTTTAAATCAATATTTACAGCATTAATTCTTGCGAAATAAATCGTAACAATATTTTTGTCAACTTTCTTGACAAAATTTAAATGGATCCTTTTTTATCCGTAAAAATGGGCTCTTAACTAAGCATGAGTGGCTTACCTCACATTTCCTCACATTTTGTGTTCAAAAGAACTAATAATAATAATAATAACAATAATAATAATAACATTTATAACCAAACAATTTCCTTTTTCAAGAATTAATCTAATTGACACATGAAATATCAAAAGACAAGACGGATCTTATAATTCATGATTCAATAAAGTACTGAAAGAAAAAACGTCTAAACAACAACTCATGAACATGATTGAAACTTGAACAAGCAACGCTTATACACAAGTTACGAAAATAATTTATAATTCTCGTAAATTATTTTTAATTTATTCCAATAAATATTTATGATCAAATTTATGCCTCCCTCGTATAAAAATAGTGTATTAAATAAGCGTTAACTAAGCAGTGTACCCATCACATCCTAAATATCTATTATAAGCAGGTTATTATCGATAAGTTAGTCAATAAATAAATATATGAAAATAATTAATAAACAAAAAAAACAGAGAGAACCAAATCGTAAGAGTGAAGTAGGGCAACATATTGTAGAGCAATGCACACACAATTCGATACAATTCAGATCAACATAAAGAGAGAGAGAGAGAGAGAGAGTTCCAAGGTTAATTGCGAAAAAACGAGTTTTTTTTTATGAAACGAGTTGAGAGCGATGATATTGACTTCAATTCACTCTGGCACTAAGGGAACCTCTCTTCTGATTTGTGTTTACCAAGTAACACAAACATTTAATATAAGGTATATATTTAAAATTTTGAATCTGAATTAAATTCAAGTCGTTAATATCACAAACGAAGTTGTGGCTAATCAATGCAATTTGAGATTTTCCCATGTGTTGACTTCGACATGAAACTGAGGCTGTGTCATTTTTCTGGCAGGATCTGAATAGGTAACACGCTGAGGATCGGTAGAGCATATAAATTTTCCCAATAAAGAGTGCTCCCTAGAGTGATGGGAACCAATAGTCTTTCCCATGGTGCAATTGTGGGATCATATCAACGTTAAATCCCTTAAATGCCACATCAATACAATATGCCTCCCAATCTGACTGTGAATGCTTTCGCTACTGCATCCTTTATATCGTTATGATGTCAGTTTTCACATATCAGACACAGACCAAAGATAAGCTTCTTTATCTCTAGCTTGCCTCTCATTTGTTCTCTTGAACAGTTGCTTTTCAAATCCTACAAGCAGCAGCAGATAAGTAAATCATTAAGACAGTTTTCCAATGTTTCTAGGAGAAAAGTGAAGGTAAAATCCAAGTACAAAAAAGATGGGGAATGTGAACCAACCATTACTACGATCAACACCATCCCAGTGCCGTCCCGGCCTTATTCCATACCGATTTGGAGTAGCATCTAAACCTCTTTTTAACCAGCTGTGATTTGGAATATCCTGAGGGATAACGAAACCCGATTCCTTCATCTTCTCACTTTCCCCAAAGTCTGGAAGAACAGGCTCCCAATTTTTTTTCTGCAGATGACAATTAACATAAGAACCATGTCAGAACCAATCAAACTTCTCCATCTTATGTGTCCAGCAGTAAGAGTTGTGCTGCATTACCTTTACCAGATGTGCCATAGGATCACCCCACCTTAATCTCTCCTTCAGCATTTTATCAAGTTCAGGATCATCTCTGAAAGAAAACAAAGGTTGTGTAAATGCAGCATAAGTACGTTTTGAGTGACAATTTTAAGTCCAAGCCAAGAGAGAATTAGGTGCACCAAAGAGACGATAGGAACCTTAGGAAAGTTCAATTTAATTACAGATAGGTGCAGTGACAAAATCATTAGCCACTTTCAAAAGCAACTCACACATCCTTTTCTCTCTAGCTTAGTCGACCAAACACATTTAAGGGAAGGATCCTCACACTTTCCTTTTCAAGTTCTAAGCCTTAGACCACCATAAAGCTAAGGGCAAGCCACCATCCTTCCCTCAGAGGATCCTTGAAAAGATACTGGAAATTTTTAGATGCATCAAGAAATTTTTTCCTAATTGATATGGGTATTGGAATGTGCACAACATAACATGCAACCCTACTCGGCTTGTATTACTTACTGCACATTTTCTCTCTTCTTTCATTAAAAAAGGCTTTGTTTTTACAGTAAGTGAATAAAGCACAAGGCTCTCCAATGCACGTAAAACACCAACGAGCATCTCTACTGGACAGCATAACACAAGTAAATCAGCATACTTAGTTGTCATGCATGTGACATCAACTACCTTTATTGACAACTAACTGGGAAATCTCTGTTGACCACATGATACTAATGACTGCTGTTGAAGGTGGGTTTATTTTTTAAATTCTCAACACTGTTGACTCAACAGTTTACTGCTTTACAATTTCATGTCATTTGACTTGGTAAACAAAAAAAAAAAAAAGAGTAAATAAAAGACATTTACAAGTTCAAGTGCATTGATCATCAGATATGTAACTGTCCAGCATATAGGACAAGGGTCTATTTGGAAAACAATTTCCCTCTCTTACTGGCATTCCTGTAATTTTGTTGCAAATGAAGGTTATTTTATTTAGAGCAAACATTTTTTGTTTCCATGCATATTTGCACAGGGACCGTTTCCAGTCACACAATTAAAGTATATAAATATGGAATGATTATAATGTAAAAATCACAAATTTTAACTTAATTTGAAATATAATTAGACTTTTATTTAAATATTTTAATTCCAAATTCCATATGAAAGGTGCTAAACATGATGATGCTTCTATTTGAGCAATTGTTACTGATAAATAAGGGAACCGATGGGGTGAGGACAATCACTACTATATATATTATTATCTTTTATACATTTTACAGCATATTAATATATGTACTATTGTACCATACTTATATCATATCTTATATTTTTTAAGAACAACCATATTACCATGGCAGATATGGATCGTATTCAATACCCTATATCGTATTTGTTCATCATAGGTTACTCCAACACTATGATAACAAATTTAGAACAATCTAAAACACAAGTTTCTTAGTACTTTATGTATACCTTGTCCGTGCAAAAGGCTTATCCTTCTCAAGTTCTAGTTCCTTTAGCCTAGCTTCAGCCTCACGCTTTTGAGCCAAGCCCTTGCCCCATTCTATTTCAATCTCCTGAAAATCAGAGATAGCTACGAAATCAGCTTGCTAGTTTTCATGGGCAAACATGAATAACCTTGATGTTCCAACATCTATTGTAAGTAGCATTCAAACTTCAATTACATCATAGAGACAAAATGACAACAACCAATACGAGATGGCTTCTCGTCCACTTGATTTAACAGTAATATTAGTAGCATATACATCTTTACATGGCATTAATAACATTATATTTTATTTTATATATATTTACATGAAACAAATAGCTTACTGCTTTATTTTACAGGAAAAATTTATACAACTTGCACTCTGTAATAATCAATCTATTATCAGGAATACAAGTTGATCTTTATCAATCATTTTCTAGTGCTAGCAAGTCAACAAACCTCCCAATGTATACTTTCATGGTCATTGCAGGTAACCCTTACAAAACCAACAAGGCAATTATACTTGACAAAATCAACATACGCATATTACCAGGTCAATCTTCACATCATTCAATTCACAGACACTCCTCCAGGAAAATCTCCACAAGTGAACAGAAACAAAATAAGCAAGTATCTTTTTGATTACTCATATTACATACAAACAAAAACTGGGTCCACAGAAAGAATTGTATTTTCCTCTTTCTACAACTATATAATATGCAATTGCACAAAGGAAGTATACAGAAAGATACATCTAGAAACAACACACCAGTGCTACACAGAATAATGCAGGCACAAATTACCTTGGGTTTTTCTTCCACTTTCTGTTTTGACTTCAAGTATTCCTCTTTTGAAATGCGTACTCCTGCAAAATTCAGCATAATTCAATAAGTAATGTTATCACAGCGACAGCAAGTATAGATTGAACAGAAACATCAACTAAAAATTGACTTGAATTCTGACCTCTTATTTTATCACGATATACAGGTTCAGCACCACGCCCACTGATGTTAGGGTCCATCTGTTTAAATCTGCATTAAGTATAATTATCAATCCAGATAACAGCATGGAGCAGCCAACCACAAAATTGTTATAGCAGGATGGCCACTATTCTGAAATTTTAGATGGAAGTTAAACAATCTATATTTGTATCCCATACATATATAAATGCTCAAATATAAAGAAGTTATTAAAATTTAACGACATATTCACTATTAATAATCATAGTCATGAAGGCTGACAACAGAGAAGAAAATAGAAGTGGCAGACCAGAGCAAGATTTGGCCATAAGAAAAAGGACAACACCAGAAAATGTTTGAACTTTGAAGTGGTTGGAGACTATGCCAGAGAATGATGAGTCCTATGGATTTCGTCCAGACAGAGAAAGTGATAAGCATTTGCAGTTTTACAAGTGATACAAGGGTTTCAAACCTTTTGATTCTATGAAACAGGTGTGAAATCACAAGATTGTGCACAAAACACCCTTTGGATGAATGACACAAACCCATGTTATCAGTTGTGTTTGCAACTTCCATGGAGGTTTTTTGGCATGATTGTGGTCAAAACTGTGGCAAAAGAAAAATGTGACACAATCAGGCAAGAATAGTGGTTAAGGCTGTGACTCAACACCCTGCCGCAATAGATGACTATGTCATAATGGAATACATTTTTAGACGGAACTAGCTTTTCCAGGGCACATCAATGATATGGATAGTTAAAAGCAAAAAATGTAATGAATAATGCATACCACATTATATTAGTCATAATCAGATAACGAGAAAAGGAAATGAGTATTACACTTAAAATTTTGGAATTGTTATTGCTTCAGTGTTGGAAGTGTGATTTTTTTTTTCCTTATCAAAAACCAATAACGGAACTTTTTCTGAAAATAAAAGAGCCCATCCAAGTGTAGCTATCGGTATTCCTTTTACCCAATACTTTTTTTCATAAATGGAATAGGTAATAGATCATATGCTTGCTGTATTTAGTTTAACCAATCCCTACAACTAAGGGATTTCAAATTCGATGGTATATGCAGTAACTGTAATTGATTTAAGAGGATTGGTCTCTAAGTCATTTACATCTGAAAAACTTTTATTCAAGTGTAGCCATAGTCAATGAATAGTTAACAGCCTCTTCTTGCCAATGATCATTGTGGCATGACTTTTTTCTAAGCCAGATAAATCTCAATATTCCAAACAACCACCATCACCACATAAAAAGCATGCTTAGAATCACAAGATTATAGCATTAAGCAAGGATAATAACAAATAGTCATCTAGTACATAACAATATCTGCTTGGAAAACATTATAAATAACTGAACAATTACCTCATCAGATCATCCCTCTTCTTTCTGTCAATCTCGTCCCTAATATCCTTTCCAGAAATTAAACCTGTGTTACTAACGTTCCTCGATGCTGGATTGGAAAGCTCCTTAGTATTTTTCCTTGGTGGAGAAAGGTCAGGATCAAAAGACTGATGTGAAACAACTTTAACTGAAGTACTGGGTGAATGAGAGTGAGAACGATCAGACAAACCCAGTCTTGCAACATTCTTCTGGATTTTCCTTGGGGGTGAAAGATCTGATGTTGCATATCCATGTGGAGCATCTTGAGAAGGAGAATCATGACGACCTCGTCGAGGTGGAGAGAGATCTTGAGGTGAATGACGGTGAGCAATATCAGACAAACTTGGTCTTCCAGCATTCTTTGGAATTTTCCTTGGGGGGGGTGAAAGGTCTGATGCCCTAGATCCATGTAAAGCATCTTGAGAGGGAGAATCGTGACGACCTCGTCGAGGTGGAGAGAGATCTTGCAAATCAGAAGTCCCATAATCAGGTGATGGAGTGTCATTGCGTTTCCTCCGCTGATGAGAAGGCAAGAAATCAGCACCCCTTCTATTAGAAGTTGAAGGATTTAATTCAGGTTCCGGTGAAGGAGTGTCATTTTGAACCCTCTGTTTACGGGGTGGAGACATATCATCATTTAAGTTAATAGGATTCACAGGATTAGAAGACAGTGAAACCCAACCACTTCCATCCTCAGATATAGCATGATAAGGACGTCTGGCCCTCAGCTGCTCAAGCCTCTTCATACGCTTCACTTCAATGTCTTCATCAATTATTGGCTTCTCCCCATCTACATAGATCAAGAAAATATGGTTAAGAGAAATAATAGCATAATAATGAAATCAACAATAGTAAACTATCTATATGAATCAATATTTAAATCTGTATTATATACCTGATGAGTTATCATCGTTTTCTTCTCTAAGATCTAGAGGTTTCTGCCATGTGGGATCTTGATCCAAAACCAGTAAGCCTGTTGCTGGTGGTTGATTTTTCTTCTTCTGCTTCTTCTTCTTATTTTTCTTCTCTTCTTCTGTGTTACTTTCATACCTTTTGAGATAATCCTTCAACGATTTGGACCCCATCGTTTAAGTTGACAAATTTCCACACTTCACCGTTTGCACTTACCTACCATAACGTTAAGTTCTATTAGGTGATGCTTACAAGACTTTCAGAAAGTTCTCAGCAGTAAAACTGAGACAGTAATCCAAGTAACATCCAAACATGACGGACACCAATGAATTCAACCTTATATTTACAACTCAATTTCTATATCAAAAGGGCATAAAAGCATCATATTTTAGCATTGTCACAAGGAAGCAAGGCATGAAATCCACTTAAATAAAGGCAGAACCGCAGCCCATTCAAATATATAACATTGGACGCAGAAGAGCTTGGATTCAAAAGGTTAGGGTTCTAGTTTATAGGTCGAACTTGGTGATTAAAGCATGCAAGAGAAGTTGCAAACAATAGAGTATGGCTGAATCAGTGACTGCAAACACAGTATAGCAATGAGCCGGTGATGATAAACAAAAATTTACCACATGCAATTAATCAACACGGAGAAGAATGGAAAGAAGACATGATACATTCTCCTACAAGTCAAAACTGAAGCACTAAATTTTCTGTGTGTGTGTGTGTAAGATACATAAACAAAAATATGTACAGAAACGAACCCTATTTAAGACAAGTTAACCTAAACGAATATCTCAGTGTGGCGGTAGTGGCTTCACTTTAAAATGCGCCGTGGAGAGTGTCGATATTGTTATGAAGATGAGAACAGTGATGTAAAGATGCTGAAAAAGAAGATAGTGAAACTTTGGGTCTAAGTCAAGGATAATAATTATACAATTTAGCAACATAGAAAAAGAATAATCCAAGGAATGAATGGAATAATTGGTACCAATAGAGAGTAATCGAATTGAAATCAGAAATTGCAGATCCAAACTCGGAAACAGAATCAGTACCGCGTGTTTGAAGAGAAGAAAGAAACAAAACTCACCGTTTCGTTTCAAACTTCCAAGGATTTTTGTTAAGCAAAGGAAAGGGAGGAATGTGCCAATGTGGGGAGGAGAGTTTAACACGGACCAAAATTATTCTTACTACGTTATTCTTGTCTCTTAATTTAAAATTACTGAGTTTCTCAGACTAAATAATTTTAAAAAAAATATATTATATAGTTTTTTTAAAATATGTTAAAATTAAATTAAAATTTTGTTTTATTAGAATAAATTAAAATTTATATTTATTTTGAAAACTGATTTAATTTAACTTGATTGAAATTTAACTTACGTGTTTAATCACATCAAATATTAAAATAAAACTTTAATATTAATTATTGATCAATATAACAAAGGACAGAGATTTTTTACCGAAGTTATTTTCTAATAGATAAATAAAAACATTAAACTTAAGTTAAAAAATAATTTAGTGAGCACATCCTCTATTTTAAGTATTTTGTTTTTTCTTTCAAATTTACTCAATACATAAGAAGCAAGATATTTTAATTCCTTTCTCTCCTCTTCGAATATTGAATCAAATAATCTATTTTTAATTTTGTTTCTTTATTCTATTCACCTCCAATTAAAACACCATGTAAATATATATGTATATTAAACTACGCATTCAAATAATACTTAATCCAATATACAAATGGTTTAGGGATACCTCTTGAGTATAATTTTTTCAGTTTTTGAAATCTTAGTGACTCACCTTAAATCCAAATTTCTTACAGTTGAAAAAAGATAAGTGAACATAATTTCTACAGTTCTTTTTTATATATTAAAATGTTAATAAAATATAAGCTGAAAATTTCCACAGTTTGTTCATATCAATAGGTATTATTTTTTAAAACATAAAAAAAATAGACATGAAAAATATTTAGAAAAATTATTGGTAGGTGACATATTAAAAGAACCATTTTTGTTCAATTTTTTTATTGTGCTCAAAAAGTCTATTACTAAAATAAAACGAAAGAATATTAATTCATTGCATAATGATGATTTTTTAACGAGTATTGATTAATTTCTAAAGAACAGAAAAGATGAGATTATGAGAAAGGGAGGAAGAGAAATTAACGCGAGTCTCAAAAGATAAAGTGTTAATTGAAGTCTAAAATCAACTAAAATTGGCTGAAAAAAAATAATATTTATATAATCACATTCGTATAAATAAATAATAAGTTAAGAAAATATTATATCTTATTTTTATATAAAGTAACACTAACTTTATAATTTATAAAATAAAAATTTGTCAATTGATGCGTATATAGGAATGAAAATATGTTAAGCTAAATTAGACTTTGCATAAATAAATTCAAAATATATAATAATTTTGAAATTTAAACTTAATCTATTATTTTTTATTTTTTATTAAGTTTCACCTTTTTAAAAACTTGTTTTGACCTATTAGCCTTTTTAATAGCCTATTTTATATAGTAAAAAAGAATTATATATGATATAATATAAACAAGTGTATAAGAAAATGATAGATGAGATGAGTTAAACCACTAAACCAGCAACAAACATAATCAAAACAATGTAAATATAAATCAATATTATGCGTATAACAAAAAACTTTAACAAGCAAGACTGTCTCTTTTATAAAATATGTAATAAAAACACTTTTCAATTTCAACGAAAAGTATTAGAGTTTTTAATTTAAAATTTTATTTATTTTAAAATTTAATTTATTTAATATATTATTATACTATAATTTTTATATAAAATTATTTAATATATTATTATAAATTTTATGAATTTTAAATAAGTCATTCTAATAGGTTTAATAGATTTTTTTTAAGTTTAAGCCTAACTTATTTAATTAATTAAATTTTTTAACAAATTTAAATTAAGCCTATTAACTAAATATGTTAGGTCGAGTTAGGCTTTAAAAATACTAGATTATAAACCCTTATCAAATAGTTTAACCTATTTTCATCCTTATGTATATAATTCATTTTTGTTACATTTAATACAATGAAAGTAAAAAAAAAAAAAAAAGAAAGAACAAATTTAAATTTAAAATTAAAAAAATGGAAGAACTTTTTAGTAAAATTTTCTTTCTTTTTTTCTTATTATCTTTTGCTTTTTCTCCAATTAGAAGGGGAAAAAATCATTATTTCTATTTTTCTTCTTTTTTATTCATTTCCTTTTATCCAAACTAACCATTTAAAAGAAGAGAGAAAAATAGAAAGATTTTGAATTATATACTCATTGAAAAATTAGGATTTTTTTTAAATAGCTTTTTGGGACATTGATTAATCATGTAACTCATATTAGAGTTAATAAGAAATAATATCATATTGATAATTTTTTTATTTATTTTGGAACCAGATACAAATAAATTGTCTAGTGATTTTTATTTACGTTTCATTTTCCTCCAAGTCAAGGTTTTTGCTTTTATTTTTTTATTTTCTAGCTGTTCAAAGTGAATATTCTAAAATACACCCATAACAAGAATGTCCCTCTCGATGTGAAAACTCTCTTTAATAATACAACTAACTACTAATTTTCATACATATGCAAGTGAATAGCTTTCAGTGCAGCCAACTATTACCTTCTCCTAAAGCTATGGCTTACAAAAATAAAATAAAAATTGCTGAATGGAAAAGCACCATTGTTGGGGTGCTGGTGTACAACCCAGTTGTGGTTTCTATACATTTTGGTTCTTCATTGATTTATCTGCATGAAGAACATCTTCAATCCAAGCTACAATGTTGAATGCTAAGCCTTCTAATACTCTTGAGTAGCTTTCTAATATTGCTTTCCCAACATCCTGCAAAAGATAATATTCATTCTTAGTCTATGGACCAACAATCCAGATATCTGCTAGTTCTCTTCTACCTTGTTCACTTTCTACATAGATATCCATATCTTTGTGTTCTAAAATGTTCTTTGTTAAAAAAATAAGTAAAATGTTAATATTAGGAGTTGATTGATTTTAGAAAATATTTCTTATTTTATTTTTAATTATAAAATTTTCACTTTATTTTCATCCTATTTTTAAATATTTGTAAAAATACCAAATAATTTTTTTCAGTGTTTCTTGTACAAATATTTAAAAACAAGAAACACAATAAAAATAAGTTGCCCATTTTGTAATAAAAAGTAAAAATACAAAAAATTATTTTGAAATCAAAAAGTCCCTTAGCTCTTAGACTATACTTTTTATTAGAAAAATATTTATTGCATAAAAAATATACAAGTGTAACAGATATTTTCTTTCTGAAAAAATTCCACTTTTAAATACTTAAATTAAGCTCTAAGAAAATCTTGACAAAATTAAAACATAAAAATGACCATGCAATGTATTTATGATATTTTCCAATTTGATTGCAGCATATGTTGTGAAGTTCTACATGGATAAACTTACCCGGTTGTATTGAATCTTGCATGTGTCCAATGATGTTTGAGAAAGTTCAGGGTATCTTTGCTTCAAGCAAAACAAGAGAGTCTCAGCTCTCTCAGCTAAGATGTAGTTTTTGTCACTTCTGTCAGTGTCAGCCATGAGATCCTTAACTTTGTTCCATGATGTTTTTGAATGGCTCAGACATGATTTACGCCTCCAAGTGAACATTGAAGATTCGACCTTATCTGCCAGCTCAAGTGCTTCATGTTCAGAACTTATTTTGAGACAATCAAGAAGGTATTCAGGTGAGAACTTGTCTGCAGAATACATATAGCGGTAAATTGGGTCCCCAAGACTTGCTCTTCCACTCTAAACAAATTAAGGTTTGAAAAGAAAAAAATAAGTATGATAATTTTTTGGCATTATGACAAAATTGAACTCTATGCAACTGAATTCAATATCATGTAAAACAATTATTCTCCTGCATTCACTTTACCATTTGATGTACATGCTACTAGTATAATACATGAATTACTACTAGCTTTAACAAATAAAAGTAAGTCTTTAGGCTGATTTTTAGCAACTAAAAGAGATAAATATTTATTGAAAAAGAAAACATTTATTACATTAAGAATATAAAAGTATAATAAATATTTTTTAAAATAAAAAAAAGTTAAAATATACACTTTACAGTCTTTTAGTTAGTTATTATATCTAAAAATTTTATATTATAGTCTTATATAAATATTTCGTTATGTTTTGATTCCTAATATTATATTACTATTAAAAAAAATAATCTTAATGTACAATAATTTTTGTTAATATTTGTATTTGGACAAAATTAGAAGTATTTGGAGTATAGAAATTAATTTATAAATACATGTTAACTACTGCGAGCAAAAGTGTATTTAAATTAAATAAAAACTTCTTTAGATGCTTAAAAACATTGCAAACAAATGACTTTAACAAAACTGTTAATAGAAATGCAATTACAGCAACTTGCTATATGGGATTGGATTGAATTAAGTGAATCTTGAATCACATATGACAAATATTTAAGCTGTGCAGACTCATTCTTTGGATTTTACTTTTAGACAGAAAATTTGAGAAACAGAATAGTCTTAAATTACCATATGATGACCAATGAATACCTTGGGAAGATTTGCCAAATATGTTTCTGGGATATCCATTTCTGCTAGAACACTGCTATTTATTGCCATAGCTGCTTTATGAATTTGATTAGCACAGTCTCTCTTCTCACTCAAGTGCTTACTTGACTCGTCAGAGAGGCCACCAGGGTGAACACAAGGAACTGGCAACCACCATTTCTCATCTTTCCTTTGAGCAATTCTACGAAATGAGCCTGCCCGTGACCGAGACGAATTCCCTGATATGCTCCCTTGTTCAGCATACCAAAATTCAGTATCATGGAAACTATCCAATATTTCCTGTAAAATAAAAAAAAATAAAAAATTTAAGGCACAAGATCATTGGATGAACATAGTTGTCACATACAAGGAGCAATTCAAGTTTATCTTACTATGAGCATTGTGTCAAGCTTCTGTAGAGCTGGAAGGTTGATATAAATATCTGATCTTGATCTACTTGTCATCATCTGAGAAACATAACAAAATTATATATGTTAAGCACATTATGAGATGCATAGTAAGCTCCATTAACCTTATAGTTTAACAATAGTTCACCTCCACAATTGTGCCATCTTCTAAGTATTGTGCAGTTGGGGCAAATTCTACTATGTAATCACACACAGATAGGAGACAATTCATTTCTCTTTTCCACATAGCCTTCTTCTCAGGCTTCAGAGGCTCCAACTTTAAATTTTGTCCAAATACAGTTGCTGTGAATTCCCAGTCAAAATAAGTTTAATGGCAATTAATTGAACACCCAAAAAAACAAACAAACAATAGCCATGTTAGTAGACTATGCTAATGCTATTGCTACTAAATAAAAAATTACCATAGAGATTGGTAATTGAATTTGATATTGTAACTGCAGTACATACTCCTTTCCCACCACCAGACATATCTTCCCCCAACAGAAGCTTTGCAAATCTTTCCTTCATCGTTTCAAGCTCTATAAATACACACAAAATTGAGTTAGTTCATATATAATTGTACTCTTCCATTAACAAGCTATGCAAGGTGCAGACCAACCTGACTCCAAGAGATCAAGGTCATCATCATGTTTATCATCCAATGAATGCCTATGCTGCTTCATTCCTAACCTGGAAAGAGCAGCATGACTACCTCCATGTTTTATAGCTGTCCATACAGAAGGTGAAGGTTCACTTGCATAGCTATTGTCATCAATAGCCTCAGAGAAGTTTGAGACCTCAGAGTTAGTACGGCAATATGCAAAGGAATCACCACTGAATGGAGAGTATCCAGCAGTTTCCGTGACTGAATGATCATTTTGATCCACAGAAGAAGGTGAAGGTTGATACCCCACATCAGAGTTTTCATCAAAGTTGGATGAATTGTCCATCTAAACTCTATAACCTATGGTCAATTTCCTCAACACCTGCACATGTAATCATTGAAGTTGAATCACAAATTGGGTTTGTGGACTCCAAATGTCAGTACTCAACATACATACCATGATATCAAAGTAGGATTCACTACTCAGATTAAAATGTACAAGTTACATTGAGATTGAAACTAAGGAAACAACGAAAAAAGGAAAACAGAAAAGACAGATCAAAAGAAAAAGCTGAAAACTTGGAATGTTACTGTCTTTCTCTTAACAAAAAAGCAAAAGTTTCCAAAGAATGTTGCTGCTATTGAGACCCAAAATAATTTAACTGAAAAGGGGTGTTAAATAAAGCATTATTTGAGAACTTTCTGAGGGTGAAAAAACTGAGGTTTTCACAACTCCAAAGACAACGGTTGAAAATAATATAAAAAATAAAAAAGCAACGGTCCATAGCATTCTTTTTCATGTTACCTTTTTATTTTTCACGTTTGAATTTGAACAGTATCTAGCTATACATCATTTGAAACAGTTCCCTCCTTACCGTCTGTGCCTTTATCTTCTTCCTTGAAAACTTTACGTGCCAATGAAAAAGAAGAAAGGAAGGAAGAAAGAAAGAGAAGAGAGTTTTCTTTGGAGAAACAAAGTTTTTGGGTTTCTGATACTTCTGCTACTGTAACAATCCTATTAAACAAGGAAAAATCAGTTGCAGAAATGAAAAAATTCTTTTGTTGGAGATGAATACAACAAGACATGCAAGGTGTGTCCTAGATGGAAAAGTCTTGGTGTTCTTGTACTATGTCTAAACATGAATGTATGCACAGAACTGACATATTTGAATGAAAAAAGATAAATGACACTAATAATTGTAATTTTTATATGATTTATACATAATGACAAATTATGCAAAATAACATAAATTAATTCAATAATAAGTTTTCATTTATGTAAAATAATATGCATGTGTCGATCATCATATCTCTCACCCAAAGCACAAACCAGCTGCTACTTGAAATTACTAATTACTTTGGATAATGTTTAATTATTTATTTTTGTTTTTATCATAAGAAATTTATCAGCCAAGATTCTTTTCAATGCCCTAGTTATGAAAGATTAAAAGATGCTATATATATATATATATATATATATATATGATGTTTGAACAAGAATTTATGGTTCCAAAAACAGCTTTTATCATTTACGGTCAATATTATTATGGTTGCATGTGAACCATATGAACAAGAAATAAGATGCTGAATTTACACATGAACCAATGAATCTTTTATATTTAAATAATTTATTTTTTCCCTAGTAGTTATAAATAATAGGGTCAACTTTTAAGGACATGAAGACAACACCTTCATCATATTTTGCAACGTACGTGAAATATAGTAAATTATTATATCTTTTAAGACATCATAGTACCCTATCTAATCTTTATTTTAAAGTAAAATTAAACATATTGTAGCTTTAAAATAAGATTTAGAAATGTGATCCTAATTGCATCTTTTCTTTTGTGGGTGGAAAATTTAATGCAACTGAGTAGAGAGTAGCTGGCCTAGTTGAATCATGTTAGTTAGAAAGGCAAACATGTGAACAATAAATTAATTTTGATAACTCTTAATTGTTAGTTTGGGGGCTTGAAGATGCTCAAAGACGTGCAACCTGTTCCTAAAAAATTCTGACATGCTCTTCATTTGGTCATGCTTGCTTGATCAAGATCATAACCAATATATGGTTCCTGTTTCCTTCCTCAAAATTAAAAGTCAAAACTATTTAAAATAATATGCACGTAAGAGCATTTTGTTATTGTTTTTTAAATATGAATGGAGATTTACTTATTTTAAAAATGGGTCTTATCTTACTTTATTGTTTAATAATTTTATTAATGTTGCCCTTGTCGATCAAATAATTGAATTGAAAGTCCTCATTAAATTAAGTTTATGAAATTACATGTAATTTACAAATTATAATTGATATTTTATTTTAGAGCTTTATTTACCGTATAATATATTATTTAATTTAATAAATATCAATTATAATACTATATTTTTTAATAATTATATTCATTTTTAAAAAAATTATTATATCTCTCATTTTCTTTCTCAATATCTCTTTTTATTTGTTTCTTCTTTCACCTATTTTTATAGTCGTTCAATTTAATTAAAACTTGACATGTAAGATCATAAAAGCATTAAAGTATTCTTTTTACGGCAAGAAAGTGTTTAATAAGGATAAAGGTTTTAACTTGAAGTCCTTCGGAACTGTAATTGTAATAAAATCATAAAAAAAAGGCACATTACAAAAGTGATAATTCTATAAGTATTTTTTCACTCTTGATTTAGAAAAAGAAAAGGTGACAACAATATTGATTACTCATGGTTTTGACTTGCTTTTTTAATTAATTACCCATAAAAATGATGATTTTAATTCCTCTTTTGTTTGCATTTGGAACTCTTATCGTAGAAAAACAAGACTTTCCACAATGATATTCTCCAAATGGATTCACAAATTGAATGGCACGGTTCATTCTTCTCAGCAACAAATTGAACCCTTTTCTCCATCATGTACTTTTCTTTCTGCCAACAAACATTAATTGTTTTATTAGCATTATATATGGTAATTACTTTCCATGCACAAGAAAATGCCAAGCTTACATTTGCAATGAATTTGAATCCAATCTTTATCTGTCCTTTGTAGGTGTCATCTTCAAGGACCACATTATATGCAGCTGGTTTTATTTCTACATATCCCCGCTCAGTTCCTTCAGAGATTATTCCACCTATGTAAATCCTGCTTTTATCAGTAAATAAATAAATCACTCAATCCTTTTCAAGAAAAATCGTATATTAAGAGATGACAATTCATATATAGATAATCATACTACCAATCAGATTGTCTACTTAATGATATATAGTGATTTTATATATAAGAAGCATATTAAGTGAAAGATTCATCTAAAAACAATATATTTTGAACATTCAATAAAAATGGATGTATAAATAGATAGACAAAGAGAGAGAGAATGTGTAAATATTATTCAGAAACCTTTTAGCCGGTATTGTTTTGTTGAATAATATATCAATAAAAAATTAAAATTGCTAAACTTTTCTCTAATGTGTACATTGGCACTTCTAAAGGTCCCTTTGTGACATTTGGGATAAAAAATGTGGAAGAAAGGAATTACTTGGCTTCACCAACAAATCCACCATTTGTGAAGAGTTCTGTGTCCATGATTCTACACTTAAGATGGGTTGAGTTCTTGCAATCAAACAATGACAAATCAAATATGAATTTCTCATTCCACCAAGGTTTCTTATGTTTTCCTGCACATACATAAACTCATACATCAACGGGGAATTAAAAAAAAAAACTCTGTCTTTAATTTTAAACATATATAAATAATAATCTTTTATTAAAAGTAATTTTTATTATACTTTTATATTCTCAAGATGATGAATATTTTTGTTATTAAAAATGTGTCACTTTTAATTACTTATAGAATTTATGAGCTCAAGTCTCATACAAGAGCAGGTATTAACCTGATGAAATTTTGCTTCTTTGAGTCTCACTGCCCCATTCAATAACCACAAAGTAGGAAGGTGTACCTGTAATGGTTTTGATTCAAAGAAATTAACCAAAAACAAAAATCTAAGAAATTAAAATGAATATATATAAAATTAAACGTTTTGGATTCATTGAAACAAAATAGTGAAATTGAAATGCTAAAGATATATAGTGAAAATAAAGATACCAACAAGGTTTGTGTGTCTAATGCCTTTAGCATTAACAAGAAGTACTTCAAGAATTCCTGTCTTCATGTGTCTATATATCTTCGTGCTTGATTATGGGCCTATAAGATTATATATCATGTTCGTTAATTAAGAGGGATTAATAGGTAGCAGTTTCACTCCATCACTTAACGTACGTATTAATTGGGGTTTACAAAGAAGTTAATAGATAAGATAGCTTCTGTTTAATCTTTCAATCTGTTTCTGCATGAAGTAGTATATATATTATTAATGGTAAATTAATGCTTTCATGTTAATAGTAACTAATAATTAATTCATAATAATAAAAGTTTATTATAAAATTATTTATTATACTTTTATATTAAGAACAAGATTTTTTAACACTAATGTAAATATAAAAATTTTTACATTCATGTTTTTATTTGAGATTAGTGTAAGAGTTTTTAAATTTATTATTTTTTAGGGTTTACTGATTAAAATTAAAAAAAAAAAAAAAGCTACATCATTCTTGTATTTAAAAAATAATTTATTAAATGGTTGTAAATGTTTTGTAGCTAGTCCCATTTATGAAAGACAGCAGCAGCATGTTGAATTCAGTAGTCTTGATCACTTGCGTGTATGATATTTAAGTCTCACTGCCACTGCCAAGGCCTATTATTTCATAGGAACAGGTGAGTTCTTGCCAGTTTCTAAATGCTAAAGACTAAAGATCTCTACACATTTGTCTCCATCCATTAGTTGTCCACCCCTCTTTTTATGAGAGATAAACATTAAATTAAAAGTGAAATGCAAATAAATTTTACAATTTTCAATAAATTTTAATTAATAATAAAAAATATTATTAAAAATATATTACTAGTATTCTTCTGTTAATAATAATAATAATAATAATAAAGTCAATAACAATAAATAAATTTCAACTTACATTAATCAATAATTTTTTATATAATATAAAATTAACAAATTCAATTGTTAAATCTTTGTATATCATTTTAATATTTAGGTGTATTAAATTTCACATAATTTAGATATTTATAAATATGTTATTCAAAATTTAATATATTTTTATATTTTAAAAATAATGCAATACAACAAAGTACTTAGTAATTCTATTCTTATATAACTTTTATAAATTTTTCTATTCATAAGAGTCTTCAAAATAAAAGCTTAATTTGTCAATCTCTAATTTTATATAAAAATTTTAATTGATGTAGTGTTTAAATTAAATATTTAATGTCAAATAATCTAACTATAATAATAATAATAATAATAATAATAATAATAATAATAATAAATGATAAAAGTTAACGAAATATTTTAGCTTTATATATTTTTTTCATTTTTTACATTTCACTTAGGTTGAAGAAGAAATTTTTTTATTAGTGAGATGAACTACTAATTATTGAAACATTATAATGAAAATATCTCTTTAAATGAGTATACATAGGAGGTAGATTTAATTTTTTAAATAAAAAATTGTATATTTAGAAAAATAAAAAATCTAATTATAATTATTGATTAGAATTTTAATAATTTCAATATTTGAAATTAAAAGTTTACTTAAAAATAATAATAATTCGTTATTAGAACTAACAAGTAACACAATGTTTCCAGTTCTATCATTAAGTGCTCATTGGTGTTGAAGCTTCGTAAAATTTATATTAAATTATTAAGAGTCCGTTTGTTTAATTTAAAAAAATTAATTACTTTTTTTTATCGCTTGATTAAGATTATTAAAAAATTTAAAACTGAAAATAATATTATTTTATCTTTTTTAGAGTCTGAATAACATCTAAAGAAAAGTTGAAATTATAACTACTTCATAAAATTAATAATTTTTTTTATAATTGTAACAAAAAAAATATATTTTAAATTTTATAGAATTCTAAAAATAAATCAAATTTTATAGATCCCAAAAATTAATTTTAAAAAAAATTGAAACAGACAAAATTGAAGTATGTGTTTGAATTAATTTAAATATATTTATATTGAAACTTATATTTTATTCTAAAAAGAATAAAAAAATAACTTTAAAACATATAAAAATTGAGCTATCCACCAAGACATTAATAATATATTTTATTCAGTGAATACATATTGGATATGTTATTTTTTTTAACAATATTTGGATATTGGCCCAAAGAAGGGACCGTGTTTAATGATTATTTTGACAGAGACCGATGGTGAACGTACAAGGCCCATTTAGAGTTAGAATGTAGTTACTTCAACTTCGATACATAATTGTCAATGCCAATACTAATTACAATTACACCGCATGAGAAGCTCCTAAATAAGTATTAACATTAATTAAGATAATAGTTATTAAAAAAATTAAGTATAACTTCTAACCGGAATGATATTCATGTCACGTGTACAAAATAAACCTAGACAAAAAATATATTTTACAAATATCTTATTTGCATAATTTATTTTTAAATTAATCCTAAATAGAAAAAAAAAACCCTTAAAACATGTTTCAAGAATATTTCTGAAAATATCTATTAATATATATATATATATATAAAGGTAAAATCTTTTTACACTCTGAATATTTTATTTAACTTAAATTTAATCATCAGTAAAATAATAAATTACAACCCGTTAGATTTAAGTTAAATAAAATGTTTATATTGAGTATAAGAGTTTTTAAATTTATACTGGTGTAAGAAAATATTTTTTATTTATATAATATCTTTACATAATTGATAATTATATAAGAAAATTAAAACTTAAAAAAAATAACACTAAACATATAAAATGAGCTAAAGCAAGTTTATTAAATATATAAGTCATCTTTTTTGTTTTCCTTTTATTGGTGTGGAATAATGTTTAACTCATTATAATGCCCCATTGTACCCTCTGTAAGATGAACAGAATAATGTCACAGTCACTTTCTCTGCACCATTTTGATTGACACCATGTAATCGTCACTTTTTCAGATACATTCTTATATTATTTTAAATTTTTTAAAAAATAATTCATTTTTATCATTAAATAACATATAAATTCTTTTTTATTCTTTTGTTTCATCTCTTCTCTTAATTCTGACATTATGTCGCATTAATAACCTTTGTTTCACAACAACTCTGTGAAACTTCTCCGCAAGATCATAACATATGTTAAAATTATATAAAATTTCATCATCTAACAGGTAAAATTAGTTCCGTAATGCATGATATATTAAAATTAGTTTTTGCTTACTCCATAAATAACTTTTTTTAAATTTTAACATGTATGATATTTTTAAAATTTTGTCTATTATAAGGAAGAAATTTATTATAAAAATAAATAGATAAAAGTTTTGCACTTAAAAAACAAAACTTGTGTTAACACAAACAAAAAAATTAAAAATAATATACTACTCTATTATGATTAAAAAAAAAACCAAACTAGTATACTAGAAAACATTTGAATCATGGACTTAAAAGTAAAGAAAATAAAAAAATTGAATAATTAATAAATAGTATGAACACTTTGTGAATGAGCTTTGAATTCCAGTGAACATTTAACACCCATAAGACGTTGGTACCAATCAGTCAGCCTCACTAAAAGTACTAATAAAATGATAAAGATATGTATGATAATGGAAAGGACGTATTTTGTTTTAACTTTACTTTTTAAATTTAAGTTTAGTATCTTTTTTGTTTTTTAACAATACTTCCTTTGACATCAATGAAAAACTATGTGAATAGAGTTTATTAATGTAAATAAATAGGATATAAGTATTAATAATAATACAATTTATTAAATTATAAATATATAATATATTTTAATAAAAAAATATACTATTATTAATCACTTAATTTTAATTCAAAAGATAATATTAAATATACTATTTTGTTAATAGAAGGACTAAAATTATAATTAATTTAATCTTAAACAAATTTGGTTTTTCTGTCTATTTTTTATTTAAAAAAAATCTATATTTTATGATTTAATTATTCCAAACAATTTTTATTCAAAATTTATCTGTCAAAATATTAAATTTTAACCAAAATAAAAAAGTGATAAAAAAAATCTCTCTTGAAAAATTATTTTTACGTCCTATAAAAGCATGCACATTCTTTAAAATTTTTACTAAATTTCTTACTTTTAAATATTTAAAAATATTTTATATCTTAAACTCATTATAAAACTCTAAATATTTAAATAAAAAATATATTATAAGAATAAGTTTAGTTAATTTTAATAATAGACAAACTTAATTAGTTTTTTCTATAGTAAAAAATATCTTTATTTAAAAAATTACAATTTAAGAAATAGTTAGATTTAATAAAATTTTGAAACTATATAAGTTAAAAATAAAAATATAATTAAATCAAATTAATAAAAAATTATCAATATTTATTCATTAAATAAAATATTAATTTCTTATATATTATTGAATTGTCTTTCAGGTAAAGAAAACAAATAAAAGGATATTCTAATAAAATATAATATTTTTAAGCGACATAAAATATACCAATAAAGCTTGATATTGTCATCATATTGTTAAAATTTTTAAATATATTAATTATGATTTGGCACTTATTCTTACAATTAAAACGTGTATATTGAAAAAAAAAAAAAGGTGTATCCACTTGATTGGTTTCATTATCGACCACAAAAAAATTAATTTCAAATTGTTTATCGTATAACACCAATTTAAAACTATGGCTTGAATTATATTTCCATATAACACCAATTTAAATTTAAAAATAAAATTTTCCTAAAAAATTAATTTATTTTCATTAAATATGAAAAAAATATCGTTTGGTTAAACTAACCAAAGTAAATTAGGTCTTGCTGTAGAGCCATTCATTGATGGTTAACTGTGTTGGAATTAAAGAACAAATGACACTTCTTTTTCTTTTTGTGACCAAATGAAAGTAATGATAACATTTAAAGTGACTGCTCCTGCTGTTCTGATAGCATTTCACAGTTAGTAGGATGGCGTATGGTAGTCCAAAGCATGAGAAGATGCACAAGAACCTAAGCACTCAACTAGCTGTTGCAGTGAGAAGTATTCAGTGGAGCTATGGAATTTTCTGGGCACCTTCAACCACTCAACAAAGGTAGAAAGATACCCTCCTAGTGTTCCTCTTTTCTACTAATAATATATATCTATTTTCTCTATCTAAACTTCACTTATCTTGGTCAAGGTAATTCTTGAATCTGAAAATTTTGGTCACCAAGAAAGTGAATGGTGTGATGTGATTTGCAGAATCTCATATCATGTATTCACATCAGTTGTTTTTTCTCCCTTCATAAATTAATACTACATTATAAGAACTTAGTCCAAGGATTCCTGAGGAGTTTTATGACATTGGTTTTGTATAAAGAAAGAAAAGAAGTGGTTTTAAATTTGTACTATCATTTTTGACACGTTAAAAATTAAAATGAAACTAGATTATTATATGCAAATGGAATCTTCTTGTATTTGATTACAGAAACGTGTAAGAAGAAAAATCAAAGGAGGTATGACAAACGAGAAAAATGTAAATAAACATAACTGGTTTGCTTTATGTTATTATGTGGGATGTGGATGAGGATATGTCACTTCATGTAGCTTCTTATAACTTACCCTATGTTTCGTTTTTGTGTGACAAAAGGGTATTGGAATGGAGGGATGGATACTATAATGGAGACATTAAGACAAGAAAAACAGTACAAAGCATGGAAATGAAGGCTGATAAAATAGGCTTGCAAAGGAGTGAACAACTGAAGGAACTATATGAGTTTCTTCTTGTAGGTGAAGCTGACACACAAACCAAAAGGCCTTCTGCTGCATTAGTTCCAGAAGATCTCTCAGATTCAGAGTGGTATTACTTGGTTTGCATGTCCTTTGTCTTCAATGACAACCAAAGGTACCATGCTCTCATCATTTTTTTTAGATATAAGTTTATCTATGGAGTGAAATTATTTTCTTAGTTAATCTCTTTTTATGTTTATGTTTTTGTGGCCTTTTTCCTTCCTTGGGTTTTATGTTTTCTACATTAATCACCATGGAAGATTTCTCTTTCCTTGTAACACAGTTTGCCTGGAAGAGCACTAGAAATTGGTGACACTGTGTGGTTATGCAATGCTCAACATGCGGATAACAAAGATTTCTCTCGTTCCTTGCTTGCGAAGGTTGGATATTCTACCCATAGATATGTTTTATATCTATGCGCACGTGCATTAGCATTATTTGTGATTATTATCATATATTATTTAGAAAAATAATAATGAAATATATAATTTTTTATAAATACTCAGATGTAACTTGCTAAACGATTTCTTATGATTGTACATTAACATAATATATATATATATATATAGAGAGAGAGAGAGAGAGAGTAACATTTTTTTATATTAATAACTAACTAAAAGTCACGTTTAGAATAATTTTCAAATAATTATTAAGTTTTAATTATGTAATAATTTATGAATAAATAAAAAAATTACACTATCAATATATTTAATTTACTTAATTTTATAAAATTAAGTTTAACATAAAGTTTTTCATGTTCAAAAGTTCTTACGTTAAAACTTAGTATTAAGTTTTTAATCCTCGAAAACTACAAATTTTTTCACGTTTAATCAATCAATTTTTTTATTTTTTTTTATAAATCACATCGCTGAGTTTTAAACGTGGATTCGACCTTACTCTGTCAATAGTTCCTTCTTCTAAATCATTACATAAAACTGCGAACTCTCATCTTTACACGTGACTCGGATAGCAACGACAACAAATGGATTAATTATACTTTATTTTATATAATATAAATATAAATGTTTTATTAAACATATATTACCCTATATCGCTTATCTGTATGACTCATAAATAACATATGATTGAAGCAATTGCTGCATGATTTTGTTCATAACTATATAAAACTAATTTTTCTTTATATATTTTTTAATTTTGAAAAATTTTCATCCGGACATGGGCGTTGATTGCTGTACCCAGAGTGCGTCAATTCAGGTATAACATTTTCTGTAGAGATTAAAATTTGTTGTACAATTTTTTTTTATCTAATTAAAAGGTTATGCTTTATTCGTTTGATGTCATATGGAAACCAAAGCTGGGAACATTTTTAATTTGTAAAAGTGGAAGTCCATGATTGTGTTTTCTCAAGTCTTAACTAAAGAAAGGTGGTATATAAAAAGAGTTGCAAAATTTGGCACTGTAGCTTGATAAAAAAAGGTTTTTTATTTGTACATATAATTGCAAAGGTGAAATTCAATTTTTATTTTATTTATTGTTTTAAAAAATGTATAGAAAAATGTACTCATGGTAAGAAATTGTTATTCTAAAGGTGATACGATGGTAATTAGAATCCTTTGAGGATTTTGCAGAATAAAGATAAGTTAGGTAAGTCAAAAAACTTTGTGGATATGAGAGATCCAATATAAAGGTCCAAAAAACATAAAAAAAAAAGGTGAGAATAAGATGACTTTTGAAATTAACTAATTATTTGTTAAAAATGAAAAAAAAATAAAAATAAAGGTTTCAAAACTAGGTTCTTATAAATGCAAGGGCTGAGTAATTCTAGCCAAATTAAAATGTTACTTTGTTAGAATGACATATGACAGAAATATCAATATTAACATTCATAATGTGTGTTAAAAACCTGTTTTCCAGACAGTGGTGTGTTTTCCCTATCAAGGAGGTGTTATTGAGATAGGCACAACTGAACTGGTAATCTTCGTGATCTTATTCCAAAAGCTTAGTTTCATTATATTTCGATGTTGAATAAATAAATTTATATGAAGATGTGAAGCACTTGTGATATCAGTAAACACTTTGTTCTCTTTGCATTGTTATTTATAGGTTGCTGAGGATCCTAATCTCATACAACATGTTAAGGCTTGCTTCTTAGAAATCTCAAAGCCTATTTGCTCTGATAAGTCCTCATCTACTCTCGATAAACCTCATGATGACAAATATCCAACATGCACCAAAGGTGATCCTAGGATATTAGATACAATGACTTTGGAAAACTCATGTTCACATGAAGAAGAAATCAAATTTGATCATGATCCTATCAATGAATTTCATGATGATGACAATGAAGATTCTAACGCTATGGACGAATCAATGATTGAGGGCATTAATGGTGGGCACTCTCAAGCTCAATTTGTGAATGATGCCTTGATCATTGGTGCCCCAGATTCCCTTAGTTCTTGTGATTGTATGCATGAAGCTTCTGAGAAGCAAGGCAGGGCTTCCAAGAGTGTAAGCCAAGTTCAACTAAGGGAATTTCAAGATTGTAATCACTCAAACAGAAGCTTTTTGGATACTGGAGCAGATGAAGACTTGTATTACACAAGAACACTTTGTGCTGTTCTGGGAAATTCATCAATTTTTAAACCAAAGCCATGTGCTGGTGACTCAAATTATAAATCTAGTTTTGTGAAATGGAATAAAGAAACAGTTTCTGCATGGAAGGGACCGAGGTTTCAACAAAGCATGTTAAAGAAGACTTTGTTAAAGGTCCCTTTTATGCATAGAAATTGCTCCTCTCTCAAGTCACAGAAAGAAAATGAGAGAATGAAATGGACTAGTAAATTGGAAAATACTGATAGTTTCATGGGAAATGCCTTCTCTGATAAAAAATTAGAACTTAAAAGCTATGAGGTTCTCAAATCTTTGGTTCCTTCATCTATAAGTGAGGTATTTACTTGCACCTTGTAAAACTAATTTTATCACTGGATATTGAAAATTATTTCAATGATGTCACTTTGTACATATTGAAAATATCTTTCTTCTACCATGACATGGTAATCATATGCAGGTGGATAAGATTTCAATTCTAGGAGACACAATTAAGTACTTGAAAGAGTTAGAGACAAGAGTAGAAGAGCTAGAATCTTATATGAATATTGCTGATTCTGAAGCAAGAACCAAAAGAAAATGTCTTGATGTACTAGAGCAGATGTCAGATAATTATGGTGCCAGAAAGATTTGCATGGGAATGAAACCTTGGATAAACAAGAGGAAGGCTTGTGATATAGATGAGATAGACACAGATATAGATAGAGTTGTTTCTGAAGAAGCTAAGTCACTGGATGTTAAAGTCAACATGAAGGAGCAAGAGGTTCTGATTGAGATGAAATGTCCTTACAGGAAACACGTATTGTATGATATCATGGATACCATTAACAATCTGCATTTAGATGCTCACACGGTTGAATCATCAACATTTGATGGTGTTTTCACATTGACACTTAAAACTAAGGTTTGTGATTCTAATTTTCCAATAGTGCAATGTGTACACTATATTTTCCCATAACTTCTGCTAAATATTTTTTTCCCCTCCAAAAAGTAGCATGTTTATTACCCTCTTAATATTTTCCTGCGACCATTGGTTACTACTAAGCCTAGCTTGAAGGGAAGAGAATAGTATGGTAATTCTTGGTTAGGACATTCTTAAAATATTCTATGCTACAGCTGTGAATATTTATTTAATGAGTGATTTGAAAAATTCTTATCTGGAAGTCATTTTTCTTTATTACTTAATTATTCCCTTAAATCATTAGAGAAGTTTGAACCTTTTTAGGACTTTATTTCAGTTTCGAGGAGCAGCAACAGCACCCATTAGGATGATCAAAGAAGCACTTTGGAAAGTATCTGGAAATATTTGACATTCCTGCTTGTATTTCTCATGGAAGCAGTAAATACTAGCGAGTAAACAATTTCCAACTTTGTAATTCTAGAATAGTAGTATTGTACTTCCTAAAAGACATGTATCTGTTATTGTATGGAGTATGAACCTTAATTTTGACTATTGTTCTCAACTATTGACTTGTTAGTATTACAAGAACTCCAATCTGCAATTTAATCTCCTACATATCATGCTTAAATCACTTTAATCAATCTGTTAGCACTCATTTGCATGATTTTTGTTTGATTTTGGTGCCAGCAGTATAGTACTGTTTCCTTGCATTTAGGAAGTGAATTTTGAATATATGGTTCCAAAGTGATCAAGATGGTGCTTGAAAATTTTTCTATAGATTTAAAATACAATGTGATGTTTCAAGAAGCAAAAGATTTTGTTTTTGCAGATTTCCAGTTTGAAAGACTTTCCTGGTTTCTCGGGAAATATATCTATCGTATAAATATTTGTTTATAATAATAATAATAATAATAATAATAAGACCATATAAACATATGTCCGGAGATATGCAAATTTGTACAAGATAAACAAAATTATCGTCTATTTGATCCATTTTGGTGTGGATTTGCTCTACTATTGTGAATTATTGTATTGTAATTCTTTATAGTGGCATGAATTAGTTTTCTTATAATACATACCTTTTTTCTCTATTTCTGAAGTGCTATCTTTGATTGCTATGTATAATATTACTTAATATGTAACTTATGGTTATATAATTCTTTGAATCTGCATAATCTTTGAAGATAAAAGCCTTACTCGACTAATTTGCGTGCCATCTCAACTTTGAATGCCATTGTTTATTTAAGAAAATATATACGTATCTGAATCATTGGCAATTTACATATATTTGGTTTACTCTATAGTCACATCCTGTTGATACTCTCTAGATCCTTTCGTTATAACTATGATCTTATTCCAACTTTTACACAAAAAGAAACAATAGGGAAGGAGGCATATCTTAACGAGGGGCAACTAAATTTATATTTAGATCATTGATACGAACCTTTTGGGCAGTTGATGATCAATCACAAATCACAATTACATATATTTTTAATTTTTTCTAACAGTTCACAATTTATGATCTCTTTATGTATGAAAATGACGTATTTATTGATTATTAAGCATTAATTTCTTTTATTTGCACAGTTGACTCTGACGTGAATAAATAATTTTTTTCCAACAAATATGAAAAAAAATTATTTAGAATAGTGTCGTATGGCCAACTGCCAAAATAATGAATTCATCGTTCAGATCACACTTTCCATAAATACACAAAGCCTAATAGAAAAAATAATAATAAAAGAACTGTTGAAAAAAAAAACAAATAAAATAAGTCAGGCTCCATCTTATTAGTTGATCTGTGATTCTCAAGGAAGGGAATGAGATAATAATAAATAATTAAATGTATAATTAATCATTGTGATGAAGAATGTGATATGACTAGCTAGAAGGTAATGATCATACAAATAAAAATACAATACTTTTCTCCTAAACCATGCCATCAAGAGATAGATAGATATATACAAAACCTTTGCTCTAACCTCGTCAACTTTGAGAAACAAAAAAGTAAAAAACTATAAGAAAAAGGAAAAGTTAGATAAGCATGCTCACTAAAGATACCACATAAACACAGTAATGATAAGAAAAGTGTTTATTGTACATGATTGATTTGACGAGAGAGATGAATACGAGGAAAAATATGTTTTATGAAATGTTTTTTCAGTCAAGAATGAGATAAAACAGTAAAAAGGAAAAGGAAAAGGAAAAGGTTAGCTTGGATCCATGTAAAAAAAAGAACGTTTTCTCCTGATTTCATTTGAGAAGAAATTAAGAAAAGAATAGATATATTAAGTATATTTTTATTTAAATTATATTTTATGATATTTTAAGAGGTTAAATGTAATGTAACATTTATACTTCTTAAAGAAATTTCTTTCATATTTTCCTCTTTAAAAAAAAAAGAAGTTGAAAAATTAATGCTTTATTTGGATTAAAAAAATGTAAATAATGTTATATTTTTGTTTGAGTGGTTAAAAGATAAGGGAAAGGACGGGTGAAGAAAATTTTATTTTTTAAAAATCTAAATTCAAACTTTCCTATTATTTTATTTTATTTTTTTAATTTTTTTACTTTTCACTTTTCTTCCACTTGATTGGACAAAGAACAAGAGAATATTGCAAAAGTTTATCATGCTGCACTTTATTTTCTTTATAAAAGTAAAAACATTTTAAAGTAAGAAATAAAATCTCTAACCTCTTCCTTGTACTTCTTGAAAATATAATCACAAGTAATTAACAAGGGCTAACTTAATCCCCATTTATCGCTCGTGTTTTATTTTTGAAAATGTAAAATTAACAATTTTTTCAAATTTAGTAATATCAGTAAATTTAATCTTAAATGTTATAATAAAATATTAATCTAATAATTTTTATATTAATTATTATAAAATTTAATAATCATTGTTGATATAATAATTCATGATTAAATAATAATGTAAAAAAATTATTTTGCTAATGTGTTAAAATAAAATTCTTAATTTAATCTTTAATAATGTAAACAGATGAATTTAGTCCACAACTTTAATATTTATAAGTTAATTTGACATTTATTCTTAGTGCACACTGACTTATCTAACATTACAAAACAAATTTTCTTAATTTTCTTTTTATAATTATCAATCTAGTATCGGTTAATTTGACCCCAACGGTAATGCATATTACTATTTTTTTTATATTATTGAGTGTGTGAATTTATTGATTGAGAAATGTTTTAACATGATATTTAATTTTAAATTTGAATTTCAGTAAAAATAATTGTATTAAATACTTGAAGGAAGAATTTTGATGTTCATAATAATTTTACGTAAATCAAATATAATTATTTCTAATAAAAGATACGTATAATATTAAAAAAAATATTTTTTTTCATAGATCAAATTTTTAGTACTACTAATATTAGAAAACAAAATTTAATCTTGTTTAGATAATAATAAATTAAAACAGACACACAGTACGTACTTATTTTTTATTTTTAAAAAGAGATTTAAAAAAAAAACAGAAACAAGCATGCTCAATATATTTTAAGGATGATTTGATTTTAAGAAATATTTTTATTTTTTATTATAAAAATGTTACTTAATTTTTAATTTATTTTATATTTTTATATTTATATAAAAATAGAGAAAATAATAATAATAAGTTATTTTACTATTTTTATAGAAATATTTAAAAATAAAAATTAAATTTAATGAAGTGTCAGTCTTATGATTAAAATAAAAATAAAATATTTTATAAAACTAAACAATTCCTTAATTTTTCCGTTCAAACTTTTTTAAAATAAATTTTAAAAGAGAAACAATGTTTTATTAGTTAACTTTTCACATATTATAAATTATGGTTATTTCGAATTTGACACTTTTAAAATACGAAAATTCACTTTAAAAAGTGCAGTGCAGTTATAATTATTAATTACAAATTTAACAGTTAATATTATGATGACATACATGTAAATATAAAATAAACTATAAAAATTTTAAAATTTTAATTATTAACTTTTAGTCAATAATTATAGTTACACTTTACTTATTTTAGACGAAGTAAATCACATATTTTTTTAGTTGCACTCTCTCTCTGTCTCTTTATCTTCATAAATGTTTTATCAAATAATATCCCATCTCATAAATGCTTCCATCAATTTTGTCAGAAGGATAGAGCTGAGCTGGGATACATGCTCATATTCCAGAAGTCACCGTTTCCACTTTGATTTTTCAGCCTATGAAGTTTTAGAACATTGGGAAAATTCAAGAAAATTTATCTGTGCATTGGAAGGAAAGGTTTCTTATTTATTTGATGGTCTAAAAATCAGAAATACAGGATCGTGTGGTTTCAACTATTCCTGTTGAGACACGTATTTACTTCCTTTTTTTATTATTATAAAATCTATCTACATGATACAATATATGGTTGAAACCACATAATCTCATCTCATGTCACATAATAATTTTTCAAATACTAGAAAGGGTACACATATTTGCTATTGGAAACTACTGTAGAAGAAAGATCTAGCTAGACAGTAAATAGGGTTACTTACTGCTACTTAGTTCCAGATTTCTATGAAATGGTGGCGATTTTAGTATCTTACCAACCATACAATACTGTCTTAGATCTATGTATGTTTTTAAAATTACTATCATTGTTTGCATAATAAATGCTATGCCTATCCAACCAAAGAACAATAAAACAGAACACATTATTCTTCATTTGCAGTTGGAAATTCCAACTATAAATCTTCATACAGCCAACATATGATCCAATGTTCTGACCCACCTAAATCTTACAGGGTGGTTGTTCTATTTCACTATTATAAAAAAATGGAAAATATTTAAACTGCACATTTGGACACCAGAAAAGTCCTTCTATCTATTTATTATTTTATTTTATATACCAATTTCACAACTTAGTGCACCATAAATACGAGTCACAGGAAGCATATATTATTATCTGTGTGATTAAATGAATTTCACTTTTGTAACCATTTACAGTTGAGACTTGATGCCTGCAAAATCTCTAACTGTGTACCCTACCTTTTCAAACCTTCCTCTTTGATTATTCTCTCTGAATTTCAAATAGTCTAAGCACACAAATGGATTGTACATCCTCTTGTTTCCTTCTCCAACAACTTCATCTGGTGCCAACACCACTTTCTCATCCTCAAAGCACCAAAAGAAAGCTAAAGAAAATCTGTTCACAGTTTGCTTCAAAACAACTCTATGTTCAGAAGACCTTAACTTATCATTGCTCCAAGCTTGCATCATATCCCCTATGTTCACCACTAGGGTCCCTTCAGAAGGGCTTATGTCTATCCATTTGCCTTCATGTGATCTCACTTGAAGCCCTCCTATTTCATCTTGATATAAGATAGTAATACAACTCATATCAGTGTGCATTCCAAGCCCCTCGACTTGGTCTTCCAAACTTTCTAGAGCAGAATAGTTGTTTATCCTCAAGTAACCATGACACCTCTTAAATTCATAATCATAAAACAACTTGTCAAAGCCATCCCCTAAACTCATCAGCACAAGCTTTAGAATTTTCTCACACAAATCAGCCATCTTACTACAATATTCCTGCAGTGTCTCACTATTCAAAGCATAAAAAGAGAAAAAATCTTATGCTTTGATTAAACAAAAAGAGAAACAAGCATTAAGCATAGAAGAGAAAAGTGCATATATATATTACCTGAATATGGAATTGTGTTTGTCAAAGAGGATGTCTTCAGAACTCTTAGCACAAGCATAGAAGTTTGGTCCATTAATTCTGAGGCTCTCAAAAAATGGAGAAGCAATGAAGTGAGGAGTGTATGATTTTATAGAGGAGAAAGGACCGAGTTTAAGTTTAGTCTCAGAAGGGAGGTTGAAGAGGTAATTGGATAATGAATGGATCTGGTTGCAAAGATCTTTGGAGATTCCATGATTGATTATGTGGAAAAATCCCCAATCTTTGCATGCTTTAGAGAGAGAGGTCAAGGAAGATGACTCTAATGGCTGAGAAATGTCTAAAATCGGAAGCTCAACATATTCAAACTTAGACATTATGTCTAAGATGTGAAGAAGAGAGATATGGTATATTGCCACCAAATTTTCGGGTTTGGCTTATTTAATGTATACAAGTTTGGTCAGAAGCTTGAATGTGAAGGTTTAATTCAGGAAGACAGGTATAAGACAGAGTATATAGAAGACAAGTCTATTATTTTTCTCAAACAAGTGGAGAAGTGCCAACAAAGATATATAGAATAAAGCTAAAGCAAAACTAACTTCTTCTTGGTGCTTTGTGTGTAGAGTCTATGACCAAAACTGAATGATTGTAGGAAAATAATGATTGGCCTAAACTGAATGACCATGGGCTAACAACCATAACTTACTGAAAAGGCTATAAATAAAAGGGTATCTATAAGGGTCGAATAAAGATACAAATTCTGTCGCTAAAAGTGCATACACTTTTTCTTACCCTCTTCTTAAATAGTTCACACAAATACAAAGATAGCTATCTTAATAAAAGAGAGGAAGAGAGGGATAAAGAGATAACAAGAATTGGTTAATATAGAGACTAATGTAAGATAAAGATGGTCTGATATAGTTTTTCATTTTGTTTTTTCCCACTGTCTGATTTTAATATGCATTCACAGTCAGCAAGACAGGCTGGTAAGCAAGCATCTCAACCACGATGAATTTGTATATTCCGTTATGCATGGAACTCACTTTCTTCTGTGAAAAGATTTGACTAAATATTTGATCAAAATATGCATCTAAATGCTAAAGAGAAAGCATATCAACAAAGTACAAACCATGTAGACGCTTCTAGCACCTCAAAATTTGTCAATTCGGATATTAATGCATTAGTGTCAATTGTGTCCATAGGGATAATTAACAATTATTTGGGTGTTGTGCAAAATCAAAATAAATGTCCCATATGTGCAAAGTGCATAAGGAATCTATCAAAATAAACATGCATGAGCTTTATTCCATTGACTCCAAACCCTTTAGCTGTCCAATTCAAGGAGTTGGTCCCCTTTCCCATATTCTTTACCTAGTCTTGGCCATTGGAAGCATTGCACTAACAAAATTATGCACGAACAATTACAAATATATATAGTGAATAAAGTGTTCATATATTTTGTGATAGGATAAATTATATTTACATCGTTGAGGTTTAACAAAATTTCACCCGTAATTCCTCCCTTTTTTACTTTACTCTAACCCCTTTTAATTCATATAATTATATAAAAAATCAAGAGTGGTTTGTATAATCAAAAGAGGTATGAAAACAAATTAAGAGACACGTGTGTAGGATAAAAAAAAGAGTATTAAGTCAAATTCTATTAAGTTGTATTTGGATAGAGTAATTTAAAATTACCATGTATTTAGATAGTAAGAAAAAGTATTTTTAAAATACTGTAGAATTTTTTTAACTAAATAATTTTTAGGTTAAAAGAAAAAAATTTAAATGATTTATTTTTAGAAGAAATTTAAAAATCTCTCTGTTATACTTGTATTTTTGGTTACCCAAACTTGGTGCATGCACAAAGACATTCTATGACTGCTAAAACCAGAAAAGTATAAGACAATGATTTCTAGGACATGAGAGGATTGACTTAGGAAGAAAGATAGGTTGTTGAATCATGGTATTCAAACAAGATTAGATACAGAATCTTGGGCACTAGATTGAAGTGAATTTACTATGATTGCATTGCATCATTTATATCCAAAAAGGGTCTCAAAGATTTGCTCTTCCCACTTACGCGTTTCCTTTGGATTAGTCACTTATGGCTCCAATCAAATACCTCCACCAAAACCCTCGTGGCTAAACCAAATCCATCGAGAATTGCCTCAATTATTGTAACAGTACAGTAGGAAATCTTTCCGGTGAAAAAAAAGCACATCTAACTTTTAATGAATTTTTAATTTTAAGGAAAGTGTTAAGATTATTTAAATATAATATTTTTTATTAATAGTAAAAGTATTTTTATTTTTATACTTTTAGTGTAGTGATTTTTTATACAAATTTATTAATTTTATATGTTTAAAGCCAACTCTGATGCCTTGTTTGAAAACAAAAAAGAAATCAAGAGAGAAAATAGATTGAAAAGATTAAAAAATAGTAAAAATTTAACTTTGTCGGATTAAGTAAAAGTGAAAAAAAATAGATTGAAAAAAATAACTCCTTCTTGGGTCGGTCATTATGTTAGGCACCAGTACTAGCTATTATTTATTGATATACAACATATTAGTGCATGCCACTGTGTCTCAGAATAAAAGACTTAAAAACTTTCTGAGTTGATATTTACTAGTTAGCACTCCAACTTGTTATTACTGGTCACCACTTAAACCCATCTCAAGCAATGTTGGACTTATATGCACAACTTGTTCACTTGCATCCTACCTCTATGCATCTCATGGAAATTATGTTGAACATCCCTTGGAAGGAGAGTTGTAGGATACAGTCTAATTTCGTATACCACAGCAACTTCAATTTTAAATCACTGCATTATAATAGCAAAAATAATGCGTGAACGTTATTGAAAGTTGCAGCCAAATCAATCATGTTTGGTTTTATAGCAAAACATTAATGCTAGAGCCACCTACTTCACCCTATATCTAGCACCAATCCAAGACATAAAGCAATTTATATCGATTTTGTGTGCCTTTATGGCCTAAAATTCTAGAGAGGCGAAATACAAGTTTCTAAAGGTCATGCAATCTTCCAAGAGCATAAAGATGGGGTCCAGCAGAGCCATCACTTAAATTTGAAACTTCCAGAGTGGCCAGGCAGAACCTACATGTAAGTTTGTATCATAGCAGAACAACATACTGTGCTAAATGGGTGCTTAATATAAATAAAAAGAATCTCACTTTTAGCCTTAAAAATAGAATGATTTTGTTAACATCAGGTCTTCAAGGTTAAATTTAAGTATCTAAAATTAGTAAAATTTTATTGAGAAAGAAAATATTTATTATATCAGAAATACAAAAACATAATAAATACTTTCTTTTCTAACAAAATCTTCCTATTTTTAGTTGTTTAAAATCAGTCATAAGATCTAATGTTAACATTTTCCAAAATCGAATAATAATAATAATAATAATAAGAGAGCAAGAAAGAAGCATAGAAATGAAAAATGCTTTATTAACTTAGAAATAAATCTTTTATGGATTTGTCTTCTTGAACACCATATGACCTGAGTCATCCACATCAAACAGCCGCCCAACAAATTCATTCCAACTTTGTGTTCGTTTCTTAGAAGATAAGGAGGACACTTTTTCACTTGATCTTCCAGAATCCTCACCAACATCCATTTCATGAAATGTTCCATATGAGGAAGGTGAGTATGCTTGAGGAATATCCAAAGCAACTGCCCTCTGGAGGGCTGCACGGTGCTCTTCGCTGTGTTCTCGAGCTAGACTTTCATGCCTCTCCATCCTTTGCTCTGCTGGAATCTCCATATGCTGATCTTTATCTAGCATTAACTGATGCCATAAATACAAGGACAAAGACACATGAGTATGCATAGGAATATATAGAAAATACCATGTATCAAAAAATAACAACAATAACAAAATTTTTGTGTACAAAGATTTCAACTTACAAAAAAACATTTAAGAAGTTGCAGAATACATTCATTAGTATCTATAGAAACACATTTCCCACACTAACAAAAAGGAAAACGCTTACTAAAAGTATGCATCCATTCATTAACGCTTACTAAATAATATTCTTCCTTTTTTTTTTTAACAAATATGTGCTTCACAGCTATGATAAACACACTGAATTACATTCCAGGGTTTCAAAAAGTATTAAAGCACGAACTGATGAGAACAGGACACTTTATATGATGTTTTGGTAGACGGTTATGCAAATACTGAAAGAAGCAAATAGCTTACATTGAGAGCCCATCGGGATTCTCTCTCTATCCAAATGATGGCATGGTCAGAAGTTGCATTGCAAGAAAGAACTATATGATCAAACCTCCCATCAACAGGTACTGCTGTCCTAACTACAGGTGGAAATCTTCCTATCCTGCAACACGAAGAGGCTATACTCCAAATTATTGCTACATACAGATAAATTTTACTCACTGAATCCAATAATTCAATAAATTTAACCATGAATGCATGAGGAGAAAAAACTGTTTTCAACATAAGACACTTAAGTAGACTTAAATATAATTCTCAATGATTCATATTCTAAAGATGTGTTTCATAGATGACATTTTATGTCATGGTGTATCCATTTGCTCACAGAATAAGTGTATTGGCAGGGATTTACAACATTCCATTGAAAATTTATCTCTTGAAGAAAATTCTTTTGAACTTTTCTACAAAAACTAAGCAACTTTTGGTCTTTTCTGTATGAAAAACTAAACTTACCACCTTTATTTATACACAGAAGTTGCAAGATTTTTGTAATAGCAAGTAGCAGAAAAACATAAAGCAGTTATTTTAGAACAACAGAAAATTGAAAATTTTTTGTAGAGTATTGTGAATACCTAATAAATACACATTTATGTAATGTCCAGTTCTCAAGGAATAAGAAAAAAAAATCCAAGGGAAAATATGGTCAAAGTATAATTGAATTCACAGTGGCCAGCTCCTTAATAAGATGGAAAAGATTGGGGCATGACACATGAACAATTCATCCAACGTTCTAGCTTCTTCACATATGAGCTGTTTGTGTTTGAGCATGTCCTCACAAACTGATTGAGTTTGGCACCTACTTGTTATTGGAATAGTAAAAATTTTACTCCTAAATTGCACATAAGCCTCCTGGTTCAGAGATGACCAAAGTAAAAAATAAGTTTAATTTTCCACTAGCTGTATAAGCTTTCCCGGGCAAGCCTCATGCATGCGATGTTTACTGAATACCTCCTAGGCAGAATTTATGGAAAAACCTTCCAATGACCCCATTCATCATTGTCCTCCACAATTGGCTCATTCTCTCTTATGTTGGACCATGTTTAGAAATTTGAAGAGTATGTAGAAGCCGTTTTCATACATTCATTATTTTGCCCATAGTGACTACAAGTAGGAGTCTAATAAGATGTATGCTACAATATTCAAAAATGACTGTTCAATGAAATTTTATTGAGAGAGTGTTGTATTTAACCTGAAGGGCTTTCGCTCCACAATGTGATAGAGACGACCAGGTGCATATAGACGCCTTGGATCTCTAAGCTTCTTCTCCTCCAGTGTGCAAGTATCCTTTAAGCACATTATACACAATAAGCAGGGCCAACTGCCAAGAAAGGATAACAAACACTGTAGATCATTTTAATAGCACAAGATGGATTGTAGTAATCCAATACATAGGCATGAAAGGATAACAACTTTTGTCCTAATAACAAAAGCAGAATTACACTAATCTGATGCATACATATGAAAAATAGAAAAACTTATTTTCTGTGGTTAGTATTGTGAATTTACTATATCATGCTTCTCACAAGTCCAAAACTATGTTGGCCCACAACAAAGGTGATGATAAACAGTACCTAAAAAATGTTCAATTAGTAAAAGTTTTGAAAATATAGATAATTGCTGGTAGAGGTTGAGACATGTTAAGAACAAGAAGCCAACTTTCAAAGAGCTAAAAGCTGCTAGATTTAAAGCCTAATAATGATTTCAGTCTCCAACATGCCTCCTCTTGCGTAAGCCCCTTTGAATTTTGAAGCCTAGACAAAGCATAAGTCCATTACATCCTCTGCAGAAATTTAGTTTAATTATGCACAGGAGGTTTGACACCATGTCCAAGAGCAACTTTTTTCAGGAGTTTAAGCTGTTAGGTGTAAGGCAAGGAATGGTTTTTGTATCTCTTACAAATATTACTCTAACTTATCCCAAAGAAATATTTTTCCACTATCATCAAACTTAAATAATTGGAATCCAAAGGTTTAGGAGAGATCAGGTGTTCAATTCTCTGATATGAAGGAATGGTTTTTTAGCTATTAATTATTCCATGACAATGAATGCATACTTGAATCTCCTCACCACCATTAGCTGTATACTCTACTGGCTAATTATATAGCTGTATACTATATGCTATTAATAATGTAAATACACAATCAGGGGTAAAGGGAGCAGGGATACACTAGTTATATTTACCATAGAAGTGACTTGAAGACATCTTCTAGAGCAGTGGTTGTCCGAGGCAAAAAGTCATCCTGGTTTGTCACAGTAAACAAGCATAAATATTAGTGCACAAAACTAAAATTGTTAGATAAGAAGTCAGGAAAGAAATTTGGATAGGTTCCAGATATGATTTCTTCTATTAAAATTAAAAAAAAAATGAACAAAATACCCCAATTGTAAGAGTAATAGTAATATTTATTCACAGATGCACACATTCATCTTTTTGCTTGAAATATCTCAAAGCATTGTTTTCATCAACCATTCATCATTGTGGTCTTTTTATGGAGTTATGGCATTTCCTTTTTTCCCTAAACAAATTCGGCACAACACAATGTATCAGTGTTCATTCTCGAACTTTTCAATAGTTGAAGTTATTACTGCTTTGATAATTTAGAATCATCATATGCCATTGATAGTATATTCATCAAAACAATTAATACAAGTTCATCAATTATAAAGGATCTAGATATATTAATATATCTTCTCAAGTTAAAATGGAAAATTAACACTAGTGGAGGACAGTACATTTGCTAGACATGCAAACTTAGATGTACATACAATAAAGTCCATGGACACTACCACCAGCAATATAAGCAGACCTTGATGTTTTTTTAACATCACCAAGAGAAGCATTTTCACTTCAGTCACTATTGGAGTTGTCAAATAACCTCTTTTTTAGAAGTGGATTCTCCCTTTTATACTAAGTACATATAAATATTCAAAGATTTCAGAACCTAGACGAAGGCATCCACTACTAATTTTGATCATATATTGATAGTAAATCAGTAAAGGGACAGTTCTAACTTTTAAGTTCATAACAAGAGGAGACTATCCAACCTGGAGCACAACAGAATTGATCACATCCGCATATCTTACAGCCAAATTCAGAGACATGCATCGGGTAGGAGCTATTGCAAAGCATCGTATCTTGTTTCTTTGTATTCCTAATTTATCTCGATTATGAAGCGCTAGCATTGTCAACAGTGCCACCACCCCAGCTCCAAGAGAATGCCCGGTAAATATCAACATATAAGTTGGATTTTCTGCCACCAGCTCCCTAAGAACCTCATGTTCTGCATCAAAAACCCATCCTGCTGCCTTCAACAACCCATTATGAACATAACCACCATGAAATTCTGCCTGCCCCAGCTTGTTATCAAGCAAAACTAAATAATCACTTTCCTTTGCCAAATTGAGTCCACTAACAGCCAGTATAATTTCAGCATGATCATGATCAAGGTATATCATGTATGGAGTAACATGACCTTGGTTATCCTCGTAGTCCTTACGCAAGATAACCCAATCAGGATTAATGCCATAACCTCCTTGAGGAGCCCATTGGGGGTTACGAATATCCTCTTCGTAAACAGCTAAGATTAGCCTACAAATTCGAGGTACAGGCTCAAAATCTTCAGCAGTAGCAAGACCCCAATTTTCACTCTCATAGCCTGCAGTGTATAGACATTTTTTCCAAGCCCAACGAGTACAGGCCAGACAATAAACACACTCAAGTATAGGAACTCCACAGATAAATGACATCAATGCCTATGATTCAAGCATGTTCACAAATCTTAATAGCAAAATAATAGCTCATACTCCATATAAATAACAACAAAAACTAAAGGGTTTCAGATATTTTTCTATGCCACTAGGGTTTGATCAGGTAGTAATCAATAAAAACAACTCTCTAAGTATCATGCTTTCAGTTTATACTGAAAGCTTAAAAGAGACTAAGACTATTACTAACCAATAGCCACACCTATACACATGATCAAAGATGGAACCTACATAAGGAGCTGAAAACATAGATAAATAAACTAAAAATGCAATTTTTAGTTGAATTAGAACCACTGAACCGTTTTCAAAGATACCCAATTTGTGAAAGTTTGGAAAATGCAACAAATTCAGTATGCCCAAACCGTGAATTCAAAACTTTGTTTCCAAAAGGAAAATAAAGCATCTGATGGCTTTGCCTGTGGTGGGGATTGAATTGGGTGAATAGAGAAGAAAGATTAAACAGTGATACACCAGCGTGAAGAGATGGAGAATTTCGGGGAGAGTGAGACAAAGATACCTTCCAACCAGTCAAACCAAGTTCCTTAACGCTGACGTGTTGGTTTTGAGAATCTAGCGGCTGGAATTAGTTTATTCCCTTTATACATATTTATATCATATAGCCCCATGCACCACCCATGTTTTATGAACAAATATACATATATTTTTAGAAATTATGTTGAAATTTTATTTTAAATTATAATGCATGTAAGTTAATAATAATTTTATTTTTTTAATTAGTATTTTAAAAATATTATAAATTTTCACTGAGTTCAATAACCTGTAATTCATTAACCGACTTCACTCAATAAAATAAAATAAAATTTAATTATGAAGTTGTTGTTTTAAAAATATTAGTTAATATTCATATATTAATTTAACATTATAGTTTTTTATGCATATCTTTTAATCACAACTAAGAGACTAATCTCTTTATAAAAATATAAATATCATCTAAGTGATTTTTATTTCTTTAGTGTCCTGTACAATTTACACACTTGTGAAGACATGTTTTTGGTGAAAAGGAGTTAAATATAAATCTTTTAGCAAACAGACCTTTAATAATCTTTGTTTTTCACAAGTGAACCAAGAATCAAGTCTAAATCATCATGTATAATGAATCTAACTATATATTCTTTTAAATTTTTTTTTAAAGACATTTAAAATATTTGGGGTTTTTTTTATAAAATATTTATTATATTTTTTATTTACTTTAATAAGTGAAGTTAATAGGAATTAAAATTTATAACTACCCATAAAATTAATATTTAATACTTATTATTTATTCTTGCTTTGTTGTATAGCAATCTCTTCACTGTTATTCATTCTCCATTGGATGAGTATACATTAATAGGATTGGAATAAGTTCGAGTAAGTTTAAATATTTTTGTAAAATAAATAACGAAATTTTGAAAATACTCATTAAGGAAGATAAAATTGTTAAATAATAAAAAATTAAAATTATATTTTTTATTAAAAATGTAATAATATACTTACTCTATGGTTTTTAATAGCCGCTACATTTTTTTAAAATAAAATTGTATATATTATCAATTTTGTAACTAGTATACGTCGAAATATGTAAATGTTGGACTACTTGCCCTTATTCTTTAAGGGAGAAATAGATAAAATATTGTTCAAAGTATCAAAAACTATTTATCCTCAAATTAAGAACAAAATTATTGTATTTTTTATTCTAAATTAATCCTTGAAAGAACTAAATTAATTTCACCAAGGCAAAAAAAAAAATAAAAATCAAAGAAATGACATAAAAACGACAGAGTTGTGAATGTGTTAACTTAATATCATAACAAGTGAAATTTTAAAAGAACAATTTGAAATTTTACTTAGAATTTTTTGTAGTTTTATAGTGTCAACTTACAAGTTAATATTTATATAAAATTGCTTTCAACTGTGATAATGAAATAAATTAAGTTAATATTTTAAAGGTTAGGCGGTAATCATTTCTGAAAAAATATTATTTAATTTTTCACGTGTAATATTTTTTAACAGTTTGTATTTTATTAAAACCCGAACAATATATTTTTTATATAAAATTAAACAACAATCAATTTCATTTATATATATGTTTTTACAATTTAAGAACATAAATACTCTTGCAATTTAGATTTAAGTGTAATCCAAAACCATTGTATATACTACCAAATGCCAATAGTTTTTGACACTAATCCAAAATGTGATGTCTCACAACCCACATACATAGATTTTCTTTTTCTTTGTCTTTTTCTCCGTCTATGCTGCAAGATTTTCCTTTTTCTTTTTGTTTTTGTATAATTAGTGGAGCAAAGACCCAAAGCAACAGAATAGCTAGCAGATCATACAGTGAAAAGAAACTCCCTAAATAACAATATTTTTCTTTATTTTTTATCTTAGAAGTTAATGTTAAAAATAATGAACTTTTTATTTATTACATGAATATTATTAAATTAAAATTGTATTTTTAAATAAAACTCAAGATATATTTTATGATTATTTATAAATTTTAGATAACAGCTACCGTGAATTAGTGTATCGTATTACTCATGTATAAATTAACAAAATAACATATTATAACAAGTTTTAAAAGTTTCAATATTTATAATTTAATCTTTAAAATTTTTTTAATAAAAATTTGTAAGTATTGTATATTTAAAACAAATCCTTTAAAAATAAATTTTTTTAAAAGATTAAATGATAAATATATAAAAATAAATATTGTTAAATTACATATTAAAAATTTGAATTTTTTATAAATTTTAAAATATATTTAATATTTTTAAATGTTCTCTCACTTATAAGTTGCTTACTTTACTAATTCATATTAGTTTAAACCAATTTTTTATTTAAAAATTCTTAAACAAAATTACTTTTGAATACTATTTTTCTTTTTTTTCTCTTAAAATTAATTATCAAATAAAGCCTTAAAGTAAAATAAACAAAAGTATTGTAAAAAAAAATAAATTAGTTAACTTGTTTATCCTTCATTGGTGTTTCTCATGAAGACCATGGACCAAGTTTGGTGACATGCTTCACTAGTAATTACTATTGGTATTGAAAAAACAATCTTAATTTAAATTTAATTTTTTATTATGACTTATTTTTAATTATAAAGAATTGATCTTTTAAATTTAATTTTAATTTTTTAATAAAATTTAAGTATAAACTAACATGAGTTAATAAAGTATGCGATTCATGAATGAGTAATATTTTTAAACCATTAGATATATTTAAACTATTTAAATCTTCAACTTGTAACTTAATAATATTAATTTTTATATATTTATCATTTAATTTTTTATAAAAATTTATATAAAAAAATTAAACTTTTAAAATTTGTTATTTTATATATTTAAAATTGTTATCTTTTATCTTTAAAATTTGTAAACTTTTTCAAACTGCATCTTAGGTGTATCATCTATCTAAGTGATAATTTTAAAAAAATATGCACAAATATAATTTTAATTTATAATAAAAAAATTTAGTAAATAAAATATTACATGTCATTTTAGATTTTTAAATTTTTCACAAATCTTATGTATAAAGTTTATGATTTTTAAAATTTAAATTTTCATATCTACTCTCATAATTTCAATTTACCATAAAAATGAACATTCATATTACTAGATTATTTAATGTCATTTTAAATCTTTCTTATGTCTTCCACATACATTGTACTATTTATTTCATATAATTTTTGTAAATTTTGCTTAAATCATGTTTTTCTCACTTAAACAAAAGATAAGAAAAAAATGGTTCATTGGATAAATATTGCTTAAGTAGTCACTAATTCATTTAAATCATACAAAATATTATAATATTTGTATAAGCAAATAAAATTTGACTTAAATTATCATATATTTGTTTAAACTAAATTATTATAACTTAAGCGTAATTAACTTAATTTAAACTAAAATAATAACTTAAAAGAATATTAACGAAATTTGTATATTTATTACCATATAAAATTAGCTAACTTAAAAAAATTATAAAAAAATAATTTTTTTATATTTTTTAGCATTCAACCACATATCTTAAGAATATTAATAAAAGTTGTATTATATTATTATATTTTTTAATTAATTAATAATGTAAAAAAGTTATATTAATAATATATTAAAATAAAAAATATCAAATAAAGGAAATTAATTGGAAGGAAATAAACACCACAATAGTAATATAGTATCGAAAATTTACTCACATATTAACATGAATAAAATTAAAAATAGAAAATGAATTTTTTGGGAGAAAGCAACACGTGCCAAAATCAATTATTGGTCACATTGCCAAAAAAAGACGGAGAAGCTTTGCATTACAGATTACACTTAGCTGAGGCCAAATCTGGTGTGGGCCACCACGTCGTAGAGTCATTCAACTACCGACCAAATATGTTCACGTTGACGCCGAATCTTCAACACTCGGTTCGCACACTACGCGCCTACCATTCTATCGGTGCATCGCTCTTGGTTCAACCGCCAAGTGTCCATGCCTTAAAACTACACCGCCGCACACTGGATCCTAGGCTGCCTCCAGGGTATATATCTATTTCGAGCATGTCTTGCGATAAAATAAAACTGAAGAAAGCAGAATTGAGTTCGTTCTGCGAGAAATGGAAAAAGAAGAAGGTGAGTTTCATTCAGCAAAATAAAAAGGAGAAAATGTGTTTGCATGCTGAGAAAATTAAATAACCAACACAGAATAAAGGAAAAGAGTGACTTCGAGTTGTTCAGATTTTTTTTTTTTTGGTCATTTTGTCTCGGCTATTGCAAATGAGGAGATGGAGACTTAGGAGCTGAGAGTTTTTCTGTTTTGCGTTATTTGGTTCATTTGTAGTTTGTTGTGTAGGGATTTGTGCAGTTTGTTAAGGTATGTTTCGTTTGTTTGATGTTTGCAGTGTTTGAGTTTCTCGGATGCGTTCCTCTTCTGCAGAGGATTCCTAGCTCGTCTGTGAGGAAGATATCTGAAGTTGTGGTTGCCAAACACTACGGTAATTGTTCCTGTTTTTGAATTGAAATAATGCTTTTATGCTGCAGCTTCAGTTGGAGTCGCATTGTTGTTACCCAAATTTCACGGAATTACCTGAAAATGTAGAAAAGTACGAAGTGGTTGCGGAAACCTACAAAACTGCAACGCTACACAGTTGTAATTGTGGTTGTGGACTGTAATCTTAAACTGTGGAATTGGATTTCTTGCAATGAATTATCTGAAAATATGTTCGTAGAATTGTTATTCAAATTTTCATTTACATGCTCTTATATTCATCCTATGCTAGTTAATGGAGTCTCTACTCTCTTTTTTTAAATTATAGTATTTAAAATTGACAAAGGCTGACCAGTGCCTTAAGGCGCTAGTTAAGGAACCAAAAGTGGAATTTTTTTGTCATAAAACATAATAAATACACTTCTTCCTGTGATTTTCAATGCAGTCCAACATAAATTCTAATAAAAACTTACCATTTTCAATTCCTTAACACTGGTTAGTTAGACCCTTTAATATTTAGGATTGTGACAATCAATGGAAGGATACATGCATTAATATTTTCAATTCTCCATTGATGGATTCTGGTGTAGAGCCTGGAGAGTATGTTGCTCGTGAGGGTGAACCTGGGGATGGCGTATACTTCATATTGGATGGAGAGGTATGTTTATATTCTCATGCTACAGACCTTAGAGAAACAAAAACAGACTGGCAGGTTTCATTGGATTGCTTGTGGATTTGTGTAGGGCAGTTTTGATAACACTGCACTGATCTTAAGGCAAATATAATGGTGTAGAATTGGAGAGACATCTGTTGCTACTATTATTTGTCTACTGCTCTCATCTCCAACTTAATTTTTTCTTATTTTCTTAAAATGTCTGCTATAGAATATTTTAGTTAAAATTGTTATTCATTGCTTGTAGGCTGAGGTTGTTGGATCTGTCAGTACCAATGATGAAAATCGCCCGGAGTTCCAATTGAAAAGATATGATTATTTTGGTTATGGTAGTAAACTTCATTTATGCCTCAAATTGCATGTTTGTTTAAGATTTTCTTTCATTGCGTAGGCCACATGCTTGTCTGGTAGTTTATGTCATCATGGTTTGGTTAATCTTAATTATTTTCTTCTGCACTGTTAAGTATATCGATTAGTTCAACTTTGTCTAACTATACTTGGTTTCTTTTCTTGAAAGCATTGGTCTTTCTGGGACTTGGTTGCTTAAAGTTAACTGGAAAAGGGTTGACTAGTTATTAGTTGCCATAATTTCTTCAGTACTTCAGTCTCTGTTCTATTATTTTGCGATACCACAAATGCTTAGGATTTTGCCACTGTAACTGATATGTTTCTTCTCTGTTAACCTTTTTCTTTGGGTTAACTGGGATATTCATTTTCCAATTATACCTATGGTCCTGTTCAAAATTGGTGTACATAAGCTTTCATTTTTGTCTTGAGTTATGTTCTGTCGTTAGAGACATAATAATAATGTGAACTTGCAAATTGCAGGTTTGTCAAACACAGTTCACCAGGCAGATGTTGTTGCTCTGTCTAAGGTGCACTTTTAGTTTCTTACCCTTTTGCTTTCAAAATGTCAAAACCTCAGGTTGAGTATACATGCAATCACCTGAGATGCACTTAAAATGAAATAATTTATTTACTCCTGTGGTTGTTTTTAATGTTTGCTGTGGCAGCTGACATGCTTCGTGCTGCCCAATGAGCACTCAACACTGATGCAGCCGAAGTCTATCTGGAGTGCAGAAAATTGTGTTGAGACATGCTCACCTGTGGAGAATATTTTGCATTTAGAACCCATAGAGGTGCTCCTAGTATACATCATTAATTTGATTATTGAATTCTTCTTGTTGAAGTGTTTACATAGTAAGGCTTTTATGGACTGATTTTTTGCACAAGAAAAATAATTGTATGCTTTTATGTGAGAAACTGCCTGCTTACATGCATATGGTGAAAGCTAAGAAATTGAAAAGAAAGGGAGAAAAGGAAAGATCATACAGCTCTTTAAATATCTTTGAATATGAATAGATATATGATTGCGATTAGAATAGGGCAAAAAGAACTAGTCTGATGTGGTCATCCTGATTAATCTTTGATAGCAAGTAGCATTGTGGTGCACTGATTGATACATATTGGTCTATCTTTGATGGTATGTAGTAATATCCAGGAATTCATCCTTATAGCTCTTTCTTATTTTCTTTGGAAGGTAGATGTCTTCCAAGGAATAACCCTTCCAGATGCTCCTAGATTTGGGAAAGTGTTTGGGGGACAGATGATTGGACAGGTATGATCATGCTGCTTTATCTTCCATGTTAAAGCATGCTACTCATTTCAGTGGTTCATTATATACATAGATTAATTACTGGAATATGTAACATGCAGGCACTGGCTGCAGCAGCAAAATCTGTTGACTGTCTTAAGGTTGTTCATAGTTTGCATGCCTATTTTATTCTAGTGGGGGATTTAAACAGTAAGTATGTTTAATAACTTGGCTTTGCTGACAATGCTCTGGATGTGACTTCCCTTTCTATTTCTTTTTACTTTTCTTGTGATGAGATGTATCCTATTGCAATAGATATGCCTAAGACTTTGTCTTTAGTTGATATTTTAAGAATGATCCTCTCCTTGATAAATGCTACTTCAGATCCCATTGTCAGCTTGTCTGTACTAGTCCGCATGTTTGTTTTGGTATTGTATCTTCAACTTTTTATCCTTTGCTTAAATGTTGTGCACTGAGAAACTAGACAAATGAGTTGATAATCCAAAAGAACCAAAATTATAGTAAAGTTGTGAATAAAACAGGTGATCATTTTTTAAGTCTTTGTAGGTCGTTAGCTAAGCCTATTTAATCCATGCTTTCATGTAAGTTACATTGCCATTATGTCATAATGAATGATAGATTGAGTAATCTTTTGTAAGTTAGTTTTTGTGTTGGTTTTCTATAGTTTCTGCTGGAGAGTAGATCCTATAGTTTCTGTCGTTTAGGATAATTAACTTTTCAGAACATCATATAATATATTCTTTATGATCAATCTGAAAATGTCCCATCTGAATTCTGTTCTTATCATATTAATCCCACATTTGTACTGTAAATTTATTTATATCACCTTAGCTTATGATAATAAACAAATTATAAATAATATAAACATTTCTTTTCCAGTGCCAATTATATATCAAGTTCACCGTCTCCGTGACGGAAAGAGCTTTGCTACACGGAAAGTGGATGCAATTCAAAAGGGGAATGTCATATTCACTTTGCTGGCTTCATTTCAGGTAATCTATATTCTTCTAGACTTGAAAGAATCTAACTTTTTAGTAATTATTTTAGTTTATTTAGCTGTGAATCTAGCCATATTTGTGCTCTCTCTCTCTCTTATATTTTTATTTGATTATTCTATTTAATGGAATATAGTCTATAACACCAAAATTTAGTACTACATAGTTACCTTCTAGCTTAACAATTTAGATTTGTACAACCAGGAATAAAAAGATGTAAAGCCCATTCAGAAGAACACCTGATATACTGCAGCTATATAGCACCCCTATCATTAATTACAGCAAGGCTAGATGATAGAACACAGGGAAGCAGAGGAGGGCTCCCTTGTGGAATTCTGGAATCAAAATTATTTATATTTACTCGGATTAGGACATGATATATTTTTAATTTATTTAACTTGGGGAAAAAGGATATCATTGTTCATGCATTTGTATTACCTATAATGAAGCTACTTTCTCACTTACATGTATGGTAATGTCTGGCTGTTTGGTATCTATTTCTAAATGACAGAGTGGGGTATTAAACAAAAATGAAATTTGGACATCTCATGACCTCATAGACTTGATTGAATAGTTGAGCTTTGTAGATTTTTTTAAGGCAGTTTTTTACAAACTGATACCTTCCTGCCTCTGCCTGATTTTTTTGGTCTAGACCAAACATAAAGTATTTGTTTGTTGGCTTGGCTGGAAGTGAACAAGGTCAACATCACCTAGCCTAAAACAAGAAAGTAAAAATAATGATATTTAACTTGATTAACTATTTGAGTATATGTTGAGTAGGAGATGCAGGAATCATTTCCACAAAAAGAAGCTGTAATATTCTGAACTGTTACAATGCTAAGTAAGACTTCTGCCAGGGTTCAAGATTCGGTTGGATGGTCAAAATAAGGGGAAAGAAATTAGTTCAATTACATTAAAAATTTAAAATGTATATTTTCTTCTTCCTTGATTAGTTTTCCTTTGTCTATTTTTAGTTTTTTTCATGACTGCAAAACATAATATAGCTGATGTAACTTTGTGTTGGCTGTTGTAAGTGTAACTGTGACATGTTGTTTTAACACCTATAATCTAGCTCAAGTGAAGGAATTCTGTTCTGAATTCAGAGACACTTTATCATTGTTATTTTCTTAATTGATAGAAGGAAGAATCAGGGATGTACCACCAGGAAGTAGCTATGCCATCTGTCCCGGCTCCAGATATGGCAAGATACAAACTTATGTTCATTATGGATTTTTGTTACTGTGAATTTCAAATTATTAATATTTTTTAATCTGTTACTTATAGCTTCTGCCAATGGAAGAGTTACGCGAGAGACGTCTTACTGACCCTCGTTTACCAATGTAAGATTTTTTGTGAAGAATAACTTGGTTGATGCAATATTGTTCTATATGACTATATTTGTTTGTTTTCGTTTATCTTTCATTGTATATTGTTGTGTTTGTTTATTATGAAACAGGCATGGCATCTCTTCTACTTTATCATAATGTATTTACCAGGACTATAGGAAGGCTACACATGAAAGTAAATTGTGTTTCTTGTCTGTTGGGATTTGGGTTATTCAATAGGAGAAACCCACATCCCAATAATCCATCCTTGCTTATTCTAATTATGTTGAAACCTGGGTCTCCAGGTTAAAGTGCCTAGTCCTTGATCACTGTGGTGTATCCTTGGGGATGAAACCAAAAGAACTTTTAACCTATGGAAAGTTAATTTTCTAAGTATTACTTGTCTAAGTATTTTACTAGCTCCCTTGTTTGTGTACGAATAACCACATACTATTACATTAAGTTTCAAAGTATAATGACTGAAAAGGCAATATATGATAATGTAAGGAAAAGACAACCCTTGCTTTGTACTTGCACATTGAATCACAAGGGTATATTTAGCACACGATATATTTGTCCTTCAGTAAATAATATCACTGGATTTCTAGTTCTAGGACACTTTCACCATTCAGATTAAATAGGTTAATCTTCTATTGCCTTCAGCTAGAGTTGTTGAGCTACTCCTGCTTCAGTTTTTGTTGCTTTTTTGTAAATCAACTAAAATTACTGCTTTTCCACTATTTTATTTTTTTCAACTGTGATGAATGAGTAAGTGTCTAGTTGAAGGATTTTCATGCCCATGTTTTTGTTTTGCTTAATCATCCCAATACATATTCAAAGTGAAATATGCCTAAATCTTACATAAAGCTTAGGCCATTTTCTTAAAGACGTTAATTGAAAATCTGAAATACCAAGTGCTAATAAGTAATTATTAGATTGGTGTATAAACACTCATTTCAAGGATATCTTGCCTCAATTCAGAACTGTATACGTTTGATGATTAGATTTTCTTCTGAAAGGAGTTTTCTATCCTTAATAACAGTGTAGAGACTCGGAAAAAAGATATTTTCTATTTCAATTCTCAATTGACAACTGTAAAAAATATCTCTGGAATCTTTTTAAGTATTGACATGAAATAGGCTTCACTATTGTGAGAGAATAAGCCTGGTGAAGAGAGTATCACAATCTTTATAACTTTTCATTTCGTGAAAAATGAAAATAATGAAAACTTAAAATCTGTTTGGTTTGAGAAAACCTTTTTAAAGCTCTTGTTTCAATCATAACTACAAAAATGTCTTGTTTTCACTTTGTTTATTGTTTTCAAATGTTTGTATAGGAAACAACAAAATGCTTTAACCATTTCCTATGAAACATTTAAAAACAAGAAACAAAGTGAAAATAAAATGCCACTTTTATCAGTAGTGGTGAAAATAGGAAATGAAAACATAATTTTACCCCCAAACCTAACAGGCCATTAAACAAAAATTTTCCTGTAAAACTTGATTTTGCATTCCTTGATTGAAAAATACAAGACAATGGGGTATATGATTTTCAGGTTTCTGTATCAGTATTTGTACAAAAAATAAGGTTTTTGTATCAGTATCACAAAACTAAAGAGTCCTGGTTAATGATTGATCCATGTTACACAGTCGTCCTTGGGATGCTCTGAGGACTCTGTCTTAGATGTACAATTTCTGACAGAATATTATTTTAAGCTTTTGAATACTTGTGCACAATCAACACTGAACAATTTTTTACAGTGCTTTTATTTGGAGTTCTTTCATATTTACATTATGGTAAAATGTAAGGACGTGTCTTTTGGCCAAAGGATGTAAATGTTGATTAGTCTGCATGATGATTTTCTGTACCGTAATGATGAATTTGTTGCCTCAGAACCTACCGGAGCAAAGTGGCTACAACTCAATTCATCCCCTGGCCCATAGAGATACGGTTCTGTGAATATGAACTTTCAACAAATCAGACAAAATCCCCTCCCAGGTTAGCCTGAGGCTCTATGTTCAATTTTTTTGCCTAGTTTTATACCGAGCATTTACGCAATGAACTGGTTAGAAAGTTTTGAAAGGAAATGGAAGGGTGCTCGACCCTTCTCCCTCTTGTCTCCCAATCATTTTTCCGAACATAATTAATGTCTTCTGTTTTGAATGATACATATTCTCTGAATCCGTTTAAATATTGAATGCAGTTTGAGATACTGGTTTAGAGCAAAGGGAAAACTGTCAGATGATCAAGCATTGCATAGGTACATATCTTCTATTTAGTTTGGATGTGTCTGGTCCTTGAGTGTTTTAGCAGAATTGCCTTTTTAATGATAACTTTTACTGATGTGCCAAAGCCAATGCTAGCATGCCTTGGAGCCCTGTGAAGCTGTGTCTGAATGCATGTAATTCTAGAGCTACTTACACAGTTTTTGAGTTTTGTTAAAATCAATGTCTTGTCACTTAAAAACTTTTATCCCGAGTAAGGATTAGTTGGGAGAGTTTGAAGAAATGGAGATTGCTGAAAATCTGGTAGTACCAAATGCATCTATTTTGAACCTGCATTTCTGGTTACATAGATTGTCTTCGAGTAGCAATCTGCTCACTTTGGCATGCTTTACAATATAATTTTTTTTTTCCCAATGGTTGAAGTCAAGAAGTGGTATTGTTCTTGCATTTCATTTGTTTTTTGTTCCTTGTATTGAAGGTGCGTGGTGGCATATGCTTCAGATCTAATATTTCTTCAAGTAAGTTTGAATCCCCACCGTGAGAAGGGCTTCAAGACACGTTCTGTTAGTCTGGACCACTCGTAAGTATCTCAGTCCTACTGATGGCATGAGAAATAGTAATTTATATGTTAACATCATAACATGAGAGGCATGCGCAACAAGTCTTCAAGATATGAATTTGCTTTCTTGTTTTATGTTTAATTCTTTTTGAATTTTTATTTCAGTTTGTGGTTTCACCGATCCTTAAGAGCAGATGAATGGGTGCTATTTGCAGTGAGTTTCATATTAGTTTCATTCTTGTTTCTCATGTTTAATTTTGGGGAAATTACAGCGCAGGAAATTTTGATAAAAATATTCAGTCATCCATTCACCAATTAAATCATTATTCCATAATTGTTACTCATTCATCAGTTGAATGGTTTAAAGTTAACTTATTTTCTATTTTGTTACTTTACTTTTGTTTTTGTTTATTTAATTGTAAATTCAATTTGCTCTGCAGATCTTTACGCCTTCAGCCTATAATGCTCGTGTCTTTGTCACAGGCCAAATGTTCAATCAGAAGGGAGAGGTAAATGGTGACCAAATTTTATCAATTTCGCTCATTCCCTGTTTAACTTTGTCTTATAGTGTGCTAATCTGTTAAACTAGCAGCTTCTTGTATCATTGGTTCAAGAAGGACTAGCCAGGAAAATTAATCCCGGAAATTCAGCCATCAAATCCAAGTTGTGAACTGCTGAAAACTTCACAGGACCTATGGCCTGCGTTTTTCTTTTTCATTGTTTTTTCTTTCTTTACAATTTTGTTGGTCTGAATGGTTTAATTATGGAATTTGCCCTGTAATGCAAAACTGCTAAAGGTTTTATTAGGATGCAATATTTATCCAAACAATATGCAGAAAACAAAACCCAAATAATTTTTTTCACCTGATTATGGAGATTGGAGGACAAAATATTACTGATTGACCTGTAAATGCTCCGAGAATAATCGTCTAAATGTGATCATTCTACTGCATGTTATTCCTCGTTAACATAATTTTTGGATCTGATGAATTCTGCAATTTTTAGTGAAAAATTGATTTTGCATAAAATTAAATGAGTAATTACTGGTAATTTTGACTAAAGGGATGTTCGTGAAAGGAGTTTTAGAGGGAAAAAAAAGGATAAAATTTCTATTTTAAATAAATATATTTAAAATTAATATTTTTTATAATAAAATATAAAAAAATTTAATTTAAAATTAAAATTTATGTCATTCTCTCCTTTCTCTTTTAAAATCTTACTTATGAGAAGTTTGAAATTTTATATGAAAAAATCATAAAAATTTTATAAATATAAGTATTTAAAAAATAAAAAATTTATATAAAGTGATAAGGCAAATTTTATAAATATAAATATAATTATTAATAGTAAATCTGAAATTTTATATAAGAAATAAGGAAAAATTAACTAAAAAATTTTATCTTTACAATTTAAAACAAGATTAATAAAAAAAATGTCTGTAAAAAGTAAAATCATGAATTGCATTCTTAATTATTGGTATAATTTGTACTTACTTTTTTTAACTTTATTTTAAATTATTAAGATAAAAAAATTTATTTAATTTTCTAAATATAAAAAAATAATATTTTCAATTTCAAATTTTTGAAAAACTTAAAAAGAAAATCCTCTACGAAATGCCCCTAACGATAAACAAATGCTTTACAATTTATATAAATTAATAAATGTGGCGGTTCGTTAATACACTCTAGTATTTTTAATAGAAGTGTTTTTTTTAATTATTTTATTTTATTTTTCCATTAAAATAAATTTATTTTATCATAATAGTTAATAAAATTAATCATTTTCTTAAAATATATGCATTAGTATTATCTCAAATTTGTATATAGATATATAAATACAAAAACATTTTTATTCTCTCATAAGTTGTAAGACAAATAAAAAAAAAAATCAAGACAGTACTGGTTAAAGATCAGTTAGGATGAATTTAAATGCAGAAAGTACTTATTCATGGAAAGATATATTTTTAGGGATTTGTATTATTTATTCTTAAAAACTGACAGAAGAAATTATTAAAATGTTAAGCATCATACTCATAATATATTTTAAAAAATAGAAAAAAAAAGATGGTAAAACAGTATTTTTAATAATTTTTTTATTAAATATAAATTTTATCAATCAAAATTTTTAATTTAAATTTTTTATAGAATATATTAAATCTATAAAATTTCACACAATTAAAATTTTAATTGATATTTTTATTGTCATATTATATTTTAACAAATAATATATTTTTTAAAATATCAGTAAATAGTTACTATTAAATAAAATATTTACAAAACTTTTAATTCTGTAAACTTTATATCAATAATTTTCATTATAATGTTATAATAATCAACGATTATATTGATAAAATTTATTTTTTATAAAAAAATTACTAAAAATATCATTTTATTAAGTTTCACAGACAATATCATTTCATCTTAACCTTATTTTATATAAGTTTATATATATATATATATATATATATATATATATATATATTATCAATATAAAATTTTTAATATTATCAAATAATTAAAATATATAATAAATACACTTTTTAAAATTAATTATTATAAAAATTAAATTTTTTTGTTGATATAGTAATTTATTATTAAATAATAGTATACAAATCATTTTGACATAATTTTATCAATATTTATATTATAAATAAGAGTTTACTAATTTGAAAAGTATAGCTACTTTTTAACACAATTCATAATGTGTATATTTTAGAATTAAAATGGATTAAAAATCATATGTAAAGTATATTATTCTAAAATAAATTTTTTATCAATATTTTTGTTAATTTTATTTTAAATTTAGAAACTTAAGTTGTTACTAAACTTTTCTTTATTTTCTTATATAAATTTTTATATTTTTTGTGAATATATATTTTTACATTTATAAAAAATTTTAATTTTTTTATGTTTTCAAATTTGAAATTAACTTTTAAGAGTCTTGTCTCTTAAATTTTTAACATTCAATTCAAAATTTTTTAACACTAGACAATAAAAATATTATTTAAAAATAAAATCATTTAATTTTATTAAATCTTTATCCTTTTGATAGATACTATTTATAATTTTAGAATTAAATCAAAATATTTTTAAAAAATTTATTATTTTATAAAATATAAATAATATTAAATTTTGTTCATTATTTATTAAATTATATATATATATATATATATATATATATATTATAAAATGAAACATCTGTACAGCTTACTAAACTAATTATATTCAAAATTAAACGATCCAGATATTCGTTTTTATTAATCATTCAATGGGTAGAGTGATATATAAAATTTTCTCTTGATTATACATTAATATTGTAATATCTGCTGGATTAAAAACTTTCTAGTTTGAACACGATTGGGTTGCATATAACCACAATTAAAATAGGATTTTATCTGATCTGCATAATTAAGGAAACTTTAATTTAAATAATATAGTAGTTTATATTTACAAATTAATTCATTAATCTGACAATTTAAACGATTTTAAGTAACATAAAATATCCTAACATTAATTTGATGAATTCTTTTAACTACATTAATTGTTAAATATTTAACTCATTAAAACATCATTAAGAATTGATTATTTGCTACCTATTTAATTTAACTAAGATTTCAAATTCAAATATTGTGTATAAAAAAATCTATTACTTTCTTTAAACAATATTCGTGATTTAATTTAAAAAAGCCCAATTAATTATTTATAATATGCTGACAACATTTTAAACAATAAAAAAGATAGATATTCAAGTAAATTTTTATTTATAATAATGATTATACAATATTGCATGAAAATAATAAAAATAAAGAATAAGAAAATATTATTAAAAAAGGATTGTAATAAAATAGAAAGTGATTATACAATATGCTGACAACATTTTAAACAATAAAAAAGATAGATATTCAAGTAAATTTTTATTTATAATAATGATTATACAATATTGTATGAAAATAATAAAAATAAAGAATAAGAAAACATTATTAAAAAAGGATTGTAATAAAATAGAAAGTGATGTTCAAATGAAAAACTGAACAACAAAATCTTATCCTTTATGTATATAAAAAGAAGGCTCTGTAAACTGTGTCACATACCAATTCCTGAAATGTGCAACATTCACTTTTCTGTCCAAAGTATTAATTAGTTTTTACAACTTTTTCATCAATAAATATGAAAAATATAAATAATTGTGTTAATTTTAACATTTATTATGCTAATTAATTAATTAGTTTTTTTTTAACTTAAACACATCAATAAACTCATGTATGTTCATTAATGCAACCTTTAGGAATGGCTTTAAATGTTTAAAAATAATAAAATTATATTGAGAAAGTAAGTATTTATTATTTTAGAAATATAAAAGGGTAATAAAAAAATTTTAATTAAAAAAAATTTTGAATGCGTAAAATTAACTTTAAGAGTTGATTACTATTTAATTATGTAAATAAAAAGGTGGTTTTTCTGTATGGAACCATCTCATACGACGCCATTTAAGACATTCGTTTTCTACCTAAATTATTTATTTTACAATTTTTCTCATCAATAAATAATTAAAATATACATAATTGTTTTGATTTTGGAAATTATTAAAGTAATCAATTAACAATTTATTAACATAAACCAATTAATAAAATTATGTAGGTTAATTAATTGCTTTATTAGTTGAATTTATGCATTGCATATTTTTGGAAATCGTGAACACATTAATTTTTTTTACAAATAATCTAAAAAATAAATATATGGTAAAATATTACATAAAATAATCACAATGTTCTCTGTCAACTATTGATTATTTTCTTAATATTGCTTTATGTTATGTCCAAAACATCAAATAAATACAAAAACAGAAATAAAACAAAAAATAAATAAAATTACCACTATAGTAATTAAGGTAAATGCATTACTTTATTGACAAACATATATTTGGTATATCATTTAATAAATAGATCGCAATTTATTTTCTACAAAAATAAGTTTTAATTCCTTCCTACAATGGATAGACAACAAAATCTTTTCATTTCTTATCTTAGTATATATATAGGTCTGTGTGTCTGTTTGTATGTAAAGAAATCATATTATTATCAAACAAAAAGGAAGAAAGCTTCCTACTACTCAAATAGAAAACATAAAAATGTGTTCAAAATATTTGTTTCTGTTTTGCTTACTAGTTTGTATTGCAGAAGCACTGCCTGAACAAAAAAGTTTCAATGTAATAGACTATGGGGCAATTGCAGATGGCAAGACAGATAACACTGAGGTAAACATGTTCATTTCCTCCATTCAAAGTCTTTCTTTTTTCTTGGGCTAGAATCATTTTTATTTACTGAATTATCTATTAAAAAAAAGGCATTTTTGAGTCTTACAATATTGTTGTATCACAAAAGATCATTTAATTAATGAAACCTTTTTTTTTTCTTTCTCTTTTCCTTACAAATTGGTTTTATTGAGTTAACTAATATGTTAATTACCCTTTTGTAAATTGAAGGCATTTTTGAAAGCATGGAGTGATGCATGCAATTGGGATGGAAATGCATCAACATTTTTTATCCCAAAAGGAACTTTCATGCTCAAAAGCGTTGTATTTAAAGGTCCATGCAAGAGTTGGAGTGTCTTCCGCATTGAAGGTGTTCTCAGGGCTCCAATTGATCCATCTTTGTTCACTGATAAAAAATGGTTAAACTTCAGATATGTTGACCATCTAAGTGTTAATGGAGGTGGCACACTGGATGGTCAAGGATCTGCCACTCGACAAATATGTAAAAACAATCCAAAATGTCAAACTCTTTTTACGGTACGTGTTTTCCTAAATCAACTTTTTCAATTCAATCAATTTCATCAAAAACTTTGTTTTAATCTTAGTTTTTTTCACTATTTTACCAGAATAAAATGGAAATGAATGTGGTGATAATTAATATTAAGGAATGGAAAACGTTTTTAGTGATTTTTTTTTTGGCATATGATAAGGAAGCTGATTATAGAATTACAAATAAAAAATATTAAATTGTGTTATTAATTCGTTTTTATTATTATTTTAATGGACCTTCTGTCTGTTTTTCAATAAAAAAAAACATTTGATTTGTTAACTAGTATCCTTTAAAGCAGTTGCTAACGACACTTCTTCTCTTTGTGTTTTTAGGATTTATCACCTCTATATAAGTGTATAATTGAAAAAAAAAATCTTGAATTTCTAAAATACAAAAATTGAAACATAAAAAAAATTTCTATTAAAATTAACTCTTAGGATGAATTTTAAGTATCTATAATTGACAAGTTTTTATTAAGGAAATCATTTATTATATTAAAAATGCAAAAATATTAATAAATACTTTTATTTTTAACAAAAACTACCACTTTTAGATATTTAAATAAGCACTAAAATTTAATGTTAACATTTTCAATAAAAAATTAATAAAATGTGAAATTAAGGTAGCAGCATTTTAACTTAAAGATATGAATGCATCATCATAAAACTTTATAGGATAGACAAACGTTACAACCTAATGTTCTTAGCTGACTTATATTAACATCTTGTTTTGTGGAAACATTTGATCAGACTATGGAATTTGACTTCGTGACCAATGGTTCAGTGGAAAACGTGTATTCTGTTGATAGTAAAGGAGGGCATTTCATAATGTTCGCATGTGAGAACATGACATTCACAAATCTAACTCTATCATCCCCAGTTACAAGTCGTAACACTGATGGTATCAAAATTGGGCATTCAAAAGAGATAAATATAAAAAGTGTGAATATTGGCACTGGTGATGATTGTATTGCTATGATTTCTGGCACAAGAAATGTTCAAATTTCAGATGTGTACTGTGGTCCTGGTCATGGAATTAGTGTGGGAAGCATGGGTAAGAATGATGGAGAAGAAAATATTCAAGACATTGTTATCAAAAATTGCACCTTTAATGGAACTAGTAATGGTCTTAGAATCAAAACATGGGCATCTCCTTTGAAGGAAACCTTGTATGCTTCAAATTTTTCCTATGAAGACATTACTATGAATAATGTGCAACAACCCATTGTTATTGATCAACATTATTGTCCACTGCGTAATTGCGACCCCAAGGTTTGTGCTTCTAAATTTACTTATTTTTTTCTTTTTTTTACAAATTTAAATGAGATAAGAGAATTTTTTTTGCTGTTATTTCTTTCCTCCCTGTGATCATAATAGCACAACAGTTGTACTAGTAAAATTAATTATAAAAACATTTGTTGTTTGGAAACTAAAACTATAATTAATTTTGTTGCAGGAAGATTCATATGTGCAAATCAGCAATGTGACATACAAAAATATTCAAGGAATTGGCAGCACTGATATTGCAGCCAATTTTAATTGCAGTAAAATTAAGCCATGTGAAAACATAATTGTAGAGAACATTAATTTCTGGCGTTATGGTGTCAAGGGAAAAGAACAGACAAATTTTTGCTCTCATGTCCATGGTTCTTCTTATGGCACACAAATTCCCCCATCCTGTATTTAGTGAAACAGCTCTTTTAGCCTGCATTATTTATAAAGGAAAAAAAAGTTGTAGTCTGTTTATATTATGTATACTAAATAAGAAAGACATAATAAATATATGACAAAAAAATGCAAAAGTGATTGAATGGTACATGAATCTCTAATAGCATTTGAGTGAAAAAAATTTCCCTTTCCCTGTTTGAACTTTTTTATCACAATTATATAATGGATCAGGATTCAATGCAGTTAATGCAGGAACTGTATCGTGCAGTTAGGCAAAATTTTACATTTTTATTTAAGCAAAAATGTGTTAACTTAAACAAAAAATACAAATAACGTGACAGAACAGTACAATTACAGAATTGAATCTAAATCCTTATATAATAATCATAGTATAAGAACAAGAAGAGGGAGAAAGAAACTTCTTTTCTCACTACATATTTATAACCTATGGCACAATTTTATATTTTAATATTTTTTTTCTTATTTTATTTGACTAATATGTGTCTTAACTTTTTTTTCTTAGTGTACACTACACAAAAAGTGTCAAAACACATATACTAAGTGTAACAAAGAATAACTTGCAAAATTGTAGACAATTATTGAATAGATAAGAGACTCGATAGATAATAAATTATTCTACGAGTGATTTATGTCAAAGTTATTTTACTTAATTATTCTACAAATATTAAATTTTATTAATCTAACCTTTAAATTAAAGCTTTTTTATTAAATAGGTCAAATTTATAAAAATTCACTGCAAATCAAAAACTAATTTATAAAATATCATAAAAGCCTTGAAGATTGTAGAGCCAAGAGAGCAATTATGTAAAAGAGGAAACATACATCCTACACATAACATGATTTTGAAAATATAAATTTTAAATAATATATAAATGCTTTTACCTAGACAAAAACTTTTATAACACAATTTGTGAAATAAATGTTATAAAAATTAATATGTTGGTCAACAACATAACTGAAAAATACAAAGGACTCTAATACTTCAGTCCACACATAAGAACAAATACATCATAACTTACATTCCAAACTATAACATTATGCCATTACGATTTTGCTAGTAGCATGAAACTTCAGAAATTTACATAAAGTCATAAGTTCAAATCTTGATACTATCGCTGTACCAAGAAAAATATTTATGTACCATTTAATTTTGATCGAGTTCAATAATATTGTGAGATCAATGTAATTTTTAATATAAACTTTGATTATTGTTGTTGTAACATTGATACATGCATCTAGACAGTGTACACAAGAACACAAATAAAAACCAATTTGTACTTCAGATCGACAAGCATTTACAACTAATTACACTGAAATCATATAATAATCCGGGTATAGAAGAACCTATAATCATCCCTCCCAGATTTCCCAAATCACCAACATCAATAACCACAGTGCTAAGCCCTTTCCCAATAACAAAAATTCTTGTACCAACTGCAACAAGATGGCAAGGTGGTCTTGTAAGCAATGGTGATAGCTTTCCAATGGGTATCCATTCACATCTATCTTTATGCCACATCATCAACTTAGCTCCCATACTCTGATCCAAATGAAAAAGGTTCTCATGAACAACAACTGCAGGACCTCTCCATTCTAACACCAAGTCAGTATCTACATGCTTCCATGTGCCACTTGATGGTTCATAAACAGCATATACAGGAGGAGTGACAGGAGATTTGCCACATCGGATGTATATCTTGCCATCGACTACTACTGAATCTTCAATGTCAGAAACAATATTAGGATCTCTATGAGATTTCCAACAATTTGTCTGAGGGTCGTAAGTATCCCAGGAATGAGGATCACTTGAATTAGAAACTATCCCACCAATAGCATATAGTTTTTCATCCAAAACTTCGCAAGCAAAGTAGCACCTGAAAGTTTTTCGTATAAGAAAACAGTGACTTCCACAGGCTAAAATTAAGGCAGGCGAAGACATCATGCAATTTCGATTTTTAATAGCAAAATATAAATGGGTAAAACTGACAAATAAAATATGTACTAGATCATTCTTTGATCATAAATTTGTGAGAGCATGATGCCAAAGTAATTCTTGATTAAACACAAATATTTAAACTTTCACTGCCCTTTCAGGCTTGACAAAAGATCATGTGGAAAGTGGAGGAATAACATGAAACAAAGAAAAAAAATGAAGGGAAATCTTATTTCTAAACAATGTCAAACAAGCCAGGAATAAATCACTAAGATTCTATTCAGATGACAGCATTGGAATTATAGTTCAAAATCGTTTCAATTCCGATTCTTTGGCTTGGGCAAAATATCAGTCTAGATATAGCCATCATTTTTATTCTTCCATCTCCCTGCTTTCCATTTCCATTGACCAAAAAAAGAAAATCAGACAGATCAATGTCATTAGTCATGACAAAGAATTATTTGGATGCCATATACAGACAAAATTCTTTCTTTCCAATTATAATACTAAGTCTGTGGCTTTGTTTCTAGTTTTCTGGTATTGACAATCTTCAAAAAAATTCAAGTAACTGCAAGCAATCTACTGAAAATCTATTATGAAAAATCCTAGCAGATTGGTGGTACTAGAATTCAATTTCTCTTATCTCCTCCAACACTTGCTAACTTAGCTAAGACATCCAGAATCCCAGATATTTACCTAGCAGTTGACATGGAAGCAGCTTCAACCCAAGTGTTCATGGAAGCATCATATGAATAGACCTCATCAGTAGCATCTTCTAACCAGCTACAGCCACCCAATAAGAATAGCTTATTTCCCAAAGCTTCAAAACCCATGCCTTTTCTTTTCATGATGTGAGGTGGAAGCCCATGAACGGGCTTCCAACATCTTCTTGATGAGGTAGGATCCAAAACATAACAACAAATTTGATCAAATTTGTCCCTGCACAAAGCATAGATCCAGGTCTCATCAAGTTTATGCTTTTGGCGATAACAGTGCCACTCTTGCCCGCAAACTAAGTCCCTCCATCTTTTTGAGACACACTTCAGGACTGAATGATATTTTCTATGAATTCTTGCCAAGCACATAAGAGAAATATCATCTGGAAGGCCAGGAATAAGTGAAGCATTAGTGACTTCTACTTCACTGACATCATTTGATGATTCTTTTACATCATCCATTTGCTCCATTGAAAGTCATGCAGAGAAACTGAAAAGAAAGGGAAAATGTCAGTAATGCCCTTGTTGAATCATAATTTCAGTTGCTCTTTCAACTCATTTGTATATATGATGCACAGCAAACATCTAGACACTATGATCGCAAACTGAAACTGAAGTCATGACAGATCCAACCCTCAGTGTTCATACATTCACATTAAGGCCATGCACAATCAAGTTATTTGACCTTTTATATTCAACTTCACTTCAATCAGCGCAATACAAGCCTCACTAAACAGCCTGCAGACTGAAATCACATGCAAGTTGCCCAGCATTTATTAACATATTGAAGAATAAATATTAGCCTCCAAATTGTTTATAGTTTCTAGGTTAAAAAAAACTCCTTGAACCAGCATATATCCATAATTTCTTCACTATACCTTACAGAATGTGAACATGTGGGGCTTTAGCATGATGTAAAAAAGCTTATCACTTATTTTACACAACAAAATTTAAAAGAATACATCCATCGCATGTTGCAAGCGTTAGAATCCAAAACACATAACCACACAGCGAAAGAGTAACAAAGTTCTTTTACCAAACTATATCAAGCACAATACTCTTTCATTTAAAGCATAATATTTTCATCCTATTTAAGGGGCAGAGAAAATCAATGCCCAAGTTACATCTAAATCACATGAGCAAAACATAAGATTGGTTCCCAACTGCCCCTAATCAACCATAAGACAGAGAAACCATATAACTACAACAATCTCATGCCTAATCATTCTCAGTATTACTGTCACAAAAAAATAATCAAAATATAAACTAAAATAAACCCAGTACATCATTTTCTCAAACCAATAACACCCATCTCCATTTTCTTTTCTTCAAAAAGAGCTAAACTAAATGCAAAATCAGAAGCAACTCATTCAAGAACTAAGAAAAAAAAAACGCCTTTACACACACCTTCCCATAAATATAAAATACAATGTAAGCGAAAGAAATCACTGCAATTCCAGATCCAAAAATCAAAAGGGGCACCAAAAATTGCCTGATGGTCGCAAAAGTTTCAAACTTGGAAGTAATGCTGAATAATCAGGTAGATCTAAGCCGGAGATCAAATGAGTAAAAGGGAAATATCAATTTATTTATTTATTTTGTGTTGTCGCGGAAATGAAAATATGAAGGGGACTCACCTGTGACGTGACAAAACTAGGGATTTGTCTCAGAAGTGCACCATACAAAAAAACAAACTCAATACAGTCCAAGACATATTTATAGTTTCTTCCCCAATTTATGAATGTATTAATATTATTAACTTTGAAGTAAGTTTTTATTTATTGGGATAAGAGTTATGCAAAAGAAAAACTAAAGTAAATTTCGAGATTGTTGTTTAAAAAAGAAAGTAAGAATAAATATACAAGCATCCTGTGATTGAAAAAAAAAAACAACAAAAAATATATAATACTTGACTTCCCTTTTACTAATATATTAATTTTTAAAAATAGTTATAACATTCTAATTTTATTTTTATTTACGGTGATATTTTATTATTCAAATTTGTTGTGAAGTTGAGAAGGTTTAATATTTATTCATAACAAATAATAATAATAATTTAAAAAAAAGTTATATTAAAAACCAATAAGACTTTTTATATGGATCTTATTAAAAAAAAAAACCGAAGGAACTAGTGTTTACATGCACTTAAGAATGCGGTATATATATAAATATCTTTTATTTTATGATAATTAGCTTCACATTATTTTTTGCATCATATTTCAATTTTATTATTTCAAGTAATCAGATCAAGTGACGAGTTTGACACCTCAATAATTTATGTGTTTTTAAATCGAGCTGTTATATTTCATATATATTTTTATTATTTTATAAAAATATTAAATAAAATACATTTATTTATTATCTATTTATTTTAAGGTGAATTACCTCGGACATTAAGTATTTTATTTGATAATTTAAATTATGAAGGAATAAACTTAAGTACTTTATTTATTAGTAATAGTAAAGATAAAATTTAAGTAAATATTAATTATATTTAGTATTATTTTTTATTGAAATTGCAATTTCACCTGTCATTAAATTTTACATTGTTTTTTTCAGCACGGGTCTCAAAGATTGTCTGGGTGGTGTAGTTGGTTATCACGCTAGTCTCACACACTAGAGGTCCCCGGTTCGAACCCGGGCTCAGATACTTTTTTTTTCATATATTTTTTCTACTTTATCCTAAGTGTGAGAAAATTTAGTTGCGATGAAGAAGGGTTGAGGATAGGAGATAGAGAATCTGTGAAATAAGGGAGAGGATCGGGTGTGGGCTTCTTCACGGTAATACGGTGAGGGTGCTCCTCCAACAACTTAACATTGTCAATCTCCGAATCGGTGGGTCTTTGAGTGGCTTAGCGCTGTAACAAACCAGATTTATTCAAAGTGTGATATGTAAGTATTTTGGAATTGGGTCAGAAAAATGTATGTTTTAATTAGTAGAATTTATGATTAATTAAGTGGATCATTATAAATTATTCACACGTTTGTTATTTGTGCCTTGGCAGGTTCTAAAATCCCCAACCCATTGTTTCTTGCCATTCCTTTTTGCTTTCCTCTGCATTCAAACATCACTCAGCACCCACAACACTATGCAAAATTGCACTTTTTCCTTCCCCACTTTCTCAATCAATGCCACTCTTCCAAATTTCTCATATTTTTCGTCGACCCTTTGCCCCTCCAAGCTTCAAATAGGATTGAGTTTGACTTGTGGTTATGGTTCTTGCAAACCACTTAGGAGGAGTCGCTATGGTGGTTCTCTTGTGGTTCATTGTGTCTCCAATGGAGAAAATGATGATGATGGGTTTTACATGAGAAGATGTGTTCAGCTTGCAAGGAAAGCTATTGGGTTTACCAGCCCCAATCCGTTGGTGGGATGTGTTATTGTCAAGGATGGCAAAGTTGTTGGTGAAGGGTTCCACCCTAAAGCAGGCCAACCTCATGCTGAGGTAGCTACCTCTAAATTTTTCTATTGTTCTGTAAAATTATAAGTTTAAAAATTTTATTTTTATGTTCAACTTCATCATGTATTCATTATATTGTTGTGTTCTTTTCAATTTGTTTCATTGCACTGGTATTTCAAACTGCTATCTATGATAAGCCTAATCTGGGTTAGAATGATGATTTTTATGTTTTGATTATTTGTGAGTTGTTTGTTACTTTTTGTTAGAATTTAGGTAGGTGTGTTTGTTGCTGAATATGTTGAGTCAGGACATTGGATTGTCAGGTGTTTGCTCTGAGAGATGCTGGTGCTTTGGCGGAGTCTGCAACGGCTTATGTGAGCTTGGAACCTTGTAATCATTTTGGGAGGACTCCACCTTGTACTGAGGCTCTAATTGAAGCCAAAGTGAAAAAAGTTGTTGTTGGGATGGTGGATCCAAATCCCATTGTGGCCTCCAAAGGGGTGGATAGATTGAGAGACGCAGGAATTGAAGTAGCAGTTGGAGTAGAGGAAGGACTCTGCAAGAGCCTCAATGAGGCCTATATTCACCGCATGGTAACGGGAAAGCCTTTCGTTACTTTGAGGTAATTCAATTCTACATCTGTTCTTTGACCCTTGTCATTAAAGATTCATGTATGGCGCTTCTTTGGGTGCATGTTGAAGTTTGGTTTTAGATTAATTAATCAGCATATATTTTGTTTCTTACATAAACATACATTTCATAGCTTAACCATTTTCCTGCATTGCAGGTATTCTCTTTCTGTCAATGGGAACCTTTTGAATTTACTTGGGAATGGAGTTACAGATTGTGGGGGATACTATTCAAGGCTATTACAAGAATACGATGCAGTGATACTTTCTTCTTCCGTATTCAGTGAAAATTTGTCACTACCGACATCTCAAGAAGTTGGAGCAAATCAACCAATTCGGATTATTGTACATGAAGATTCTAGTTCTTCAAATCAAATTCCACTGGGCATAAGTGAGGTTACTGACAAAGTCATAATCTTCACAGACAGTAAGTCAGCATCAGCTCCAGAAGTGGCTCAACTAGGAATTGAAACCGTAGCTCTGGATCGTATAAATCTGGAAGCAATTTTGGATTATTGCAATTCCCAAGGATTGTGCAGTGTTCTGTTAGATATTAGGGGAAGTTTTAGTGAACTTGAAGAGCTTGTTAAGGAGGGTATTAAGAAAAATTATATTAATAAATTTGTCACGGAAATTTTGCCACTTTGGAATGGATGTGCTGAGCCAGATCCTCTACAGAGACTAAAGAGCTTAGAGAAAAGAGTAGAAGTGGTAAATTTACAGTCCAAGGCCTCTGGTCAGAGTGTTGTAATCGAGGGAAATTTTAAATTTTAAATTTTAAATGGACTCATGGGTGCTCACAAACTCCCATTTATTATTTTTTCATTGCCCTGTATTCTGCCTAGCATTATTTGTTGTAGGCTAAAATGAAAAGCAATTCTTGTATTTTGCTGGGCAGAAAATCGAAGTACTGGCGATGATTTTTATTTTTTTATTGGGCTCACATTTTTCTTAGCTGAAAGTTTTTGCTTGTATGCAAATAATTTCATCTTGAAATTTAGAAGGGATTGTACCAGTCTGATGTTACCCTAAGGCCTCATGTGGAATGTAAACTGTGGATGTTAGCAGTTTGATTTGATGTGGATCTGGATAGTTCATGTGACAAATTCACAAGTAATAGAGAAAGTAGAGTGCTTGATTTTGCTTATTTTTGCTAACAGTCCTTTGTGTAGTTCAATAAACTTCCATGAATTTTTACCGACATTCAAATTATGTTGCAGCACTGATCAATGATATTTTCTTCAAGGGTTATTTTCCCTTTATTGGAGGGTTCTATTCAAATATAAAGATTGACCCATTGCTCATTGTGATTGAATTGTTGCATTGATGTATGGTTCGGCGTGGGGAAATTTAGGGCGGTGGTCTGAGCCTTTCGCTGCAGCTTCAGGTTTGTGATCTCTTGTTTAGGTTGTAATGCTCCTTTCCATGTGTCAGTGTCCAACAATAAATAAGTGATTTTCTGATGGGTAAAAGGCTAAATGTTTTAAGATGGTCACGAGCAATTTTTGTGAGCGCAGTGCTTGTGAACAGAATCAATCAAAAGCCCAGAATAATACATCCTGAGTTTTTTATTGATTGCATTTGTAGGCATTGTGCTCATGCAAAAATTGTTGGATGGTCGTTTACCCAATTTTTTTTTATAATTTCTTTACCTTGTATTTGTATCCGATACCCCATACCATACCCTTAACTGCATCTAGCTCTCTGCATGAGACGTGGCTTTGGCATTTCAGAACAATGGCTTTGCTTATTTGAAAATTGAGTAAAAACTCTTAGTATTACAAATCAAATAGATCCTAGAAATCTATAACTAGTCTCGTCACTCGACAATTAGTATTACGTTTGAACAAACATAATTTCGAACATTTTCCTCTTATGATATATGGACCTTGTATGTGTATCCCTTTAACATGAAAACAGGAATCGCCGAGGTGCTTTACCCAAATAATTATAGGAAGACAGCGAGCACACAAAATGAAGCAAATAGAACCCAGCCTTGGATAAAGGGATCCTCTTACATAAAAAGTTACTCGTGATTCATTATACGATTTCTGATATACATGCCGAACAGAAAGCAAATGCCTATTAGAACCTACGATTAATGCTAGAAGTACATAGATAATAGAAGTGAAGCCCAGCCCTGAATTTGATTAGTTTATACTTACATGATTATGAATTGATGATATATACAGACCCGCACTTTCTGAGCAGAATACATTCCAAAAGCACCATTGAGGCGTATTTGAGGCAATTTCTTGAAGATATTACCAAACTGGTACAGGTTTAGCACAGTCATCATGAGTGATTATCTACATGTTTGGATTGACATTTATTCTGCTTGGACGTAGATTCAGATTGATGCAACATAGAGTAGCTTCTGCTGTGTGAATGCGTGTATACAGCTAGCCACCATAGACAGTTAGCCACCACGAAAACAGACATACACCATATTGTATAATTCCTAACCATAATCAATTAGGCTATACAAATACCACATAGAGTACAGAGCCACCTCATTAGCAAAAGTTGAAGACATTCACAGTAAGGTTTCCCTTTCATCTATGAGGTAGGCCAGCCATTTGGTGAATGCTCTTTAGAGTGGCTCTTCTGTTTTGCAACAAGGTGTGCATGAATTAAATTTTCAGTTGCAATGGCTTCTTGGATGTCTTTTTGGGCCTTTTGGCAGAGTTCATCAAGTGCAAGCATTGGAAATGGCTCCTCTATAAGAACTCCCACCTATAAAAATCATTTTTCACATAGTTGGATTAGCTTTCCTCTAACCAGAAAATTTGCTGTTGCATAATTGCATTTCAAGAATCCATCCATCCATCAGTTGTGTGTGTGTGTGTGTTCAGTTTAGATTTGGGCCAGTCCCAAATCTATTCTAACAGTGTGAAATTGATTCTCTGCAGTCTGTGTTGTTTGGCTGGCAACTCTCTGCATGTTCAATAATGACTGGTTGTCTGGTAGAAATTCTGATTTTCCAACAGTGTAAACTCAAAAGATAGACTCAACTTTGTGGGCACAAAAACAGTCATACTAAGGTGCAGTCCATTGGTTTTCCAAAAATAAACCAAATATCTTGTATGCATGCATAGACACCCATAATTTCTTCAGCAATTTTAACTCAAATATATTCTCTTACATCTAACTGCTGGAATGTAAAGCATCGTCAAAAGTATTCTAACCTATCTTTGAATGTTCATCATCAGTCAACCTAAAATTGTTTACCTAACGGATTACTCAGAAGAATGAAAAAATTAAAAAATTAAAAGTGTGTAATAGCCTTAAGGTACTAATTCTGATGACTGCATGTACAGCATAATAACTTACAGAACAACATATTTTTCATTTTAATAATATTAAACAGTCAAGGACTTTTGTAAGGAGAGGAACATACTTCTTCAATGCAAAACAAAGAGGCAGCACTAATAAAGGTAGCAGGAACCACAATCCAATGACAATCATCCCAAAGTATGATAGGTAGTGTCAGATGCCACAAGACAAGAAACCTTGAGGTCAAGCGAGTGTACGATAAAGGAATGGGAATGCCCATAAGTTGTTCACATATGCCAATTCCTTCATGGAAACAAGAGATCTTGGATTCCTGTAGCACAATGAGGGAAGTTTTATACAGACAAGGAATTACAAGAGTGAAGTGTGTTGAAATCTCACATCTGACTACACATATAATTAAAGCAAAGTTTATAGAAGTTAAGACAACCCTCCTCTTACAAGTTGTTTTTGAGGTTGAATTAGACCCAATGTCAAATTCAAGATGATATCAGACTCTCTCTCTATCGTAAATTTGGTGTAACCTATATGATCTAACTTTTGAGAGTGAATTATGCCCAAATTTTTAATATAGCATGACGAGTCACATAAATTTACATCTCTTGACAATTCAAGTGGCATTTTCACAAACAATGGTACCTAAATTCAACACGTACTAAAATGCAAACAATTCCAAGAAGCGCATACCAGTAAGTTTCTTCTAGAATCCTCCAATTTCAACTGGCGAATGCTATGTGACATAAACTCAATAACACAGCGAGGTCGATGATTCGAATTCATGATAACTGCTAGATCATCGACTTCTAGCACATGTTGAAGATCTCTCCTAGCATCTGAACCATACAACAAGTGGCACTGCATTCAAATTATACAAAAGAACTAATCATATTACTAAAACCAAACCCTACGAAATTTGAAGAAAACCTCCATCACAGTATAATAATTGAAAACGAAACCTAAAATTGGGTTAAACGGTGGTGACCTTGAGCGCGATGGGGAAGGCGATGATGTACTGAAGAAGCGCGTTCTTGACGGGAATGTCGAAGTCGCGGAGGGCGATGACGTGGCTAGCGAGGTCGTGCGTGGCGGCGATGAGTTTGGTCCAAGCCTTTTTGCCGTCGACGAAGCGAGCGTAGGAGGCTTCGGTGCGGAAGACGAGGAGGAGGGCGAGGGCGGGGGCGGTGAGCTGGTAGGGGAGGGAGGAGGCGCGGAGGAGGGGGAGGAAGTCCGGGAGGAGGTGAAGGAGTAGGGCGGAGTTGTAGGCGGCGATGGCGGCAGCGAAGGCGGTGAAGAAGAGTACTGGAGGTACGAGGGACAGGATGACGCGCGAGGAGAGGCTTGAGAGGACGTGGCGGAGGTGGCGGAGGGAGCTGCGGTGGTTGCGCCAGTCGACGTGGGTGTAGAGGCTCCGCTTCTTCTGAACGCCGCGTTCCTTCACTGCGTCGGCCCAGTCGGGAATTGAACGGTGGAAAGAGGAAGCGATGATTCTGATTTTGAGAGTGCTGTTTGGGTGAATGAGAAGATTGAAGCTTGGCTGGTTGCATTTTGGGGTGAAGTGGGAGAAGAAGGTTGTTGTCGTGGTGGTGGGTTTGATTTGGTACATTGAGATTTAGATTGAAATTGAAATTGAAATTCAGAAGAAGAAGAAGAAGAAGAAGAGTGAAACATTAACATGTTATGTTACACTTTGCTGGTGAAGATGGCTCGTTAGTTTCCAACCACTGTCACTGCCACCACCGCTGTGATTTGTGAAGCATCTTTTTACACGTTTTCTTTTTATAAATAATTAAAATTATATATCCCTCCCTACTAACCAAACAAAATTCACTCATCAAAATAACACTAAATTTCATGCCCTTTTTTATATACCCTATTCAAAATTTATCATTTTTAAGTTGCTATTTAGTACGAAAATAACTTGTAAGAACTTACGAGAATCATGATGATTCATTAGTTGAATGTCAAATTAAAAATTAAAATTATATATATATATATATTATGAATTTTGTTAATTTTATTTCTTAAAGTTCAGAATAAGTAGTTAATACTAAAAAAATTTATTATATTTTTATAATTTCAGTATAATAAATGTATATTTTTTTATAATTTTTTTTTATTTGTACATGTTTAAACTCAGCCCAATAATTCAAGTTAATAAAACTCATTTTTTATATATAAAGTATTAAATTTTTGTTTTTTCCTTCTTTAAATTCTTTTTTACTTAAAATTAATTTCTAATTTGCATAGGTTTTGTTATAGTATTCTCTCTTAACATTGTTCTTGGGTTTCTAAGATACAATATTTGTGTAAAAGATAGCTATAACAAGAAATAGGAAAATTTGTTTGTCTATTGTTGTTGCCTAATGTGTAATGAAAATGTTGGGATCTTTGGTGTGTTTGTCGAAATACAAATGCAGTATGTAAGTTTATGTAAGGTTTAGTATGTTAGATTATGGAAATATGTTGGGGTATGAATGGATAAGATGGTATTTTGTTGTGATTGCATGAAGAGTATGTAAGTGATTGTTTAATTAAATTAATTTATTTTGTAATGAATGTCATTGCACTTCATATGATTAAGTGTGTATTATTTTTTTTATTAGTAAAAGTGGTTACCAAGATATGATTATTGATAATAAAAAAATGGAACATTGTTAGCCAGCTCATGAAAAAATAACAAAAGCTACACGATTGGAATCAATTTTAAAATAATGAAATTAATTTTAAGTGACCAAATATTAAGAGACCATAAATAAATGAGGCAATTTTTACCGAAAACAAGAGTTAGTCCCAAGCCCGAGTTGTTGAGGGAAGAAGTAGGAACAAAATTAGAGAGAAAGCCATTGAAGAAGGAGAACGAGAAAGAAGTGAGAAAAGTTAATGTTTTTCCAAAATAAAAAATTTAAAAGATAAGGGTGGGAGTTTATAGTATTTATAGTATTTTTTTATATTTTTTTGAATTAATGTAAGTTATTGTAATTGTAAAACTATTTATAATATTTTATATTATTGTTTTAATTTTATTCTATAATGAGAGTAGATTTTATTTATAGATCAAGATTCTGAAAATTACCTTTTAAAAAGCGTTAAGGATGATTTTTCATTAATTTTATTATTTTTTAAGTTGAAAAGTCATCAATATGACAAAATTTAGTGTTAGTAAAACTAAAAAAAAATAAATTCATTGTATTCGAAAATATTAATTTAAAAATAACTTTAAATATTTCATTATCTTTAACTCAATAAAATATAAATGATAACATTAATTTTCTACTTAAAATTTAAATTCTATCTTCGTATTTAATAATTTGTATTTTAATTTCTTTAAACAAGTTTTTCTATTTTATTTTCTATGATTTTACAAATTTTTATTTTTAGTTCTTATTGTTATTTTAGTCTATTGATAGACAACTAAATGCCAATTTTTTAATTAAATTTAGAACAATAATTTATCAGAATATGGAAAATTAAATAGTAAAAAAGACTAAAATAATCACCGAAATATAAAAACAGATATTTAAACCTAATTTCTGTACTTTAAATTGCATAGAAGAAACTAAACAACGTTTCCGAAACCTCAACTTCAACCTGAAAGTCGCAGAGGAGTGTTTGAATAGAATTTAGTAGCAAATTGGTATTGAATTGATAGGTAGTGAGTGTTGGGATCATTCATCAATCATGAGTTTAATGAATCCGAAAACAGAGAAATTGGTGAGAAGGTTAACGATTGTGGTAACCGTTACTGCTTCCTATTTTCTCTTAACCGCTGATTATGGCCCCAGACCCAATGCTCTCGACCCTGTAAGTCTTCCCTTCCCTTCCCTTCCCTTCTCGATACTCTGTTTTACTCTATTTCAAAAATACAATTCAACTAAACATAGGGTTATTGGAATTCACTCTGTTGTATTTCATATAAAATGTTTATGGAACAACACATTTTTAAGGTTTTTCTCAATTGCAATAATATGGGTATATGACTCAGTGTGTGTTTTGAAGTTCCTGCTAACGTGGATTCAATACAGAAGCTACTATTGGTCACACAAAAGTAAACGTAGATCCATATGCTTTTGAATGTGAATCCAAACATTTGGAAGTTTCTTGCTATAGTTTATCATAATCGGATGTCTTTAGCTTATCCTAATAAGTTTTATGGTTAAATTTATGACATAAGCTATCATGAAAAAAGAGCTTATTAAAAAAATTTTAAATTAAGTTGTGTATCCAAGCGTACCCTTAGAAAAATGGCACAAAGCAGGATTGCTGGATTCCTGTATGGCAAAATTGTGATCTGTAAGATATGCCCAAATAGGAGTTTCCGTGGTGGATTAGAACCCCTCGGCATGCAATTGCAGATGAATGGGTGCCCTTCGCAATTAGGAAGGTTCTACATAGAATCTATCACCAGAAGTAATCAGAATGTTAATTCCTATATTTGAGCAACTTTTTGAAGTGACATTGAATAGACTATAACCATGATGGACAGCTTAGAGGTTGCAAGTTGCAAACTTTGCAGCTTGTGCTTTACTTTGAAGAGGGTCAGAATGATTGGCCTAATGTATCCAAAGCAAACACCCATTTAGTTTTGTGTTTGGCACTGCTACTATCTAAAGCTTCCCTTGACTGCCACAATCAGTTATATGACAATCCTTTTGTTGGGGCTTCTACTCAAACTTAATTTCTACTAACCCTCTGATGGATGTTCTATTCTCAATGTAACTGCACGATTTATCCGGATATTGAACTCTTGAAAGTTGTCACAACTTTTCTGGTTCTTTCGTATACATTTTGAATTTTGATTTCCATTTTCAAAATTGTTATTTGGCAACCCGGGGGGGGTGGGGGGGTATAGATTGGGTTCTGATGTCTGAACCTGAGAAGAAGGAAGCAAAAACTGAGTTAAATGAAATCACCAGTAGTGCAAATGAAGTGGCCTTCTGCTATTGTTTTCTTATTGTTACTTAACCATTTGAGGATTCATTTATAGTTGACATCAGCATCTTGTTTGTTTTTTTTATACTTTTGGCTCAGATGGTTTAAATTTAATATAAAATTGTTTAAATGTTGAATTCTATGATTTTGTTTTTTTGCTTCTGATGGTATATTTTCTTGGTGACAGATTAAGAAGCGATTACTTTCTGCAGAGAGCACTGTGAAAGAGTATATTTTGGGATCAAAGAAAGAATCTCAAGAAAATCACATGGGAAATCTGGACAGCAACAAGGATCATCCATAAATTTATGGTAGTCTTGTATAGGAGCATCATGCTGAGTCAAGATTTCTGGCTGCTTCCGTCGCCCCCCTATGTTTCTTATCTTCTGTATGTGCATCTGTGTTGTTTTTCTTTTATTTTTGCTTTTCTTTTATCCGGATTTGAGTTATACACTTGTAATTGAGAAGGGTATTTTGCACCTCAATAAGCAGTTGCATCATCCAAATCGGAGCTTCTAAAATCTGTTAATATTTATTGGCTTTTGTCTGATGGATGATTTATGGATAGACTGTGCAACTGCTGGGTATGCAAACTTTGAGCAGAGAATTAAGTTTAAATAGAACATAGTTGTGTTGCATAGTTACTAAATATAGAATACTTTTTTTTTGGTAATTAAAAATGTAAGGATGCCGTCACATTCCAAAGTCATGACATACTACAAATCTTGAAAAAGATTTCACTAGAACAGTAACATACCAATAGAAGATCAACAACAAAATCTAAGGTAAGCACTACCGAATACCTACAAATGATACTTTCTTTGTCATTTTTTGTTTAGTATTGCATATAAGTATAAAAGAAATAAACTTAAATAATTATAATGTTTTAAAAAAGACTTGATTAAGAATGAGTTTGAAAAGTAAAATAAAAGCATAATAGTGCAGAACGTAAATAGATGAATCTCAATCTTCTAGAGTTAAAACTACATCTCCTGCAATTCTATTCCAATTGCAACCCTATAACACATACATTTAATTTCTATTCTCCATTATGAACCTTTGAATTACAACTGCATCTCCCTGATTTTTTTTTTCAACTCTTTATAATCTTTGTCTATAAATAGACATATCAAAGTGTCAAGTGTTCCTTTCCTTTGAATGAAAGGTGTCAATTTTATTTTTATATAGTTGAAGTGTTGAACAATGAGGATTGATTTCAATAAGTTCTACCACGCATTAGCACTTTGAAGCAAATATGCATAAGTGTTAAATGATGCATTAAAAACTCCTGTGTACCAGGTTTTGGAACACTCATTCCGAATCGTGGGTCATTTGTGAGCCGAAACACTAATAGTAGCATTCTAACTTTGAAATTATTTTAAAACAATTGCAACTTTGGAAAAGATTTTGTGTTTAAACAAGGTGCTAATGAAGAAACAACTCTTAAAACTGAGTTTATACATATAAAAATAAGGCAAATGCTAACAAGTATTCTTAGAAAATTGGTTAAAGAAATAAAAATAGATTATTTTTGTCAAAATATATAATGAATACACATTTCTCTGTGATTTTTAACGTAGACTAACATAGTTTTCAATTTAAAAAATCATTTTTAATTCCTTAATCGATGTCCTAAGGATACTTGTTAACAAGATCCTAAAAAAAACACTTTTTTATTTAAAAACATAGGTAATAAATACTTTTTTTTCAATAAAAATTTACTACTTTTAATTATTTATCCTCAACCCTAAAAGATTGAGGTAATATTTTTCATAGAGAAACAATGAGTAATTTAAAAAAAACAAAACAAAACCTAATTAATGCATTATACAAATAAAAAGCACATTATTTTTTTTTTTTATTGAAAAAACCGCACATTATTTGAAGACTCAAATTAAGGATTTATTGAATTAGTGCAAGCACAACTTTTTACTTTATATTTTTTTTACAACTTATTATCACAAATTAATAGCTGATGATCAAATGTTAAGCGAATTTCAAAGTAAATTTGCAAACCAGATAGGATATACCCCCGATGCTAAGTGAATTTCAACTTAAAAATTTGCAAACCAAATGAATATACCCCAAGTTGCATGGTCCTAGAAAAGTCTCATACCACACTAGTAGTACATGTACAGCATACCAAATCCGTAGTACAAATCAAGTAAAACTACATATGCTTACCATTACAAAAAAAATTAAATTAAATTAAAAGTTCTTTTAGACCCCATAGAATGTATATGACTAGGAAGAGGAGAGAGAAAGAATTGATGTAACAGTTAATGTAATAAAAAAGGAAGAAGATATAGAGGTGAAAGGTAGGAATTCTTTTTCCAAAATATACCAAAAAACAAAATGCAGAAATGAACCTATTGCACATTTAACTATTAATGTAGATCTTTTTACTGTTTAAGTCAGAATTCGGTCTTCGGACAGCCGAATTCTGTCTTGCAACAGCCTCTTTTTTTGGGTTTTATATTAATATTTAATTTTAAAATAAAAATTAAATAACAATAATAATTATATTTTTAAAAATTAATTAAAATATTTAAATAATAAGTAATTTATTTTAGATAGCAATATTAATGTTTAAATTATTTATACTTAGAGAATAATAATCATATTTTTAAAAACTAATAAATATCTTAAATATTATTCTATTTATTTATTTAAATATGTAAGTTTGAGTTAATATTTTTAAATATTAATATGATAAAATGATATTTTGAATAAAATATTTATTTTAATTAAATTAATTTTTTTTAAATTATATTATTTAATATTATAATTTTTAATATCTTAAACTACGACATATATTAATGCAATGTCTTCCGAAGTCAGATTTTTTTTTTCTTTATAACTTATTACAACAAAAGAAATCATTGACGGGGACTAGATACATTACTAATATTTGGACATATCTTCCTTGTGTAACATAAGGTGTGATAATAGAAAAAAAAAAATTTCACGATTTTGTTGCTCTCTAATGTCTATCTTTGTTCTTATCCTGCTGGACTTGAGTCGACCTTTTGAAGTTCTTTTTAGGTCTGAATTTGGACACAAAGTTGAACTCGTGTAAGTTAGCCAATAGATTTTGTGTCTGAGTTCTCCAAACTGACCTTCGTATACCTTATAAACTTGTTGTAAGGTATATACGGAAAATATGTAGATGTCAAAGTTGTGGTGTACGTGTACGCATGAAGCAAATACATGCAAGCATGGAATGTGAACTTTTTGGAACTTGCCACAATCACACCACATTTCATCTAACCTTACTGTAAATCTCCCTATGGGTCAAACTTGTCTCGGATGTTGCGTTTCTTTGACTAAAAATCTAGTGCTTGTTCTATCAAAGGTGATGACTGTATGAGTGTTTGCTTTTGACTGTACATCTTGAATTGCTTTAATTGTAACCTCCGAGTACACATGTCTAACATTAATCATTGCATCTACTCCCTGCCTCTCTCAATGAAGAACTTGTTGTAGTGGGTGTATGTCGCCATGACCATTGAGCAAATTGACAAATTTTTAGTTTTCTTCAAGACCGAATTGATTGACTCCGCTAGGTTTGTTGTCATGTGTCCCTAACGTCACCCGTTGTCCCATGCTAGTGTCCATTTTTTTCTTGAGATGTTGTCTAACTATTGTGTAGCTTCAAGATTATAATCTTTTACTATATTGTAATAGTAAAAGAATTTTGGTTCAGTCATCCAATATGCTAGAAAAAAGGTTACAAATTTAATTAATATAACTAGTTAAACAAGTGTATAAAATATTAATGATAATATAGAGTACGTAAAAAATTAAAACTACCCATATTGATGACATCTTTCTTAAGTGCAACGTTTTTGAATCGTCGCATGAAGTTTTGTGTAATGTGTCTAATGCAATCGACATAGACATAATTGTTTTCTGTCCAACCACTTCCATTTCTGGAGTATGCACTTTTTATGACTTCGTGACGATTTGAAATGAGGCACAACCCCTCTTGCGGGGTTACATACCTCCTTAAGTTTCAAAAAAAAAAAAGAACAATGCATCGCTAGTTTCACCTTCAACTACAGCAAAAGCAATGAAAATTATGTTGTTGCGGCTGTCTTGCACGACTGCCACCAATAAAGTCCATTTGTATTTGCCGTATAAAAATATTCCATCTACTTGAACATTTGGTTTGCAAAAGACAAAACCATCAATGCATGGCTTGAAAGTCTAAAACAACCTCTTGAAGAACACATTCCCCTCATCCAACAAGCCACCCTCGTATGTCGGTTGTGTACTCAATTTCTAGATGAAGTCTAGCACATATAGTTGCATTGCTTACAACATACTAAGTAACTTGTGATATGACTCCTCCCAATTTCAAAATATATTTTCAATGGCATGTTGTTTCCTCAGTCATCCCTTTCTGTAGCTGATTGTGTAACCCATCGTAGACTTTATGTGAGCTATGATGGTTGCGATGGGTATGAATGGATCAGCCTCAATAATTTCACGAATGATTTGAGAAATCATTTGTGATCTCAACTTGTTATGATCCTGTGAAATTAGTGGAAAAACACATGTGTGGCACCCTTCAAGCTTCATTGTTTCCCAGTATTGCTCTCTGGTGGGCAATATAGCTCGACATCTCTAGTCACAGTCGTTGTGAACGCATTCCACAACAAGCCTAGTTGTATTTGACATCTTCACCTTGTAAGTGCAGTGATTCATAATGTGAAATTTGTTTATGGCGTCTTGGGCTTGTTCTTTTGTCAGGAAGCGCTGGCCAATAAATAGTGTTCCAGGCGGATACACTACCATTTCACGATCAAGGACATGCCCAAATTCAGAGTCATGTTCATCCACTTGACTGAGGAAGTATAGAAAATATGGAGGTGGGTTGTATAATACTAATGGTTGTGATAGTGGAATATTTGGAAGTGGGAGAGAGTCTTCTTCATCATTTTACTGTTGTGACAAGATTTCATCTTCGCCATCGCTAAAAGGATGAAAGACTTCTGTTGAAAAACCCACAATAGCATGTTCTTCAATGGGAGTTTCTTAAAGAGGCTGATTTTGCTCAAATCGCTAGGAGGGTATTTCATTGAGGTCCATGAATGGACTAGTTAAAAGTTGTGTGTAGGACTGAAGGTCAAAATTCATATCATATGTTGGAAAAGATAGATTAATGGTTTCGTAAGTTTAGTAAGGTGAAGGTGAAGGTGAAAGTTGTGGTACCTGGGTTACGTTTATAGCAAATGTAACATATAATTCTATACCTTATTGAAGTTGATTTGAATCGTGGATGTTGAAGAATGCCTTAACGTCTTTATTATCGTTAAACTCAACACATGTATAGTTGCTAACCCCCGAGACAAGTCTAATTGAGTAGCAAAAATGTATGATTATCACCCTTTTATTTTCGTCTCGATATAGTTTTGTGTAGATGACTTTTTTCAGTTGTTATAGAGTCACTCCTCTCTTTATATGTACCAATTTGACTGATGGTGAGGTAAATGTGACTCCTTCACTAGGACATTGGTTAATGGCACTATCAAAGTGAATAATGACATAGATTGAAGATATTTTTAGATTGAAGCAAGTGAATGATGAAAAGCTTAGAAGGAGAATGTTCACAAGAACAATGAACAAGCTTAGAAGGTTTATTGAAGAAAATGAACACGAATATAGCTATTTATAATGGTAGCATTGGATTCCCTTTCATTCAAATCTTCACCACGTTTTACGAGTGATGGTGACCTCTCCATGATACTATTTGAAAAAGTTTTCTCTCCTCCCAAGTAATGACTCACTTTTCTGTCATTCACGTCTTACGAGTAATGGTGACATCTCCATGACACCATTTGAACAAGCTTTCTCTCCTCCCAAGTAATGACTCACTCTTCTGTCATTCATGTCTTACAAGTGATTGTGATCTCTCCATGACACCATTTGACATTCACATACACCAAGACATAGTGACTTTTTAGGAATCTAATGCTACTCTCTCGTACCAAAGTTTATCTATAAATATGTTTATCTAAGACTATATGTTTTCATTCGAACTTACATCCATCTTTGTTCTGCGTTTCTCTCTATCTTTCAAAAGTTCTTCAATCTCATTACTAAAAATATTGTTGTGAAAGCAAAACTAATATAGGTCTGCCTTCATTGGAAGAACGGTAAGTTTTACACATTACCATTATTTATTAAATATGATTTTCAATATCTACATATCATGTTACTAATTTGTTAATGACTGCAGGAAACTGAGAATATGATTTCATCTTTCTGTCATTCAATGTCAGAACCTAATCCTCTAATTGTTCCTATACTTGAACAACTTAGTTTTGCTGAGGTAGTAAAGTTAAGGCATCTTAAAGTGGATCATACATTGATAACAGCTTTGGTCGAGAGGTAAAGACCTGAAACTCACACATTTCATTTTCCAACAGGGGAGTGCATCATAACCTTAGAGGATGTTGCACTTCAAATGGGGCTAAGAGTTGATGGATTACCAGTCATTGCTCCAACAATGTTTGACCGAGAGCAAATGTGTAACACATAACTCGGTATCGTGTCAGTCAAGGGAGAAACACTTATTGGCTCTATGTTAAAACTGAAGTGGCTAAGAGACAACATGTTACCATTACCAGAAAAATCATCTGAAGAAGAAGTTCACGCCCATTGTAAGGCTTATATACTAGGTTTAATTGGAGGTGTTTTGATGCTTAACAAAACAGGCAACAAAGTACATCTTATGTATTTAGCTTTATTAACTAATCTTAGAAGAATAAGATGATATACTTGGAGTTTTGCTTGTTTAGCTATGTTGCACAGCGAAATGTGCAGAGCCACGATTGTTTGGAGCAAAATAATGGGTGATTGCTCATCACTGTTAATGTCCTGGGTATGGTATCGCATGTCATATATTGTTTTAATTTCTAGTAATCCACCAACATACCCTCTCATGTGCAGATGGAGCGGGAGTAGAGTACTAAACTTTCAAAATAAACCTCACAATGATGTTGTGGGATACAGATCAATGTTTGATCACATTTAAGCTAATCAAGTAACCCTTAAAAAAAATATCTTGAATTCATACTTATGTTCTTATCTTTTACACATCATCTTAAATAACAAAGTTAAATTTATTTGTAGTTTTTATGAGCATCATATCAAGACTTGCAAATATCAATACCATGGAAGTATATAGAGAGATCCAACTGTGGACTTCATGTATCACTATCCTTTATTTTGCAATTGTTGAATACACCAAACAGATAGAGTCAAATTACAGTTTCGTCTCTTCTAAGAAGTTCCTTCTCCACTGAATAATTTGAATGACCTCCACAAAATTGACATAAGAGGAAGACAAAATGAAAATTGAGTTACAAGACATGCTCAATGGATCGACATATGAAACAATAAACATGAGCTAACAATAACAGGTCATCCAATGCAAGATCCATTGTGTCACATACAAGAATACATTGAATGGTGCATTGCCAATTCCATCTATTTCTTATCTGTGCCACCACTACTACAAGATCCAATGAGGAGCCACCAACAACTAAGGACTACCAACGCATTTGAAATCGGTACGACTTTCACACCGTCGTATCATAAAACTACATCAATTCCTCCGAACATCACGCCAAAAGTAAACATAATTAATACGAGACATTCGTTTGTAACAATATCGAAAAAAATTTTTACAAACTTATTTGGAGTTGATTTTACAACTCCATTTCAGCACAAACTTATATGCAGTCTCTTTACCAACCAGATTTTACTAATGAACCCGGTAATTCATCAATTACATTCCAAGAATTAGACCTTTATGATGATCTAAATTCTCCACAAGTTCATCCTAAAATTTCATAGCAACAACCACAACGACGAAACCCACCACATCACAGATGTCACTATCGTTGTGGAACTGGCCACCATTACGGAAATAGTTACTTATTAATGTTGTTATGAATTTGTTATCATTTTTATTTATACACTTTATCTTCATCAATGTTACCTTAGTAATATTAAAACATTAATTTTAAAAAAATTATCTCAAGTATAAATAATTAACTTATAATTTAATATTTTTATTTACTTTTTAAAAATAAATTTTTTATTCTAAAATAAATTTTATTCAAAATTATAATATTAAAGGTTTAGGATTTAAGGTATTAAACAATGTAATTTTTAAAAAAAATAATTTAAGTAACTCAAAATTACATATTTAAATAAATAAATAAACAGAATAATATTTAAGATATTTATTTAATTTTTAAAAATATAATTATTATTCTTTAAGTATAAATAATTTAAACATTAACATTACTATCTAAAATAAATTACTTATTATTTAAATATTTTAATTAACTTTTAAAAATAATTATTATTGTTATTTAATTTTTATTTTAAATTTTAAAATTAAATATTAATATAAAAAAAAGGGGCTCTTGCAAGTCAAAATTCAGCTCCTTAGAGACCAAATTCTAACTTAGATTGTAAAAAAATCTACATTGGTAATTAAATGTGCAATGAGTCCATTTCTGTATTTTATTTTATTTTTTTGTAATATTTTGAAAAAAATTCGAAAGGTAGATGTAAAAGTTAATATGTGAAAAAATCAGGATTGTTACTATTATCACAGTTCACAACACTTAGGGTCACGGCAGTAGGAAATGAACACTATTTGGCATCCTAAACCCCAATGATTTACACCTGATAAAAAGCAAATCTTGCTTAGCACTCAACACAAAGTACACAGCTGACAACAACAGCTTTTCACTCTTAACATATTTTACCTTTATAAATGAAAAAAGAAAAATTTGCTGAAGTTTGGATTCATGCTCAATCAATCAAATCATAAAACTAAATGAACATCCTAACCAACCCAATAAAAAGGGGGAAGGGGTGTTACAAACACTTTTCCAATCATTGTTTCTTCAAGAAATCTTCAAAACACATGCCACTTTTCTGAGATGATGGATCTATCAGCATCCAAGATGAACTTTCTAATCAATGTTGTGAGGGTAGACATCAAGTAGAACAGAATCAGCAAGAAATTGTCCCTGTACAAAGTTTTCACTTTTGTTTGGTAGTCGCATTTCGCTTAGATTCCAGTGTTGTGCCCTCTTTAAGAGCTGCTTGGGCTTCATTCTCCATCCCAAGTCCTCCAAGGGCAACAGATTGAAGATAAGATGCAATGTGCCACACGGGGGAAACCACTTGTGCCTGCATTGCATCGTTCAGTGCTTCCTGAGGCATGTCGCTTATGAGATAACACAAACTGCGCCGGGCATAGACTGTTGGAGAAACCATTGTTCCAGCATCAATGAACTGCAACCAAATCAGTGAACTCTTATTAACTAAACTAACATTCAAGGCGTAATCAAATGTCAAACAGAGCAGCTAAATAGGATGGATCCAGCAGGACTATAAAAATGATTTATCCATAGACTTGAATCAGATTCAAATCATAGTGTACAATTATTTTATCTTGACTTGTACTTTATCAACAACAGAAAGATATTGATGAAATCCCTAGTAATAAATCTGAAACACTATTCATAATTATGAAAACATCACATCAATCAGGTCTGAAGGATCTAGACTGAGTTTGGATACACAACTCAATTAAACACTTATTCAATAATTTTTTTACACGAGGGCTTAAACATAAATTTGACCATGAAACTTATTAAAAAAAAAAAGAGTTTATTATGGTAAGTTACACAAGAAATTTATTAAAAATAAGATAAAGGTTTCTGGTACTAACAAGTTATTTTCGTAAGTTGTCCATGAGCTCTTACAAACACCGCCAGTCAATACCAGATTCATTTTTATTTTAAATACTAACAAGAGATCTATTTTGCGACATGCAACTGGATTTAACAAATCAGCAGATTTTAGACTATAAAAAATAGCAAGTCTAAAATTTAGACTAGTCCAACTTATAACATAAGAAATCTACCTGTGAGTAGCACTCAATCGCTAGTCTAAAATCTTTCTGCCGGAAAGCAACATCCCCCTTTTTCTTACAATTTAATGTTTCCTGCATTTGATCAGTCCACATCTGGAATGATAACTGCAATGTCAGAAAAAAGTAAAAAGAATACACAAGTTAGCATCATTAAAAAAATAACATTATTATTTCTTGGTTTGCAGAAAAAGATAACCAAGATATACAATACAATAATAAATAATCTAGATTTTGCAAGAAAAATTAAATGCCCACAATTTATTAAAATACAATTTAGATAGTGAACCTCATTTGCAACTCCTTCATCATCTTTATAGCCAATATTTTCTAAAACTTCATGTATGGCAGTCAAATCCTTTCTTGTGCATGCTTCACCAAGAGGAGATAATGAAGCAAAAGTAGCACTATGTGGGATGCCCATCAAGACATGTGAAGGAACCTAGAAAGAAGAGAGAATCAACAAATTTTGGTAATTGAACTTCAAAAACTGATTAACCACACTGTTGTCATCATGTATGTCATGCATATTGTGTGAAGATATGAAAGAGTGAATATAGAAAATAAGTACGTAAACCTAATAGAGGACATGCTTGACTACGAAAGAGAGCCTAGCAGTCAAGATTTAAAACAGGATATTTGATAGTTACTACTAGTAAGTGATGCCTAACTGTTACATAATAATATTAAACCAACCTCTGTTTCCTTCTGAAGAGAAGCCAAAGCAGCCACCAATGATTTTGGATTAGGGCGTTCTCTAGGTTCATACTGTAAACATCGAGATGCCAAGCGTACCAACTCAGTTCCATCATCATCAGAAAACTGTCCTTCCAAACAAGAATCTGTCAGCATCTGAAGATTTCTGCCACGAATTACATCAAGGGCCTGCACCAGATCTTCTAATAATTAGATATGCAAGTTTACATGAAATATAGTAATATATATTTAGCTGTTAAGTGTATGTTTTGGATGGAGGATGTGGGAGGAGAAATGCAGAGAGGGTATGGTTTTGACTTGAGTAAACTTCATTCTTATTTGGGAAATTTCAAACAAGGGAAGGAAAATTGGGGATAGTCATTTAAAACCCAGAACCCTCCTTCATTTATTTTTATAAGCATTTTAAAGGTTCCTAATTTGGATGAATTTCAACGATTTTAGCATCCAAACAAAAAAGAAATTAGTTAAGTTTCCATACTATTTCCTTCCCTTTCATTTGCTTTTGATTCCTTGCATGGTAAAGTATTGACACATTTGTTATGCGAGGAAAAAAGAAAAGATTATTTTATGGTCTGGTTCGAAATTTGGAGTTGACCAAACAAACCAATTAGATTTGTTTGGAACTTTTAGGACCCAGACTAAAATCATAAACCATCCAAATCAACCTGATGACCACGTTGACTTAGTTAACCTGCACCCATATTCTTTACCCTTAGATAAGAATCACTTACATGACTTGGGGGTATATGCTTCCCACTGAGAAGGTCAAGCAAAAGTGTGCCAAAGCTATATATTACACTTTCTGGTGTTACTCTCCCTACAAAATAAAGAGATATAAGAAATTGTATGTCATTCAACTCTAATAAAATAAAAACAATTGTGAATTTTAAAATGCAATGCAGATTTATTGAATATTAGTCAACGTGGAACATACGCAAGAAGGACAAAATGAACAAATGGCATACCAGTTCTGAGATACTCTGGAGGGGTAAATGCCAAATTTGTGCTATAACTTTTCCCATCCCTGCTATTTTTCATAAGACCAAAACTAGAAAGCCTAGGATTACCATCCTGCAAAATTCTAACATGTATTTTTATTAACCTAAATTATTCAGATGTGTATAAAAGAAGGGGGGATACACAAAAACTTACCTCATCAAAAAGAACTCTATATGCATTAAGGTCATGATAGAGAGCGCGCCCTTTACTTGTGCAGTACTCTAGAGCTTGTGCAAGATGTAGAACAACTCTTAGTCGCATTGCCCATTTCATAGGTTGTGTTTCCCCTGATTTAAACACATGACTACATTATTTCACACCATACAAACTCAAGGGTCTGACATATAAAGCAACACTTCAACAACACAATCATGACAGTATAGCAAAGAAAACAGGACATTGGAAGAGACAGAGCAAACATCGTGAAATGCAAAAAGATTTATCTTATAATGTTTTGTGCAGATTTTGAAGGACTCAGAATCAATGTTTGGGTAACAATCTGAAGACTGATTCTGGGGTTCAAAATCAGTAATGAATAAGATGTTGCTTACACCATCCAAAATCAATTTTCACACTTCCCAATAAACCATATTTACATAGAAGTTCTTATGGAGATCAATACTCATTTTACATGTAATATGACACGTTAAACAATGTTTTCTGTAACAGTATCCCAACAATTTGTAAATAAGTTAGAAATATGGGCATAATACCCCCTACAAAATTTGGGAATCCTCCTCCTTTGAGTTAACTTTTGTAAATGTGTTGGGTCAACCCATTTTTAACATGGTATACCTTATGCAGTCTTATGTTGGGACTAGATATCTAGTCCTACAAATTTCACACTCAAGATATCTAGTCCTGGGTGTGAATGAGGTGTGTTGTGTTATGATATCCCACATTTACTAAGAATATGGCTAGGATACTCACAAACTTGGGGAATTCTCCTCCACTAAGCTAGCCTCAAGGTGTGAGTTAGGCCCAGTCCACTTTAAATACTTATAAAAGCAACAGTCCTTTAAAATCTAAATCAAAATTCAAACGCACTATAACTAAAATCTGATACCTTTCAATCTATTTATACTTCATTCCTTCTCTTAGAGGGAAAAATACATGCACCCTAATTAAAAATATGTAGTTGTTCTAAAAAAAGCAATTTCTACAGGGAAAAAAAAAAAAAAAATATCACATAAAAGTTAGCCACATACTAGCATCCTTTCTAATGTATTGAGATTGTCCAAGCATAGATTATAATCAGCAAACATATACAGAAAAATGGACAATGACATGAAACTTTGAAATTTGGTGGCTTAGGAACTAATCACATATGTTGCACCAACAAAGCATAGTATTCAGTGTTACACTCCACAGCAAAGGAAAGAGCACCAAAACACATGCATGAAAGGATCTCTTACAATGGAAAAGGTGCTTTGCAAGTGTTTCATTGGGCATATATTCTGCCACAAGCAACCTCTCATCTCCTTCACAACAGCAACCAAGCAAATTTGCCAATCTTTGATTACGAAGCTGACCAACTGATCTTGCTTCCTCCTACAGGTATGAAAATCCGTTTTGATTAATTGAAAGAGAAAAGAAAGAGCAATAGGAAGAGTACCAGCATAACCAGGTGCGCTATTAGCTTCAAAGAAATAATGAAACCTAACATTCTATACTATTATCATCCCATTAAAAGAAAATACGCACAGATACAATGTAAAGCACTAGACATACTTGCATGTTACCAAAATGCAAATGAACCAGACAACATGGGAAGAATACATAGAATAGCTGATTACCATTAGAAAAATTTATCATACCATGTGTTTGTGAAATGCAAAGTACATAGATAACATGTTTGTGCAATGCAAGGTCATGAAAATGAGAACCAAGAGTTAAGAGCATGGTTGAAGAAGCCATTCGGGGAGGAGTGAGGGAGACATTTACCAAAAACTGCCGAGAATCAGGCCAGGCATTCCTATTAAACCGCTTAACAGCAATCCTCATTTGATTCTCCAGCTTCCCCTTATAAACAACATTTGGAGCTTTCTCTCCATGTTCAGATACAATATTCTCAACAGCAAAACCAGATGTTGCATTCTTAAGTTGCTCAAGTGTAAATTCACGGAACGTGGGCCAGTTACTGACCTCACTTCTATCCTCATTTTCTGGAAAAAAAAAAAAAAAATTTAAAACAACCATGTATCATATTTCTTTAGCGTTCGGAACTACATACGACACTAGAGTATGACTTTACCCACCGGCATCTGGAGTTTCAATAACAGATGCCTTAACTTGTGAATCCACACAACATGGGATGAGTCTGGAGCACTGAATACCCATTTTGGTAGCCTAAAATCAAATTCGAAGTAATGAAAACCTCTTCCACTTTCACTGATGTGCCTTTCCTGAATATATTTGAAATTAACAACCAATACTCCACTCAGCTCCACGCGGACTTATCAACCCTATGCACTGCCACAAACCACCTTCATATTAGGCTTTATTGATTGGATACCAAAGCTTACCAAAACAACGACAAATGTTTGTGAATCACTTCAAAAGCTTTATTTAAGTGAAGGTAGAAGAGTAAAACAATAGAAAGAAAAAAAAATATCTAAACACGAATTGAGTCAACATGGTCTTCAAGTATCAACAACAACCAAACAATTAAAACAATAATTTGTAGATTCTGTACTTAATTTTCAGGTGTCACTAGCATCAGGAACTCTTTGGAAGGAATAAATAGCTGAGAATAATGAACAATCAATAAAAACACAACCAACCTCAAAGCAAGGTGGAATGTAAGAACCTTTCTGGTTGGTGATTTCATGTTCTCACAATCACAACTAAGGACAGCAACAACCCCAATTAAGATGCTCTTTACTTATGACAATCTAACTACTAGCATCTTAGCATTTATAGCTAAAGAACATTAGACATTAAAATGTAACTGCATTTCTCCAAACGAGTAAAAGCAAAACGCAAACACGCATATGCTAAAATCTTAACATCTATCTCTTTTTTCTTTTTGGTTTCAGAGTCAACTCAGTTACACTCAAGTCTTCATTTTTCTCAAACTAAAATGCTGAGTTAAAAGCACCAACTTTTCCAACATACTCAAAAAGCTACTTCACCTTTAAACTTCTTTTAACCTTCTTCAATGGCAGAGGAAAAAGTGGAACCACCTGGAACTGAAAAAAAAAATGTATCTCTTTTTCCTTCTATTTTTTTTTCTTTTCTCGATCAAATCAACAACTTTTACTAGATCCACATTTTCGCCCCAAGAACCTCGTTTGCAATCTGCAAAGTTTGAGTCTTTTCCTCGATCTAACCAAACCCCACTAATTTTTTCTCCTCAGAAAATCGTAGTTTTACAAAATCACCCCTCTCAGTTTCAACAGATCAAGTTAAACATTATAACCCAAAATTTTAAAAAACAGATTTTTATGAACAAAACCAACAAGGGAGGAGAAAAAAAAAAGGTGTTGGGTGAGAAACTCAAAGCTGAACTGAAGATCTGTGTGAGAAGTAGAAGAATAAGAAGATGGTGATGAATTATAGAACCAAAGCCTTTGTTTTTCTGACATTTTATTTTTTAGCCCTTTCGTTTTTAATTAATAAAATATAAATAAATCAATTATTACCGACATGTCATGAGTGTGTGTCATGAGTATATGTATTCAAAGATCTGGAATCTCCATGTTTTTTAAACATTTTTTTATTAAGAAAATTTGTTGGCACAACACATTCGCTTATGGAATTTATTTTATTTTATCGTTTTCAATGTTTTAAGTTTTAATTTTTGTCGTCAAAACTCCTTTATATGTGTGTGTGTGTAATTCTTTAGTTATGACTACAGATGAATTTTTCTTGGTAATTTTAGGAATTGAAATTAAGATCCTCGAGAGTGAAAATTGCATACAGATACAGTTATGATCAAAGAATTTATAACAGGCAATAGAAATTGAATGTACTAATTTGAGCTGTAATTTTTTTTTATTTTTGAAAATTTTAAATCTTTAAAACTGAGTCATATATATATATATATATATATATATATATATATATATATATATACGCCACCGCCAAATGTTTTGGAGGATTTAAAGAGAAATTATATGGTATGGCTAGGCTTATTGAGTCAAATACTTGCATAGGATAGCAACCAATCAATGTGTCTACGCTCCAATAAATAACTAAAGAAAAACATCTATAATTCTAAATACCATATGAAAAGAGGAATAAATTTCCCAAATTGTTGAAGTAAATCGAGTTTAATGGAAAAAAATTTATTTGACAATGTAAAATAATACTTTTGAAACAAATGTATTTAAAATAAATAAATAATGATATGTTTATTCTTAATTTAATTTAGTGCATTGAAATTATGATTTATTATAAAACTTAACAATGTGTATGACCTTACTAAAAATTAAAATAAATAAAAATATATTCAGTCAAAGAAATTAAAAATGCATTATGATCTTTGACTCATTATAATTAATGATTATTAAAATGGGTCAAAGAAATCAATTAAAGTACTAAACTATTCATTGTTTCTGAATGCATAAACTTTATGAAGAAAAACATTAATGGTTTTCCATGATGTGGATCCTCTTCCAAAGTTGACTGAGAAATAAGAACCCAAACACATTGAGATTTGTGGCTTCTGTAGTTAAAGGTATCCATTGCACATAATGATGTTTAGTGTAGAAATCTGTCTTGCTTTAGGGTAAACACAAAATGATTATGCGTTTAACAAGTCCAACATTATTTCTCATGCTCAATTCATTCTAATATTGTACTCTTAACAATTCCAACTTTCCTATTACAGTTGTCATGTTTTTATATATATATGGATTTTTTTTTTCATTTTTGTAATTTTTAATAAATTTTAATTGATAATGTAAAAATATATTTTTAAAAAATATACTAAAACACCAACACAACTCAAGCTACCAGCAAAAACAACTAAAACTACATAACATTGAGTGAAGTAGTGAAGTTACTCTTAAGAGTAGTAACAAGGTGTTAAATTGTGGATTATCATTAATTAATTATTATAAAATTATTATATGTCAATTATATAAATAATTATTTAAATTACATATTGCATTATTTGATATTATGTTACATTGATGATCATAATGTAAGTGGATCACGCTGGATTGGGCTACTTATAGTGCTTGTTGAGATGTTCCGAATCTTATTTAGTGAGTTATACAATCCTATTAAGCAATTTAATTGACACGCTGTAGAACTGCTTAGTCAAATTCATGCCCACTAACTAAATTTGCTATTTATTATCTAATTTAATATTAAATGTAAGTATGTTTTTAAAATAAAAATATTTTTTAGAGTTATTTTAAATGAATTAGGTGTTGTTAGCTTTTTCTCATTAGACTATGTTACTTTTTCCACAATAAGTATTTAATCTTTTTAGCTTGATTGTAATTTGAATCCTACAATTTTCAACAATGTTTCTTCAATTTAAAAAAATTATATCTTTTAACTTAGTCCTATTTAATATAATAAAATATTTATTATTAATTATATAAATATTTACACTTTTTAAATTTGGCGTGCTTAATAAGCAAGTGATTGGTTCTAATGTGAGTGTTTATTTAGATTGGACAAAGGTTATTTTGTTGGATTTTTTTTACAAATTTTGCTTATGCTTTTTATCAAATTTCTTATTATGTTAAGTGGGATCCCACCTAAGTTTTGTTAATGTAAAAAGGGAGGGAAAGAAATGGGTGAAAAGGAACTTAAGAGAAAAAATGGTAATGAAATATATTTGGTTTAGCATATCCTATGTATTATGTACATTAGATAATATTATGATATCTTGTTTAATATTTGAGATAAATAAAAAAATAATATAAACTAAAGTTATATTTATATTTAAATCATAAAATTTCTCTTTCATTAATATTACTAGTTTTTTTAAAAAAATATTTAACTTTTTAACATTTCAATAAAAATTATATATATATATATATAAATTTTAAAAATACTATTGTGTATATATAACATTAAAATTTTGATATTAAATTATAATTTTTATTTTCAACTTTTATAATTAAAATTTAATTTTTTTGATATTAAATTATAATTAAACTACACAAAATTATAAAACATTTAAATTATATTTTATAAAATGAGTAATATATTTTTATAATTTTTTAAAAATATAATCTTCAATGTTTTTATTAAAAATATTCATATAATATTTTTTTTATAAAAACTATTAAAGTTATTTTTTATAAAAATATTTAAAAGGGTATGAACTATGAGTAAGAAGATAGTAAAAAAAAATTATATTATTTTATAGCCTATTATCCTATTCAAAATAAAAAATTGAATTATAAAAATCAGACAAGTTAACTCAACATAATAAAATTATATTATGTTATTTAACCGACACCAAAAATATAATAAATTTTCTTATCTTACTTTCTTATCCTAACTACCAAACTAATCCCTTCTTGCTTTTCTCAGAGTTTGTTTGGTATACATAATAAAAAAATCAATATAATATATTTTTTATATCATATTTTAACAATGTGATACAATAACTTCATCTTATAACTTTATTATACCATTCTCTTTAATGTAAAATTTATAATTTGAAGACTTGGGTTAAAAATAGGTAGAAAAGGATAACATAATATATTGATTTTTTTTATACATCAAACATAAAATAAAATAAGAGTATATATTTTTTATTATATTTTTACCCAATTTTTATATCATATTATATTTATGAAACACAACTTAAATTTTTAATTAATAAAAAGTCAATTTAATATAAAAAACAAAGAGCATGAAAGGCGTCAAGAAGTCAAAACTAATTAATCACTCATTTGACTTAATCACTCATTTGAATTTTTAAATTGTATTAGACTACAATTTTTTTTTTTCACTCTATTGTGTGGTGATATAGTTGATTAGATTCATGTGTTTGTTTTCTCATTGACAACTATGTTTTATGCTTGTAAGAAGGGGCATAAGAGCAACCACTAAATATAATGATTAAGGCACATTGAATGCATTGAAAATGGACATGTTGGATGTCAATGTAGTAGAGACATGTTAGATGCACTAAAAAAAAGGACATGTAGAATGTCAATGAGAGAGTCTATGTTAGATGCTACTAGAAAAGGACATGTTTGATGTTTATGTAATAAAGGCTTGTAGAATACACAAATTGTACAAATGTGGTACTTATTTTAATGTGTTTGATTTAATTTTTCTTATGATTATGATTGATTAATGACTTATTTGATGTAGTTTATAACTTGAGAAAAATAATTTAATTTGTATAATTTTTTAAATTTAATTTATTAATTTTTTGGGTACAACTTATTAGTGTCCTTAACAATACTTTCTCAACGGCAGAAGAATCATGATTATTCATTCAAGTGAATTGTAAGCCATGCATTCATTTTTTACTTTTTATAAATTACTCTTCCCATATTATATCAATTTTTAATTTAAAATACAAGTAAAACATGTTTATATTCTGTATAAATATAATCAAATTTGATTTTAATATTCTACAAACATGTTTTTTTGTCTTAATTCTTATAAAATTTATAATTTTTGACAAATATTTTTCTACTATCATTTGCCAATGATTTTTAAACATATTACCTCATATGTGAACTCGTAATAATAATTTATATAATATAATTAGATAGATCACTTTTAAAGATTATAAAAAAGTAAATAAATATTTTTAAGACTACAATTAAATTTACTAAAAAATAAAAAAATTAAAACTGCAAAAACAATGTGAAAAGACACGTGGGCACAAGCAGGGAACTGAACATTGACGCGGCTGCTTTGGCTGAGTTTGACTGGGGCGGCAATGTGGTTGTTGATTGAAGACGGTGGTTGTTGATTGAAATTCGTGTTATATTAAGTTTGATTATAAAAATTATTTTTAAACATAACAAAAATCAAATTATTATATGAAATTATTTTTTTAAAAGGCTTAACTTATTCCTAAAAATATATATATTTTTGAATTATTCTTTATAATTTTTTTATTGCATTTAGTAAAAAAAATTTAAATAGTCTTTGTCTAAGTGATGACTAAATAGCTAATGATGCATGTTATATCACAGAATAACAAATTTTAAAAAGTAACTAGTCCTTAAAAAAATTATTTTCTTGAAATTAGTATTTATTAAATTATTAGTTTGATTTTAATTTTGAAAAGTTTAATTTTTTTAAAAATAAACCTTATTATTATCTCTTGAATTAATATTTTTAATTTAGGTAGTATCTTATTCTTTATCTTTTTCTTAAAATACTCAACGAGTTAATATGATTTGAAGTCAAAATATAATTTTTTAAAGTTTTATTTTTTTAAAAAAATATTTGAAGGGTTAATATTTTTAATGTTAAAATATAATCTTTTAAAGATAATTTTTAAGATGATCAAAAGAAGTTGAATTGTATGAAGCAATAATTTTTTATTATTATATTCCTTTGCACTTATATTTTTATTTTTCAACAATCAAGATAACATAGAAGTTCTTCGTTACATATGAGATAAAAATACGTTATAACAAGAAAATTAGAAAATTTTGAAATGTTAGGTGTTGACTAATTCTAAATTTGTTTTGTTTTCATTTTTATATTTAATAGTAAAGTATTTTACTATTTGACCTCAGATAATACTAATTCATCAAATATTTTTAAGAGAAAAATAAAATACAAGATGTTACATAAATTAAAAAATATTAATTAAAGAGATAATAATAAAGTTTATTTTTAAAATAATTATAATTTTACAAAACTAAAATAAAACAAAATTTTAAAGAGACTAATTAAAAAATATATTTTTAATAATTAATTACTTTTTATGCTTTGTCACTTCTAAACCTAATATCTCATCTGGTAAGTATGACGTGAACATCATTTGTTTATTCATTATTTAATAACTTTTAATTAATCATAAAGATTATTTTTAAAATAATTTTGTTTATAGGACTAAGTCTAACAAAAAAAATTATGCACTAATTTTAAAAAAATGTATATTTGTAGGGACTATTTAATTATTTAATTTTTTTAAAATAATTTGACTTAATTATGTTTTTTTTTAAAAGTAACATTAAAAAATTGTTAGAATTTAATTTTTAACATTTTTAAAATATAAGGATTTATTTTATATTGTGAATCAGTTAAATAATGAGTTACCACATTACCTGCATGGATTGAATTTTTACAAAATAAATCTAAATTTATTTTAAATCTCATTGTACAAATTGAATTTTAAACTAATTTATTTTCATTTTTTAAAGCTGATTTTAAAATCTAAACTTGTTTTAAAATTGGTTTTGGTTAAAACTAGTTTTAAATATAATTTTTACATTAAATTAATTTTGAATATAGTTTTAAAGACGAAACTGATTTTCAATACCTTTAAAAATTTAGTTTTTAAAATAAAATAAATTTGTTGTACTGTATCATTGCATTAAATTATTTTATTTTAAAAATATTTTAATAATTTTTATTAATTATACTATACTTTATAGAATCTTTTATAAAATATTATTAATTTTAATAAACAGAGTTGCAGATAAAAGTTTAAATTTAAATCTATAAAAATAAATATTAATAATATTAAATAATAATAAAAATATTATGTTATAATATTTTAATTTTTTAAAAATAAATCTAAATATAAAAAATAATTAATTAATTATATTTTTAATATAATAATTATATTTAAAATAATTAATTTTAATTATACGAGTTATGGTTAATAAAAAAATATTAATTATAAAACAAAATAATGAAAAAAATTTGTCAATTGACATGACGAGAGATCCAATAAATGACAACATGAGATAATGCCTCCATACATGATATGGATTTAAATGAATCAAGAAAAAATAAATTTTAAAAGTAAATTTTGAATACTAAACTGGTTAAAAAATATGGGGAAACAAAAAATCAATTTAACATGTATATAATTTTTTAAAACTAGTTTAAAATTAGTTATCGATTAGACTTAGATAATGAAAAATTTTATTTTCAATATATTATTTTAAAATTAATATTTATAAAAAAAAGTTTCTAAAAAATTATTTTAGAAAAGAATCTCTTATACTTAGTGGAAGCTTTGACAACCATCGAAAATTTTTTACAAATCTTTGGAAGTTTAGAAATGTTTATCGCTACAGTGAGAAATTGCAATAAGATAATTCCACGAAGGTAGATTCAAGAGAAAAAATGGAAACTCAAGTCTAATGTGAGTTGGTTGACTCTGAAACCCCAGCCTCTTGTTCCCAAAAAGTAATAATTTACCAAGCTTCCAACATTCATAAATACATAGTTATTCAATGGACTTTTTCGAATTCAACTTCAACTTCTCCAAGGAACACAATCCTTGCATGTTGTCTAGAAGGGAAACAAGAAGCTTACAATTTTTTAACTTTAAAGCTTCTAAGACCAATTAAATAGGACTGAGATTCTCTCATGTTTCATGTTAGTGTGTTTTTGTATTTTTGTTTAAGAGAAAAATAATTTGCTTAAACAAAAATGTAAAAACACATTAATATAACCCTCATGTAATAAGAGGGGATCTTTTTCCAATTAAACATCTAAGTGAAGTAGGAAGTTTCTTATAAATGTTCCCTCCAAAGAAAGCACTAACGGAACTTTAGAATGATTTTGAATTCAGACAAACTGTTGAGAAATAACTCCTTTAAGGAACTCATCTCCATTTACTTAGAAGAGCTTTTAAGACTTGAGCAAGATTTCAAATACAAGGGATGGAAGGACTTCAACTAGGCTATTGCAAAATCCAAGATCCACATGCTTAAGCATTTCTAGAATTCATCGAACACAACACGTCTTGTTCATGCAATTCGTCTAACATTTTCTGGGCATCTTCCACCATACACTGTTGGAATGGAAGCCATGGCTCAATACGACATCATGGAGGCATTTCTCGAGTTTGGAGTTGTCTAGGTCGGAGCCAGCTTTGATGAAGGAAGAGAGGGTGAACATGATCCAACCAAATTAAATAAGAAAATCAAACACACTATCAAAGGTAAGATTACGATGTTGTTAAGATAATTCTGAAAGATACTCTTCATGCGGCTTAGTTAGGGATTGTCCCATGTTTTTGGTTTACACGACAACCTCACAAGGGAAGTGAGATATTAAGGAAAAGAATGGTGTGTATATGTGGGTGGAACAAACAATAATTGATAGTGCATGTGTTTGGTTTTCCATTGTTATGTCCTTGCCAAACAGCCCTTGACTCCTTGTACCCTCTACAAAGTAATCAAATAAAAGTTAAATTTAAATAAAATATATTATTTTTTAATCGACAGAAATAAAAGTGAAATATAAAACTTAAAATATAAAAATATATTACAGATATGTATTTCAAGGTTATAATAAGATATGTTATTAATATTTTACAATTACATTTAATTTGAATGAAATAGTGATGATTATTTTGCTTTGATCTAATTTAAAAAATTTAAAGCCTTATTAACAAAGTTCTTTATTCATTTTTCAATTATCTAATTTTAAGATGAAAGTTTTAATGAACTCTTTTTTAACATATTATACAGAACTGAAATCTTGCCTTAAATGTTTTATTTAGTTATATTAGTTCTTTTAATTTTACTTATATAATTTTTATCTATTTTTTAAAGTTGATTAAATTATTATGTTGTTTTATCTTTCACCAATGTTTTTACTAGATAAAAACTTTCAACTTTTTTTTTACTCAAAGTTCCATAAATTAAATTACTTTTTGGTAATAATCGCTAACGTAAACCTCAAATTTCATCCAAAATATTAAAATATTTAAATGTTTTTTTAACTTTAATCTTACATCTTATAAAATTTTAAAATTATTTTATGTTTTAAATTCATCGTAAACACTTAAATATTTTTTTAAAAAAATTAAGAATTTAATTTTGAATAAACAATCATTTATTTAATTGTAAAAACAAAAATAATTAATATTACATAGAATAAAAAATGATATAATATTTTTTAAATAATTAAATAAATTAGATTATTATTTAAAAAATGATATTAAATTATACTAAATAACATAATTTTTTTTATCTAGTATAACGTTACACAAATAAATAAAATCATATAATGGAAGACTAAAGTAAAATAATTGAAAATTGTAGGGTTAGGGTTTACACAACTATATTCCCAAGTTCAGTGTTGGATATAGATTGAGCAACAGAGGAAACATGTCGAAGAAGAACAACCTCGCCAAGAGAAAGAAGCAACACGAATTCGATCTCCGAAGTACTCTCACCTTCTATTTCTCCCCTATCGAAGCTCACGTTTCATTATTCATGTTTTTGATTTCGTACCTGTGCTGATTTTCTTTCAGGGGAGAAGCAAGAGAAGGAGAAAAAACAAAAAAAGCTCCATGCCAAGAAGAACAGGATGAAAGTAAGTGTCTTCTTCTTAATTCCCCATTTTTCTTCTTCTCCTGACTTTTTTTTAATATAAAAAATATGAGAATATATGATTTTGGGTTTCTGTATTTGTTTCAAATTTAATTTTTTCGATAAAAATGTTTTTAAATTTTTAGGTAAAAATTTGTTTGCTGAATGCTGAGATAATGGGTCAAACTTATGCTCTTCTTGTTATTTTTCGTAATTAGTTGAAAACTGAAGTAAGATAAAGAGAGTGAATGCGATATGAACTGAATACTTGTTTCAAACTTTGGAATAGACGGAAAACCATAAATAGAGAGGTTAAATTGTAATTTTCATTTATGTGTGTGTTTTGAGAATTAATTATCTTTTGTATGGTTTTGTTTTTGTCGGGTAAATGTATTTAGGTTGATGGTAGTGACAAGAAAAAGAAGGGTGGAAGTGGATTTCAGGTGGGGAAGAGAAAAGTGAAGACCAAGTTGACGGCTCTTGCTAAAGCTAAAGCTGCCCAGGCAATGGAGCTTGACAAATGAAGTTTGCTTTAGTGATTTTAGGTGATGCGTTGAAAATGATAGATGACAGAGTTGTTCTAAGGTTCCATATTCTTGTTTGTTTAATTTGGCTTGGCTATACGAGAATATGACTATGTGGCTGTGAGCTGTATGCTAGTTTGACTAATTTTATTATAGCTGTTTGTCTCCCTCTTACAATTTTGCTGTTAATCGACCAGCTACTTTTACTTTTACATCTTGTAATTGATTGACAAAATTTTACTCTTGAATCTTCATTTTGTTGTGCTTGCCGCCCATACTTCGTGTCTTCCTCTCAAGTTGTTTGCAGAGGTGAAGGGAGTTTAGCATTTTGTTTGAAGATAAGATAGATGCTCTCTGTGAACACTGAATGCAGTCCATTGTTTGAAGAACTATTTTAGGTTACTCGATGTCCATTGTATACTGTACTGTTTTAAGTCTGAATCCTTGCATTGTAAGAGCAGGAACATACGCTTGTTTGCCTTGATATCAAATCATTAATCGTGATAAGTTGATAACATGATTGTTCTAGTATGGTCAGCATAAAATTGCTTAAATTCTTAGCTGGTAAGGAATAACTGGGGCCCTTTTTTGAGGTTATTGTTGTGCAAGGATGAAACTGAGCATTATGGGACCAACAATGCTTGCACATTAAGTTTTCCAAATTTTTAGGGGTGTTTTTTTTTTTTTTCCCCTGAGTATAATCGGTATGGCTGGAAGATGGGATTATCCACGTGAATGAAATTTAGAGGAAAGATTAACTTTTTGAGGAGAATGGAATGAATGCTTTGTTGAAATGTCTGACTTGACAAAGTATTCTATGTGTGCCAAAATAATAGGTTTAGACATTGATGTCTGACAGGTGTGTTATGGATGCAGTCATTTAGATATAACCAGGAAACATTCATGTCCATGTGTCTCCTTAATTGAGCAATTAGTGTTTGGTTTTTGGATGTAAAATAATATTCTTATCTGCAAATCTGAACTTAGGGGGTTTTAACTCTTCAATTTCACACAGGTCAACATGTGTGGGTGGGTATTTATATTGTATCAATTTTATATTGGCACATTTAAAAAAGGGTTTTGTTAACTTCAGCCCTTAAGGCTGAATTTAAATATCTATAAATAGAAAATTTTTATGAAAATTATTATATTAAAATTATAAAAATATAATAAATATTTCTCTTTCTAATAAAATTTTACTATTATTAGCTGCTTAGGGTTAACAAAACTCTTTCAAAAAAATAGGTTGAGGTTAACAAAATCTTTTAAAAAATGTGACACAGAATTAAGATTAAGAAGTGATACATTTTGGTTTCACTAGAAAGGTTGAATCTAAGAATGGAATTTAACAGTGTATGGACACTCCATGTTGGCTAGGTATATGGCCAAAATACTCCTTTCAACGCTTGTAATCATCTTTTCATAAGTTAGCTTTCAGGAGTGAGTGAGACTCAATTTTCTAATAAACAGAATTCTGTTCTGTCATGTCTGCTCATCAAATGTTACCTAGTAATAAATGCAAGATTAAAATATGGTATCATGTACATGAGAGGATCTATTCCCTGGTAAAAAAAAAAATTCATATACTAGCTTTTGGTAGGGAGTTTCGCCCAATTTTCTAATTAACAAAATTTTGTCATGTCATGTCTGCGCATTATACATTACCCTCAGTAATAAACGCAAGATAAAAATATGATATCATGATGAGTGGATCTATTCCCTGGTAAAAATAAATTCATATATAAATCAGAACTTGTTGAGTGCGAATCTTCATACTTCTACTCTGACAATTTGGCTACCACATGAACAGTGTTGCTTCTTTATGCTATTTTTTGGCAGTCGAAAGTACATATTTTTTTTTGAGTGGTGGTATGAATGAGTAATTAAGGGTCGTAAAGAGTATCTTGAAATTATCTTTTTTTGGTAGTGGGCGAGGGAGAGTTAGAAATGCTGTTGTCCATTATTAACCAGTGGCCTTGTTAACAGTTTCTTTCCTGGTTAATGAAAACTGCAAATTACATAATTTTCTTGTTGTTTTTGAGAATGTCTTAATGAAGCTGGATAATGCACAATTATAAAATAAAAGCCATTTATTTATTTACAATTTTATTTATTTGTTTACTCAGGTACCTTCATTATCGGAGGAATTATTATTTTAATGTACGTTTCACTAGTTAAAAATGTATTTGTAGGCCTTCTTCCGCCCCTAGTGTTTCGGTCAAACTTGCACAAATGTCAGTGAGCCCAAAATGGTAAACGCATCAGTAATCCATGGCATGAGCAAAGAAAATTTTTTAACACTTTAATTGTAAACCCCTTTTTCTGTTTTTTTTTTATACGATGATAAGGTACTTTAGGGTTTATTTTCGTACATGGAAAAAAGAGATTTTTTCATAAAAATTCCTTTAAATTCATACAATACGATTAAAAAAAATGTGGGATGATCTAATATGCACGTTTCCATTCTATTAACATTTGACCACTATGCAAATGACATAGAAGTAATAACAGTGGTGGAGCTCAAAAAAATTGAGGGGCTAATGGCAAAGCTTTAATAATTCTTGGCGAGCTACCCTATACAAGACAATAAGTTGACTGTAAAAGTTTTCATCCAAAGCTCAAGCAATGTGGATTGGTAAATTAGAATTTAAAAGCTAAACGAAAAATCACAAGCATCTCAGAAATTCATGAGGGGATCTATGTATATATAAACACTTAAAATGGATGATTGAATGCTTCGGACTTTGAGCGAACTAGGTATATCCATACAAGCCTCGTGTCTCCACTAAGTTCCTTTGAGAAATTATTTACCATTTACAAACCGATTAAAGTGAATTAAAATATACATTATTTAATTCAATGACCTATAATCGTTTATGGAGTAAATTTTATATTTGAGCATGAACTCAAGCTTTGGTGGTTAAATTTTCTTTTCCTTTTTTGCAAGCTTTGGTACTTGGGGAAACAATGGCCCAAAAAAGTGATTTAATTATTAGGAAGGAACCAAGATTTCTAAAACTGTCAACTTGTTTGGGCATTTTAGAGGGATGCATTAAGCTGATTCGTTGATAAAAAATTATAGGTTTCAGTTGGGTTGTGAATGCTCTTAACATAAATGAGAACAATAAACAGTTGTAATGGTTCTTGTGTTGTGGAAACAAATTCTGCTGAAATTTTGATTTCTTCTTTGAAGCATGATTAAGGGTTTTTCTATGCTCAACATGCAGTTGTATTAAATATTTATACGAGTTCTATCGGTTCAAATTCCAATAAAGGATATTTGTGGTTTAAAACCAAAATTATTTGGCACAAGATTTCAATCAAAATTTAAACATTAAATTCCTCAATAGTTTTATTTTTAATTATATATATTTATATTTTCTTACTTTAAAAGGATTTCACGAATTATATTAAGAAACACGAAAAAAGGAAAGCAAAAGAAAGCTGGGGAAAAAGTTAATAGCAGATCTGGAGATAGTAATATTTTTTATATTTCTGTATAAGTAAGAATTTATTTATTTTTTAATAAAAATGTAAGAAATATTTTAGTGAAGTTCCATCGCTTTCTCTCAGTAATCACTATAAGGATTTTTATATTAATTTTTAAGAACAATTTAAAAAATAAAAATAAGGTGCTTCCTAGAGTGCGTATGAAAGAGGAAAGGTACTCGTTGACCCTGGTCTTCCGGATGGAACATCATTCAATTATACTTGAAAGATGCTATTTCTACATAATATTTGTATAATTTTTATTACAATTTAGATAAATATCAAGAGAAAATAAGTGATAGGATGAATGATGTGATAAAGATATAAAAGAAATGATTACTCTAAAAATTTATTGTAAAAATATGTTGAGAACATTGCAAACCATTGTAATTTACCTTGTTTTTATTTATTTTACATATAAATTAGAAGTTTAATAAAATTCTTATTTTAAACAAAAATTATTATATCTTTATTTTTTTTTGTATATCTTTCCTTTTTATTAATTGAAAAATAATAATTACCATAGTATCTTTCTCAAAACTTGGGTATAATAAAAAAAACAAATAATAAGTAACATTATTTTATTTTATTTTTGGATTTAAAATGAAAGATTTATAAAAACAACAGTTTTCTTTAACATGGACAGTTTAAAAAGAATAGAGGGTACTGTTTATCATATGCCAACAAATTTATATAGTAATTTTTCCGAATATAACTACAATAAAAAAAGAAAAGATTTAAAAGTTTAGCAAGAATACAATAGTAAATACTTTTATCAGACAATATTAGTATAAATAAATAAAAACAGTTTCAATTATTTTGTATTACGAAATAAAGTTCATATAAATAGTAATAGTTTTAGTTATTTTACATTCTTATTAACAGATTAAGAAAACTTATTTTCATATTTCTACTTGTGATTATTTTTTCATCTTTGACTACGGCATCTTTTGGCTTATTATGGGACTAGTCTCTTTAGTAAAAAATCGTGGTTAAATAAAGTACTTCATAAAATGACAATTTTGATATTCAAACCTTTAATTTTATTTTATGGGGGTTTTTGATGATGGAATTTTTTTAACTTTTATGAATTGTGATTTTTAGGAATTTCATTTTTGGAGATTTTTTTTTTTTGAAAATATTAAAATTATGTTTGATCAATTTAACCTTTAAATCATCTTATATTATTTTCATGACTATTTATATTAAATTTTACACAATTTAAACATTTATAAGTATGTTATTTAAATTTTAATTATTTTTTAGTATATTTTAATAAATTATATTATATGTTAAAATAAAGTAATATGGTAAAATATTTTATTATTTTATTTTTATATAAATTTTATAAATTTAAAATAATAGCTGAATTGATTAATCAAAAAAATTATTAAATGGTATAAGCATTTTCGTATGTAATAATACGAAACTATCACCTAAATTAATTAATTTTAACAATAAAAGTTTTGAATATATAATAACGAAATTTATTCTTCATAGGGTAAGGCAACATATTATCAGACTTAAAAATTTTTAGCTTAAAATATGCACTAATTAAGCTCATATTAAGATGGAACCATGAAAAGTAGTCTTAGTAATAGAGGACTTAATAATAATTTCTATAGATCACAAATTTTTATTTTTAACTATAAGTTTAAAAATATAGCATGTTTAGTTAAAACAAAGGTTTAATCTTTAACCCAATTTAAAAATATTTTTAACAAAAAAGTAATTTAATTATTTATTATGACTTAAAAAACTAATCATTTAATTTATTGTTATCTATCTAAATAAAAAGGAATTTCTCTATTATTTTTTAAAGCCACGTGTTACTTTTTATCATCACTTATTTATTATGATTTATAATTTTTAATAAAAAATTAATATATATACAAGTTATTATCGCATGCAATATTACACGTGTTAAAAAATTATATTTATTATTACTATCACTTTCATTAATTTATAA